CCTGTCTGGCGCTCGGCATTAAGGGGCTAAAACAAGGACTGGTCGGCTCGGAGTCAGTATACTGTGTCTGAGTGGGGTATTCATGTTAAACTGCGGCATGGTATCTCAGTGAGCTAGCACTATAAATCGGCATCAGTCCGGACTAGTACACAAGGACTGATTCACTACAGTACATATTGGGGGTTAGTTTAAACGTGTTACTGGAAAACATGTTGAAATACTTTCCCATTGTTATAGAACATGTTAAGGCTTTGACAGCATATAAATAGATGCATTGCGCAACTGAAGGCCACGCTGAAAACTTCGTCTCATGGGATAGAATGTTTTGGCATTCCTTTCACTCGCCGAGAGTCACGAGTGTCAACAAACACACATATAAAGACACGATTTCAAGACAGCTCAAACTGTTCGTCACTTGATGTGTAAGGCTCATCGTGACGAAGCACTTTAACCTCATGTGATTCAGCTCAAGTCTACTTGAATACAAAGTGATTCCTATAAAGGTTCTGACGATTAATCATCCTAGGTCGCCCGCACTCTTATAAAATAAAAGATACAAGTTATTTTAAGATTTATAACAAACAGGTGTTGATTGAAATGTAATTCCTTTTTTTTTTTTAATGAAGAAATTCATGTAAACGGTGTTACACCAAAGCTTAAGTTGAATTCCTACTCGATCCTCAGTAGATTCGCTTTGACGGACACGAATTCAAAGTTAAAACAATAGTTAAACGTAATCATAAGAAATATCTGCCAATAGCAGTCTATTGTACGACTGTACATATAACATCTGAATCACTATCAAATAGTGATGAAACCAGGTGTTCGCGAAAAGGTGAACACAACCTGGCATTCTAGCAACACATAAACGTGAATACACAACGCCAGGGGTCCAAATATAACAAATATCCTATTTGTGATAACACTTTCACAGTAAAGTATAGAACCTAGTACTGAGAAAATATGGATCGTTAATACAGGTTTATACTTAACATTGAGGTACATTAAGGTACATTCAGCAAATTACTTTCTTTAGTGAGTGAGTGAGTGAGTATGGTTTTACGCCGCTTTTAGCAATATTCCAGCAATATCACGGCGGGAGACACCAGACATGGGCTTTACACATTGTACCCATGTCGGGAATCGAACCCGGGTCTTCTGCGTGACGAGCGAACGCTTTAACCACTAGGCTACCCGACCGCCCCTACTTTCTTTAAACAGTAAGTGCAGAGATGACCAGAAGGAAAGAAACTTTTTCATTTTCTCGACGAGAAAAATATATAGATTTAGCAAGGTCATAATATCTAATAATCTCTCTTTTTATGTGTGCAACATTTGGTATATTCTTGTTTATGCTAGATCTATAAATAACTTTCTTAACCAATAATGTGATTGCATTAATAGGATTGTTGTTTAAACCTTTTGTGCCGAATACATTATTTCGATTTGAAAACTTATGATACTTGTATTAGGAGAAACCATTTTTCAAGCCATATATTAGAAACAATTTCACACTTATAGAATAAATGTTCAAAAGTTTAAGGTTCTTTTTTACAGAATTCGCATGAAGGTGAATCAGTATATCCTACTTTAAATAAGCAATTTCTAACGGGTAGTATACTTTGTGTGATTCTATACTATAGCCATTTGAGAGATCAATACTTTGGGTGCACTTATTTGAAATGATATTGCAAATTTTCCAATCGCTTTCAGTGTAGTGACAATCAAGTATTCGTTCCCATTTAGTATAGCAAGGTAATTTTACAAATTTGGAATTTAGAAGGTGATTGTAGAAGTATTTGATTCCCAAGATATTGTTAATGTGTATAAGATAGAAAGGATATACAGGGTCGCAAAAAAAACATACAAAAGTATTATATTTAATTGATGCCTATATTCCTTTATGGCTCTTTTAACAGAAATTTGTTGCTAAAGAATATTTTGTGGTGAATTCTTCATAAGTTAATAATGGTCCTGGTGCATAAGATCGTTAACTAAAAAACCACCTTTATCATACCAGCTACTATACGTAATTGGTCTCTGTTAATTCTTATTTCATCATTGTTCCATTAACACTTGGCTTGTAGTTATGCTTCTGTTAAGTATTCAAGTTTATTTTAAAAAATAAAGTCTGGCAAAGCTTTGAGCTTATCTTTCTAGAAAATATTTTGAAATGATGGAATCATAGTTTCATTAATTTATGAACTATCTGCAAGCCATAATAGCTTCGAATTGGCCACTCTGAGAACAAAAAAACTCCACTTTGGTTGACCATCATTTACCCTTTGCATCCATTTCAGCTTTTGAGATTGTATTATATCTTTAATATTTGGAACTTTATATCCACCATGTTCAGGATTCAATAGTATCTTCATGTTATATTTTATCGGGTCATCTCTTGCATAAAAAAAATGAAACATTTTTTGTCGATGCATCTATTTGAGATGCAGGGGGATTTGGAACGGTAGAAAATAAATAATTCAATTACGGAAGGAGTTATTTCAAAAAAGTATTTCTTCCATAAAGGAGTTGGGGACATGGGTGGCCCAGTCGTCTAAGGTGCCGCGATTCGCTGTGCAGAGTTGCGTCCCTTGGGCATGCCAGAAACCTATGATTGTGGGTTCGATCCCCGGTTCGCCCCGATTATGTTTCTAGGTTTGTCAGCACCATACCCGTGCTCGTGGTTTTCACCGAAGTGATAAACCTCTGAGACCTGCATCACTTCGGGCTTTCCTCCCACATTAAGCTGGCACGCCGCGATATAACTGGAATACTGTTTAAAGCGGCGTTAAACCCAACTCACTCACTCACCACTGAGTAATGCCAGGTCCAAAGTTAAAAAACATCAGGACATAAGTTAAAAATTGTCGGTCAACTGAATCAAATGCTTTCTCAAAATCAATCGAGCGAAGCAGCCCGGGAATTTGAACAGTTTCTGTATTTTCCATTAGATCATATATAAGTCTGCTAACTTCTCTAGTGAGTCGCCCCATAACAAAACCCTTTTGATCTTCATTTATTATATAAGGTAGTATGTTTTTAATTCTGTTGGAAATGGCTGCAGACCCGATTTTGTATGAGATATTAAGAAGTGATATTGGACGCCTTTTTTCAAATATTTTTTTGGGTCTATTTCAAGTTATCAAACCCAACTTCTGAGTAATTGACAACTACCCTTAATATAGGCATTATTTAAAGTTCGTAAAATAAAGGCCCCTATGTCTTTCCAAAAGAGAATTAGAAATTCCGCCGAAAAACCGTCTGGTCCATGACTTTTGGACCTGAAATTTGTCTGTTTTAAGGTTGTGTTAGTTCACACCCACATTCTGTGAGGGTCTGATGCCGGCCATTCGTGCCCAATTGGTTTCAAATGGTGAGTCGACGGCTTTCGATCAGTATTTATTCATAGCAATAAAGAATTGGGAGGTGTCAGGTATTGGAATTGATAGAATATTCACCCTACACAAGTTTCATGTGAACTTCTTGTGGATGATTTTCGATTTTACTTTAGAAACAGCGATACAAGGAGAGCGGTGCTGTACGGAGTTCTGTCCCTGTTTCTGACACTCGTGATATTAATTGAACTTGAAATATTTAAGCATCGACACAATGGCCTGTTATCTAGACTACCAATTATCGGACTGTCATTTATGTGGAAGCCTCAATGGCTGAGTGGGTTGGATCGCTGACTTTGTGTGCTGGCGATTAGGTGCCTCACTCTGGCTGTGTGGGTTAGAATCCCGCATGGGACTCAACCTCAAAAAGCACTAGAATCTGTACTTTACAAAGAAAGTGTTGATCGCTTTCTAAATGGCATTGTATATTCCTAGCTTTCAAACATGGGAGCCACGCCAATTTACACTTGTCGGAGGGGTACATAAAGTACGTGATCAAGACAATCGGACAATCTCTGTTTCTTTCCTAAACTATCCTATTGTTGGTTCATTTGCTTGATTGTTTCTTGTTTAACGCCGCACTCAGCAATATTCAGCTATATGTTAATAATCTGGACCAATAGTCTGAACCAGACAATCCAGTGATTGACATCATGAGCATCGATCTACGCAATTGGAATATGACGACATGCATCAACCAAGTCAGCGAGCCTGACCACTCCATCCCGTAAGTCGCCCCTTACGACAAGCATAGTCGCCACTTATGACAAGCATGGCTTTTTCCTGAAGGCCAAACCAGGATCTTCACTGGTCGGTTCACTATGAATAACATCAAAGGGGGCACCATGGACAGGCTTTAAGCATTGTACCATTGTGTGGAATTGAACACGGATGATGAGCGAAGGTTGTTACCACGAAGCTACTAGACCGCTCCTGGTGATCCTATCTCAATCTGTTGTGTTCCTTACACACCTGAGGGCGGTGGGGTAGCCTTGTGGTTAATCGTTAACTCGTCACATCGAAGGTCCGGCTCCCAACATGGGTACAATGTGTGAAGCCCATTTATGGTGTACCATAATAGTGCATGATATGCTGGAATATTGCTAAAGCGGCGTAAACCACACTCATTCACCCGCACAACTCCTTGTCAATAGTGATATCGATATGGTGGATCACATTTTGACGATTTTGTAATCATTTGAAATGAAATATATAGTACATTCATTATTAAAATAATGACATGCTAATATCAAGACAAGCTATTTGTGTTCGTTTTTAATTCATTTCAAAAGCAGTATGAACGCCTATAGAAAATGCTATGACCGTACGTATGCTCTGTTATACACATGCTAGGTATATTTGAGCAAGGCATAAAATACCCCCATTGACGTTGTCGAAATATTAAATATCAGTGCACGATACACAAATAAACATGGCCTGCCTGAAGAGGCCCCGGTTACCCTGCCCTTGTGTTCTATAGCGTCAGTGGTCCTCATGGTTGATAAAGTAGGGGACGGATTAAACGTTCCTGTCTTGCTGTGCGTTCCCTGCTGGCGTCCTAAATGGACAAGGCTTCGTCACGAAATTAAATCAGCCAATAGTTTTGCAGGTTGTCAGAACGGGTAGCCCTCGTTATATTTACCCTCGGCAAATGAGATCTCTATTTAAACTGTGATGCAACCACATTTACCAGCAGATCTGCCGAAGGGTCCCACCTCACCAGGTAAGTCTTGCTTTCGGTTGGGTAGAGTGACGTCTGTTTTATGAAAGGTGGTTATATTAATTGCATATTTTAGTTTACCCGTCGGGATGGGAACAAGATAGGAACGGACTTTGACTGCACATGAAACAATGAATTTTCAGTATCGTTTTAATGCCTTTAAGGGGAATACATGACATATATAACTTACCCATTTTTTGCCACTTTTCAAACGTTACAAAATTATATCATTGGAACTATACACAAGGAAAAATAATCACGCACTGAGCAGAAACTTTACATAAAGTTGTCGACATCTGTACACTAAATGTTTAAATAAAGCTTACAAGCTATGATCATGGTGTGTATTCTGCATGTTAAACCTTACCCGAACTAGTCTCCGTTACTAAGCATGACTTAGGCTAAATGTTAAACCTTACCCGAACTAGTCTCCGTTACTGAGCATGACTTAGGCTGAATGTTCAACGTTACCCAAGCTAGTCTCCGTTACTGAGCATGACTTAGACTGAATGTTCAACCTTACCCGAGCGAGTCTCCGTTACTAAGCATGACTTAGGCTGAACGTTCAACGTTACCCGAGCTAGTCTCCGTTACTAAGCATGACTTAGGCTGAATGTTCAACGTTACCCGAGCTAGTCTCCGTTACTGAGCATGACTTAGGCTGAATGTTCAACGTTACCCGAGCTAGTCTCCGTTACTAAGCATGACTTAGGCTGAACGTTCAACGTTACCCGAGCTAGTCTCCGTTACTAAGCATGACTTAGGCTGAACGTTCAACGTTACCCGAGCTAGTCTCCGTTACTAAGCATGACTTAGGCTAAACGTTCAACGTTACCCGAGCTAGTCTCCGTTACTAAGCATGACTTAGGCTGAATGTTCAACGTTGCTCGAGCTAGTCTCCGTTACTGAGCATGACTTAGGCTGAATGTTCAACGTTACCCGAGCTAGTCTCCGTTACTAAGCATGACTTAGGCTGAATGTTCAACGTTGCTCGAGCTAGTCTCCGTTACTGAGCATGACTTAGGCTGAATGTTCAACGTTGCCCGAGCTAGTCTCCGTTACTAAGCATGATATTGGCTGAATGTTCAACGTTGCCCGAGCTAGTCTCCGTTACTGAGCATGACATTGGCTGAATGTTCAACGTTGCCCGAGCTAGTCTCCGTTACTGAGCATGACATTGGCTGAATGTTCAACGTTGCTCGAGCTAGTATCCGTTACTGAGCATGACATTCGCTGAATGTTCAACGTTACCCGAGCTAGTCTCCGTTACTGAGCATGACATTGGCTGAATGTTCAACGTTACCCGAGCTAGTATCCGTTACTGAGCATGACATTGGCTGAATGTTCAACGTTGCTCGAGCTAGTCTCCGTTACTAAGCATGACTTAGGCTGAACGTTCAACGTTACCCGAGCTAGTCTCCGTTACTGAGCATGACATTGGCTGAATGTTCAACGTTACCCGAGCTAGTATCCGTTACTGAGCATGACATTCGCTGAATGTTCAACGTTGCTCGAGCTTGTCTCCGTTACTGAGCATGACATTGGCTGAATGTTTAACGTTGCTCGAGCTAGTCTCCGTTACTAAGCATGACATTGGCTGAATGTTCAACGTTGCTCGAGCTAGTCTCCGTTACTAAGCATGACTTAGGCTGAACGTTCAACGTTACCCGAGCTAGTATCCGTTACTGAGCATGACATTGGCTGAATGTTCAACGTTACCCGAGCTAGTATCCGTTACTGAGCATGACATTGGCTGAATGTTCAACGTTGCTCGAGCTTGTCTCCGTTACTGAGATGAATGCTCATCAGTACTTTGCATGTTACGTTTGCTTACTTTGAATGCTCAACGATATTCAAGCTCCGATTCTGTTATTGCATTTAAACTCTTTATTTTCTTCATCGTCAACGAATGATTATAATTAATCCGAACACTCCAGTCTACCAGAGAGTGCTTGGTGTTCGTTTACTAGTTCCCATTGACTTACTCTCTAATCCTCCATACAACTTTTTCTTGTTTCACTCCTATTTGTAATATTGTGACCACACTGTGTCACAGTTTATGTATAGCAAATGTTGTAATTGAAGTAAAATCATTCTAAGTTGCTGGTATATACTGAACAAAACCACTAGGGATTATGAATATTTTTGTGTGAAGACTGAGCACACAGTTTCATGAAAACATCCCACATACTATTTTTGATTCCAAACTTTTTGTTCAGTATAATAAGTGTCTATTCGTTTCTCTTCCAGATATCAAGATGTTGAAATTTTCGATATTGCTGTGTCTCTTGTCTCTGTCATTTGCTGATCCTTCATCCGGGGAAGATGAAGGCATGTCTCTTGAACAGAAGATGGAGGCATACAAGGCGTTCAAAGCATTCGGCATGTTTGCTGAGAAGGCCAAGGATCTGAAGGAAAAGAAAGAAACGGAGAAGAAGATTGAGGCCTTTAAAACCTTTGCTGCTTTCAAGAAGTTCTCAATGAAGATGGCTGGAATGAAAGGCGAAGGTGAAGGTGAAGGCAAAGGCGAAGGCGAAGGCGAACGCGAAGGCGAACGCGAAGGCGAACGCGAAGGCAGGGGCGAAATGAGCTTTGAAAAGAAGAAGGAAGCTTTTGAAACGTTTGTTAAATTCAAAATGTTCTTTGGGAAAATGAAAGAATCAAAGGAAAAAAAAGAAATGGAGGAGAAGAAAGAGGCTTTCAAGAAGTTCCTAGCCTTTGCTAAGAAGATGCATGGGGAGGATAAGGATGAGGAGGGGCAAATGGGTGAGAACAGAGGAGAGGGAGAGGAAAGGGAGATGTTGGAGAAATTCCACAAGTTCATTGCTCACATGAAGGAAAAGAAGGAGGCTGCGAAGATGGAAAAAGAACACGATGAAGAATTTGACCAAAACACAGAGGGAATGGACTTTGAGCAGAAGGCTAAGGCCTTCAAAATGTTCGTTGCTTTCAAGAGGTTTGCTGAGAAAATGAAGGAAGATAAAGAACATGAGGCATTTGAGGAAAAAAAGAAGGCTTTTGAGATGTTTTGCAGATTCGTCCAGTTCGTCAAGATGGCAAAGAAGGCAAAGGAGATGGGCGGTGAAATGGAAGAGAAGGAAATGGGACATGAAGAAAAGAAGGCTCAGTTTGAGAAGTTTGAGAAGTTTGTGAAGTTCATGAAAGCGATGAAGGCTAAAGGCATGGAAGGCGCCGAGGACATGGAATTCGAAAAGAGGACAGAGGGGATGGACTTTGAGAAGAAGGCCAAGGCTTTCAAAATATTTGTTGCTTTCAAGAAATTTGCTGAGAAAATGAAGGAGGAAAAAGAGCGTGAGGCATTTGAAGAGAAGAAGAAAGCCTTTGAGAAATTTGTAGCTTTCCATAAGTTTGTCAAGACGTCCAAAATGGGAAATAGCGGAGAACAAAAGGAAGATGATGGAGGGATGGACATGGATGAGAAGAAAGCAATGTTCTTCAAATTCGTCAAGTTCGTCAAAGCAATGAAGGCCAAGAAAGCCAACCAGGAACAAGAAGAGCAACATGACAAGGAATTGGAGAAGGATACCAAGGAACTCAGCTTTGAGCAGAAGGCAAAGGCATTCAAAATGTTCGTTTCCTTCAAGGCGTTTGCCAGCAAGATGAAGGCAGCAAAGGAAGAGGAAGAAATGCAACAGAAGAAGAAAGCGTTCATGATGTTCGCCAAGTTCGCCAAATTCGTCAAGACGATGAAGCAGATGAAGAGTCAGATGCAGGGTGAAGATAGGATGGACCAGGACAACAAGGGTATGGACTGGGAAGAAAAAGCCAAGGCCCTCGAGAAGTTCAAGAAATTCAACGAATTCATGAAGTACGCTGAGACGAAAAACTCTGATGACGAGGAGGGGCAACAGATGTATGCCATGTGGCAGAAGAAGATGGCGGTCCTCAAAGGGATGGACAAGCAGAGGAAGATGATGGAATTCGTTCAGGAATTTGAGAAGAAGAAGCACGAAGTCGCTTTCAAGATCTCTCACGAGTTCGTCCAGCTGTGCCAGTGTGCTGAAGTCAGTGACCAGATGTCCATGTAAGTTTAGCAATACGCGCGCGCGTGTACGTATGTGATCGTCAGCTTGCGTTTTTGTGTGTGTATTTGTAATGTGTGATATCTTAAAGATTAACGGGCGGTACGGTAGCCTAGTGGGTAAAGCGTTGGTCAACTCCACCGAAGGTTCGGGTTCGATTGTGTGAAGCCCATTGTTGGTGTCCCCCGCCGTGATATGGCTTGAACAATGCTAAACGTGATGCAATACAAAACTGACTGATGTACAAAGACTCAGGCATTAGATTTCTTCGCTGAAAAAAATAATTCTTTCATAGTGTAAGTTTCAAGGATGTGACTGTCTCTCGTTACTATCACCCGAACGGTATACACATAGATTGTATGACTCACCCCTATCAGGTTCTGAGATAAGCAAATCCTTTTAGAAGATACACTTTAAATTTGGATTTGACCAGAATGTTACAATCTTTATCAAAACGTCACTAGGCTGAACAGTCGCCGAAACACGACAAACGTGAGGTCGAAAACACAACTATGACATCCATGTGATATACATCGTCATCGAATAACTAATTCTTGCTTGTTTCATTTTAAGCCACCATCAAACATGCGTGTATTCTTCCTTTTGCCTTTATGTTCAGTGCCCTGTCTAGGACCGCCTCCGTGGTCTAGTGGTAGAGCGTCCGCCCGGAGAGCGGAAGGTCCGGAGTTCGATCCCGGCCGCGTCATACCAAAATACGTTAAAATATGGTACTTGTTGTTACCCTGTCTGGAGCTCGGCATTAAAGGGCTAAAACAAGGACTTGTCGGCTTGGAGTCAGTATACTGTGTCTGAGTGGGGTATTCATGTTAAACTGGGGCATGGTATCTCAGTGAGCTAGCACTATAAATCGGCATCGGCCCGGTCTAGTACAAGCAGACACACACACAGACACGTGCATGCACGTCGCTATATAAGTGCAATAATCTTGGACGCGACGTTAAACCCCATTTCACCTCACTTCAGTGCCCTGTGTTTTTGTAACATAAACCCTAGACAATTTCTGCTCGAAATTTATCTTTAACCTTTGAAAGATTACCATGTGTTGACTTGTACCATATGTTCCCGTGTTTCTTCAGATAAATAATTGACTTGCCTTTGCGTGTGTTTGTGACGGGTACCAACATTGCGGCAGGATACGCTCACCTTTTCGTGAACACCTGGTTTATTTACTGTTTCATAGTGATTCATAAACACATGCTCATTATATAGTCGGAATCGTACAATCGTCTCTGCTTTATACACAGATTTCTATCTTGTCGCTTTATCATTATTATTATTATTATTGATAATTTTTATAATCTTTGATAATATTACCAGGATGATGGGACAACAACAGAGCAACAACGTGTCTACGAACGGCACAGATTTAATGGCTGGAATGGGCAATGGGACCGACACATATGACACGGTGTTCAACAACATGGACGCAGTCAAATTAGCAGAGAAACTCAAGTCCATGAGTAAGGAACAGAAGGTGAAGGTCTTCATGGCTGGGCTCATCAAGTCTGTTTGTGGAGGAGCTAAGGTCTTTGTGGCACAGGCCAAAAGATTTCAGGAACACTACATGAGCAATGAGACTTCGTCCAGATCTCCCACCACGGGTAAGTAACACGCTATGTTCCGTGTGCCTATGCCTATTTAAAACGACAGTGACATTTTAAAAATGTATAAACTACAGTAAAGTACGGTTATAACGAACGCAAAGGGACTACTAATATAGTAAGCATTATCATTGCAAGCAAGAACACGACGAAAAGAGTATGAAATGCCAACCCTGCAGAGAACCTTCCCTATTGTTCAGATGACGTGATGTTATCAAATTGTGACTTCATTAACAATGGCTAACGTCGTCGTCATACCAAAAGACGTTAAAAGATGGTACTTGTTGTTACCCTATCTGGCGCTCGGCATTAAGGGGATAAAACAAGGACTGGTCGGCTCGGAGTCAGTATACTGTGTCTGAGTGGGGTATTCATGTTAAAACTGCGGCATGGTATCTCAGTGAGCTAGCACTATAAATCGGCATCAGTACGGACTAGTACAAGCAGCCACACAAACACATACTCGTACATGCACGTCGCTATATAAGTGCAATAATCTTGGACGCGACGTTAAACCCAATTTCACCTTACCTCACCTCAACAATGAAGTAATGTCACGTCATATCGCTTCAACTGACCAATCAGCATTGAGCATCGCTAAAATGCACGTGCAAATTTCGGACACATTATATTACACTATATAATATTAATAATATTAAGGCTATGATTAATGAATAATATGTATTCTTGAAAGTGGATTAAAGAAAACCTTAATGGTTTACATCTATCTATCTATAGATATACTACACAAAAACGTTAAAGAACGTCCGACAGATACCATGCCACAACTAAAGCAATAGGAAAGACTAAAGTGTTCTTTAACGTCTTTTGAGTGGTATATTTGGCCACGATCACATTGTGGCACTTCTAATAAGACAAAGTGGTGATTATATTTTATTGTATACTTTTCTTTCAGACTGATGGGTTTACCCAACCTCAACATCTTTTTACAACAAGACCGACGACGGTGACCCAGCTTGTCTGTTACACACACCATGCTGACGACTGTCTCGAAGATATCTTATGATGCTAATTTTTTAATAAAAAGTATACATCATCAGATGGCACTTTGGTTATTAATTTCCACTCAAATGCACACATGTTGGTTTCGTCTCATTAAGGATTAGGGGGCAGAGGTGGCCCAGTCGATTCGCTGTGCAGAGTTGCGTCCCTTGGGCACGCCAGGAACCTATGATTGTGGGTTCGAATCCCGGTTCGCCCCGATGAGCCTTGGGCACGCCAGAAATCTATGAGTTCGAATCCCGGTTCGCCCCGATTATGTTTCTAGGTTTGTCAGCACCATACCCGTGCTCGTGGGTTTCAGCGAAGGGGTAAACGTCTGAGACCTGCATCACTTAGGGCTTTCCTAACACATTAAGCTGACACGCCGTGATATAAAAGGATTATTGTTAAAAGCGGCGTTAAACCCAACTCACTCACTCATTAAGGAATGTCCAGCTACATCAATTCTCGACACTGTCGGGGTACAATCAGACAACCACTCCTTATTTTAAGCGCCTTTTACGACCAGTATGGTTTCTGGAAAACTCTTCAGATAAGACAATTCTCACAATGATAAGAAGCTTGAAAAAACACGTAACGCGGTATGGTAATGACACAACGGAAATGGATAAATGAAGGTGAGGTGAGGTGAAATTGGGTTGAAAGTGGCATCCATGATTATTGCGCTATAAAGCGACGTGCATGCTGTTCTAGTCCGGACTGATGCCTATTTATAGTGCTAGCCCACTGAGATTCCATGCCGCAGTTTAACATGAGCACCCCACTCAGACACAGAAAACTGATTCCGAGCCGACCAGTCCTTGTTTTTAGCCCCTTAATGCCGAGTGCCAGGTCGGGTAACAACAATTACAATTTTTCAACGTCTTTTCGTATGACGCGGCCCGGGATTGAACCCGGGGCCTTCCGCTCTCCAGGCGGACGCTCTACCAATAGACCTTGGAGGCGGTCAATGAATGAATGAGAATAATAAAACTGTATTTATTTATCCCCGTTGGTGTATCTACCTCATACTTGTTACATATACACATGTAACCCATCAAAAGACATTTACATATACATTCATTATTTTTCTAGCTTTTGTAGAAGTTTGGTACAGTTACCCTTTCCTTGAGATAACTTGAAACTCTTTAGTGAGTGAGTGAGTATGGTTTTACGCCGCTTTTAGCAACATTCCAGCAATATCACAGGGGGACACCAGAAATGGGTTTCACACATTGTACCCATGTCGGGAATCGAACCCGGGTCTTTGGCGTGACAAGCGAAAGCTTTAACCACTAGGCTACCCGACCGCCCCTCGAAACTCTTGAACCTCACAATAAAAACCCAGTCCCGGTTCCATTTCTTTCAACTCTTACAAACAAAGAGTCCATTATTGTGGCCTAATCTTTGTAAATTTAGTAACGGGTTTCAAAGGTACCATTGCTTTTCTCCCTAAATTTTAATAACATTACGTGGGGAGTTTCATACTAAAATCACTGTTTATAAATTTAAAAAAATGGATAACAATTTGCAACACAGAAATTACAACCATTTCGTTGTTGTCCTGTCCAGAAGATTCGCGTCATTTCTGTCTTTACTTCGGTAGTGAAGATCTACCGTGTTTGTATTTCACTTAGACGTTTAATGAACTACAGCCCGTCATGAAAAACCTTGACACGCCAGAGCAACCACTGCAGTCCTGGAACTAATTATAAACAGTTACTTAAGTCGTGTAGCTAAACATAAACAGTTACTTAAGTCGTGTAGCTAAACATGAACAGTTACTTAAGTCGTGTAGCTAAACATGAACAGTTACTTAAGTCGTGTAGCTAAACATGAACAGTTACTTAAGTCGTGTAGCTAAACATGAACAGTTACTTAAGTCATGTAACTAAACATAAACAGTTACTTAAGTCGTGTAGCTAAACATAAACAGTTACTTAAGTCGTGTAGATACATAAACAGTTACTTAAGTCGTGTAGCTAAACATGAACAGTTACTTAAGTCATGTAACTGAACATAAACAGTTACTTAAGTCGTGTAGCTAAACATAAACAGTTACTTAAGTCGTGTAGCTAAACATAAACAGTTACTTAAGTCGTGTAGATACATAAACAGTTACTTAAGTCGTGTAGCTAAACATGAACAGTTACTTAAGTCATGTAACTGAACATAAACAGTTACTTAAGTCGTGTAGCTAAACATAAACAGTTACCTAAGTCGTGTATATACATAAACAGTTACTTAAGTCATGTAGCTAAACATGAACAGTTACTTAAGTCGTGTAGCTAAACATAAACAGTTACTTAAGTCGTGGAGCTAAACATGAACAGTTACTTAAGTCGTGTAGCTAAACATGAACAGTTACTTAAGTCGTGTAGGTAAACATGAACAGTTACTTAAGTCGTGTAGCTTAACATAAACAGTTACTTAAGTCGTGTAGCTAAACATAAACAGTTACCTAAGTCGTGTAGCTAAACATAAACAGTTACTTAAGTCGTGTAGATACATAAACAGTTACTTAAGTCATGTAGCTAAACATGAACAGTTACTTAAGTCGTGTAGCTAAACATAAACAGTTACTTAAGTCGTGTTGCTAAACTTAAACAGTTACTTAAGTCGTGGAGCTAAACATGAACAGTTACTTAAGTCATGTAGCTAAACATGAACAGTTACTTAAGTCGCGGAGCTAAACATGAACAGTTACTTAAGTCGTGTAGCTAAACATGAACAGTTACTTAAGTCGTGTAGGTAAACATGAATAGTTACTTAAGTCGTGTAGCTTAACATAAACAGTTACTTAAGTCGTGTAGCTAAACATAAACAGTTACTTAAGTCGTGTAGATACATAAACAGTTACTTAAGTCATGTAGCTAAACATGAACAGTTACTTAAGTCATGTAGCTAAACATAAACAGTTACTTAAGTCGTGTTGCTAAACTTAAACAGTTACTTAAGTCGTGTTGCTAAACATGAACAGTTACTTAAGTCATGTAGCTAAACATGAACAGTTACTTAAGTCGTATAGGTAAACATAAACAGTTACTTAAGTCGTGTAGCTAAACATGAACAGTTACTTAAGTCGTGTAGCTTAACATAAACAGTTACTTAAGTCGTGTAGCTAAACATAAACAGTTACTTAAGTCGTGTAGCTTAACATAAACCGTTACTTAAGTCGTGTAACTAAACATAAACAGTTACCTTAGGTATACTCAACATAAACAGTCAAATAAGTCATGTAACTAATTATATACAGTTACTTTAGTCACGACCAAAGTTTGAACAGTTACTAAAGTCATGGGACTGATTTGTAAACAGTTACGTTAGTCATGGACTAATAATGAACAGTTACTTTAGTCACGAACTAATAATAAACATTTACTAAAGGCATGTAACCGATATTAACAGTTACTTTAGTCACGAACTAATTATTAACAGTTAGTTTATTCGCGAACTAAATATCAACATTTACTGAAGTCATGGAACTAATTATATGATTATTATGTCAGAAAACATTTTATACTACAGTATCCAGAACATATCTCCATTCTGTTATAATAACTACCCTGAGTCTATTCGCCATGACAGCTTCATCTCGAATCGAATGACAACACAAAATTAGTGTCCAATATATTGTTTCTTGGTGATTGAAACAAGCTGCGATGTCACCGTCACTACGCTCGTCTTGTCTTGTCTTGTCGAGTACAGTGGGGCCCCCTGTGTAAGGTACATACACCTCTCGTTCGGTAAATGTAGGTGTTAGGTGGATACACTTCCGAGGTTAAATAAACATTTCGCATGTGCAACAGCTACATTCCACCTGCACGACGGAGGCCTGTAAATAATAGCGATTTTAGCAATATTCAAGAAATATGACAGCGGGGGACACAAGAAATGGGGTTTGAACACACATGGGGATTCGAACCTGGGCCTCGGCGGTCTATAAATAATAGAGTCCGTAACAGACAAACTATTGACTGATATAGTGGACTACGTTCCACGCCGTCGGGCACGAAGGCACACAATCAGAAAAGTCACAGAATCTGACCATTCGATCCATTAAAACGCCTCATTCGATCAGTATAGGGTGCTGAGGACCAATTCTCACCCGGAATCACCTTTTAAGCCATGGGCCTTTTAAAATGGCATTGTGCCCTACTCAGTAACCGAGGTACTAGAACCTGGAATCCCCACGGGGCAATGTATTTATGTTTGTTTGTCTATATTGTCTATAAATCCAGACTGATATCATGAGCATCGATCCGCGCTATTAGGATCGATGACATGCATCAAACAAGTCAGCGAGGCTGACCACCCAATCTCCTAAGTCGCCTCGTGCGACAAGCATAGTCGCTTTTTACGGCAAGCATGGGTTGCGGAAGACCTATTCTACCCCGGATCTTAATGGGTCAAATGTATTTATGATTGTACAGGGAAGAGGGAGGGTAGAATTGAGTTAATTAATTTAGGTCCCACAAAAGTAATATAGTTGTCACTGTAATCACCATCCCCACCCCTCCTCCTACAACAAAAAAGAAAATAGAGAGAAAACATAAAATAGTTAAAAGTTAAAATACATGTAAAAATTGATAAAAGAAATCACAATGATGATTAGGTAAAATAACTCTTCTCCTTGAAATATCTCCCAGCGCAAAGATTACAATATTCAGATTGCTACAAAACACACACTATGCCTGCTCAGGTTCAACCCAAGCGACAAAAAACATAATTGAAAATCCATCTACTAGCCTTAATTAAATGCAGTTGACATAATAGGATCATTGGATTCGACTGTTGTGTAACATGGACTTTGGATGTCATGACAAACAAACAACATAAAAAAACGTTGGCGAACTGCCACCTGGTACCCGACGATGCAGCCATTGTCAAGAGAAAGGACAAGGCCAAATGATACCATTGATTTGGAAGATGATGAATTTACTTCAGGAGCGATTGGATTACAACTAAATCTGAAAAAAACCGCACGTTCTTGAATGTTAAATTTGAAAATAAGGAAAGATCTTCAAACTTAACTAACATTTGATTTTCCTGTGCTAGCATCATGTCATTCAAGTTGTTCAATTATAGGAACGTATTTCAGGACGTGAACTTGGCACCTCATTACACTGCTACCAGCCTGTTAGTCATATAATCACAGGTGACTTCTCTATTGCTGAAATAAAAGCCTTGTCTGTTATTCAAATATGTCCAAAGGCATTATAAACCCACTTTCAGTAGTTGTTGTTGTTGTTGAGTATGGTTTTACGCCGCTTTTAGCAATATCACGGCGGGGGACACCAGAAATGGGCTTCACACATCGTACCCATGTCGGGAATCGAACCCGGGTCTTCGGCGTGACGAGCGAACGCTTTAACCACTAGGCTACCCGACAGCCCCCACTTTCAGTAGTTGGTTCTGCAGCACCGAAAAACCATATTACAATTTATAATATATATTTTAAAACCTTCATGAGATCATAATCTTAATAGATTATATTTTACCAACCTTTGCTGTCAATTATTACTCGAGATATCACAAACAGTATTGTGTTTCAAAATTTAAAATAATTTTACGAATTAATTATTTTCACTTGTTTTACATAGAAAACAAATCACTAAAATTAATTCAATGCCCTTCCCACCCCTACCCCATTCTTTTGTTTTAAATGAATAAATAGAAATAAATAACTTATTTTATATAGCTGTAACGTACTTTTATGACCCGCGTCCTGTGGAAATGGGTGTTTACTGGCGTAATCAGCTGTAACCGCTGTATAGGCGGCTGAGAGTGTCCCACAATGTGACCTCTTCTTCTGTCGAATGATCGCGTCAGGTGTTTGGGCGTCGTGACAGTAGTCAAAGGGATGAAATCTGAAACCTGCACATACACTGAGTCAACGCTGATCTTCTGTGTGTGGTGTTTTTCTGCTGTGAATGTCGACCCTGCAACTGGCTGGAGTCATGCTATTTCCGAGAGTGAGTGAGTGAGTGAGTGAGTGGGTGAGTTAGTGAGTGGGTGGGTGGGTGGGTGGGTGAGTGAGTGAGTGAGTGAGTGACACCGGAAAATGGGCTTCACACAATCGAACCCGGGTCTACGGCGTGACGATGTTATTTCCGAACCCGGGTTTCTCTCGGGTTTTGTTGTTCCGTTAAAGACAGTAGGCCATGTACTAAAGACAAACGAGGCTCTTGGTTTTAATTAAGAAATATATTAGTTAAAGATTGTCCTCATTACACAGACAAAACTTTGAAGTTTACAATGTGACGGACCTTTGATATTCGTATGTGTGGTATGATTGTGTCAATGTTTGTGTGTGTGTGTGTGTGAGAGAGAGAGAGAGAGAGAGAGAGAGAGAGAGAGAGAGAGAGAGAGAGAGAGAGAGAGAAGGGGGGGCGGGGGGGTTAAGGAGAGGCAATATTCCTTTTTGTCACTGGGTTAAGACATACATGTTTTTGTTCCGTTTGAAGGGGAGAGATGCATTGTTGAATGAACAGTTTCAGTTTTATATATAATGTTGTACTGCCTTAAATATAGATAAATTTTCTGTAACAGCGTGATCTGCATTGCCGTATAACAGTAGGTGTACATCAACAGGTATGTTATGAACAATATTTTTAAGGCTGTTAAACATAATTTCACGCTGATGACTAAACAATGTACATTCCATGAGATAATGATATGCATTTTCACATGTATTTGAACATGTACAGTTCGGGTGATCTTTTATACCAATTCTATATAAATAATAACTCAAATGACTGCACATGTATCTCAGTTTTGTGTGTTAGATTTTATATTTTCTTTTTCTATATGCGAAGTACGCAGGTGACGTGGGGTGGTGCTTTTGATTTAAAAAAAATTAAAACAAGAAATCGTAGAATTTGGATTTCATGACGGAATAGAGTTCCACAATCGGATAGTCGATGCCCAAGTACTTTTATTTTCAGCGTTGGCCGATTATGTAGAATCGCACAAATGTACCACTTTATATTATTCCAGGAGAGTATCAAAATGCATCTCGTGCTGTTTTCTTGCACAGTCCGAACGGTCAACCTGGTCAGCGTCTTTGCACGTCTCGTCGACACACTCTTTGATTTAGTTGACGAGTTATTACACTGTTGTACGGATGCGTTGGACAAGTCAGCCTTACCCACTTTCTGTTAAATTATTGCGGTCTAGCGGACAGAGCGTCTGCACGGAGTGTGGGAGGTCGGTGGTTCGATCCCCGGTCGAGTCATACCAAAAGAATCGCGGTATGGCTGTAACATTGCCGATGCGATGTAACATTATAACTCACTTACTCAAACCTAAAGACGTTAAAAGATGGGTCTTGTAGTTTCCCTGCCTGGAGCTCGGCATTGGGAGGATTAAACAAAGACTGGTGAACTGGAAAACAATTGTGACATCTTCAATTGTTTACTAATAATTATTGCATTTCGGGCTTACACTACTTTAGGAGCCACATTATGTTGGGTAACTTTGTTATAAATAGGAGAATGTCATTCATTTCATTCCAACGACCTCGAACGAGTTCCACGTGCATTGAGGACATTCTCCTTGACATTTTTGAAGCAACGGGTCCAGCTGATTTATCCGGATTTAAAAAAAACCCTATTTCTTTACAACCCCCACCTCCACATCCAGCAATATTCCAGCTATGTCTGTAAATAATCGAGTCTAGACCAGACAACACAGTGATTGCCATTATCAGCATCGATCCACGCAATTGGGATACGATGACATGCATCAACCAAGTCAGCGAGTCTGACCACCCGATCCCGTTTGTCGCCTCTTACGACAAACATGGGTTGCTGAAGACCAATTCTAACCACGATATTCACGGGTGGACGTTTCCGATGCTAATTGCTAATCCAGTTAAAAGGAATTGAGATATATAGCATGCAGGGCAAAAGAAAGTATACGCTTGAAAATGGGATCTCAAGAAACCTGACGTGGCAGACGCAGTGAGAAATATTCTCACGGAGCGCCTTGCCGGAAAGACAGCGAAAGAGGTGAAGGGAAATGGTGTTTAACGTCGCGTGCATGCACGTGTGTGTATGCGTGCGTGCGTGCGTGCGTGCGTGTGTTTGTGTGTGTGGCTGCTTGTACTAGTCCGGACTGATGCCAATCTATAGTGCTAGCCCACCGAGATACCATGCCACAGTTTAACATGGATACCCCACTCAGACACAATATACTGACTCCGAGCCGACCAGTCCTTGTTTTAGCCCCTTATGCCGAGCGCCAGACAGGGTAACAACAGGTTCCGCCTTTGAACGTGTTATGACGCGGCTGGGGATCGAACCCCGGACCTTCAGCTTTCCGGGCGGACGCTGTACCACTAGACCACGGAGAAAGAACAAACGCAGTGATTAGATATGCAGCATTATGTATTAACATATTCCAGGTGTCGGAAAGAAACATTTGCAACAACAGAACTCATGCATGTGACTGAGATGCTCCGCGATAGACGATAGTTCATAGTTCCCGTACCTAAAACAAAAACAGTTTAATTCTACACAGATGAAAGAAGCAGATTATATATTTTACAGTCGCGAGTTGGATAAATTTACTAAAAATGACAAATTTCGCGGACGAAGCATAAGAACTGTTTTGAATAAAAACAATGCAAAGTTATTGTAAACATATTATGCGTATTGCAATTTTTCGAAATAAATAATATTTTCAAGACCCTTCCAGAAACATTTTTTTTCTAGTAACCTTGTCCCGATAATAACTGCATGTATGATTTGTATCTAAACTGTATGAGTAATATACCTTTCCATTATTTTCTATTAGCCAAACTTTGAAAACATCCTGGGAAAGGTTCCGGAAGCTGATGTTCTTTTGGTTCCGAAAAACCCACGACCGGAACCTTTTTGGCCAAACACTGACCCGCCCATCCCGCCCATCGCATCAATCATCTTCCGAGCCATATTCGCCTCTGCAATAGACAATGAATGTTACACAAATTTCTGTGGTAGATAATGCATGTTATACCTAATCCGGTAGATAAATTGCAGAGCATGTTGTACATAAACACACGATGGACAGAGCATGCTGTACCTATACACATGTTGAACAGAGCATGTTGTACATATACGCGTTGTGGACAGAGCATGCTGTACCTATACATGCGGTGGACAGAGCATGTTGTACCTATACACATGGTGGACAGAGCATGTTGTACCTATACACACGGTGGTCAGAGCATGTTGTACCTATACACACGGTGGACAGAGCATGTTGTACCCATACACACGGAGGACAGAGCATGCTGTACCTATACACACGGTGGAGAGAGCATGTTGTACCTATACACACGGTGGACAGAGCATGTTGTACCTATACACACGGTGGAGAGAGTATGTTGTACCTATACACACGGTGGAGAGAGCATGTTGTACCTATACACACGGTGGACAGAGCATGCTGTACCTATACACACGGTGGAGAGAGCATGTTGTACCTATACACACGGTGGACAGAGCATGTTGTACCTTTACACTAGGTGGACAGAGCATGTTGTACCTATACACACGGTGGACAGAGCATGTTGTACCTATACACACGGTGGACAGAGCATGTTGTACCTATACACTCGGCGGACAGAGCATGTTGTACCTATACACACGGTGGACAGAGCATGTTGTACCTATACACACGGTGAACAGAGCATGTTGTACCTATACACACGGTGGAGAGAGCATGTTGTACCTATACACACGGTGGACAGAGCATGTTGTACCTATACACACGGTGGAGAGAGCATGTTGTACCTATACACACGGAGGACAGAGCATGTTCTACCTATACATAGGGTGGACAGAGCATGTTGTACCTACACACACAGTAGACAGAGCATGTTGTACCTATTCACACGGTGGACAGAGCATGTTGTACCTATACACACGATGGACAGAGCATGTTGTACCTATACACACGGTGGAGAGAGCATGTTGTACCTATACACACGGTGGACAGAGCATGTTGTACCTATACACACGGTGGACAGAGCATGTTGTACCTATACACACGGTGAACAGAGCATGTTGTACCTATACACACGGTGGAGAGAGCATGCTGTACCTATACACACGGTGGAGAGAGCATGTTGTACCTATACACACGGTGGACTGAGCATGCTGTACCTATACACATGGTGAACAGAGCATGTTGTACCTATACACATGGTGGACAGAGCATGTTGTACCTATACACACGGTGGACAGAGCATGTTGTACCTATACACACGGTGGACAGAGCATGTTGTACCTATACACACGGTGAACAGAGCATGTTGTACCTATACACACGATGGACAGAGCATGTTGTACCTATACACACGGTGAACAGAGCATGTTGTACCTATACACACGATGGAGAGAGCATGTTGTACCTATCAAACGGTAGAGAGCATGTTGTACCTATACACTCGGTGGACAGAGCATGTTGTACCTATACACACGGTGGACAGAGCATGTTGTACCTATACACACGGTGGACAGAGCATGTTGTACCTATATACACGGTAGAGAGCATGTTGTACCTATACACACGGTAGAGAGCATGTTGTACCTATACACACGGTGGACAGAGCATGTTGTACCTATACACACGGTGGACAGAGCATGTTGTACCTATACACACGGTGGACAGAGCATGATGTACTTATATACACGGTGGACAGAGCATGTTGTACCTATACACATGGTGGACAGAGCATGTTGTACCTATACACACGGTGGACAGAGCATGTTGTACCTATACACATGGTGAACAGAGCATGTTGTACCTATACACACGGTGGAGAGAACATGTTGTACCTATACACACGGTGGACAGAGCATGATGTACTTATATACAAGGTAGACAGAGCATGTTGTACCTATACACACGGTGGACAGAGCATGTTGTACCTATACACACGGTGGACAGAGCATGTTGTACCTATACACACGGTGGAGAGAACATGTTGTACCTACACACATGGTGGACAGAGCATGTTGTACCTATACACACGATGGACAGAGCATGTTGTACCTATACACACGGTGGACAGAGCATGTTGTACCTATACACACGATGGACAGAGCATGTTGTACCTATACACACGATGGACAGAGCATGTTGTACCTATACACACGGTGGACAGAGCATGTTGTACCTATACACACGGTGGAGAGAACATGTTGTACCTACACACATGGTGGACAGAGCATGTTGTACCTATACACACGATGGACAGAGCATGTTGTACCTATACACACGGTGGACAGAGCATGTTGTACCTATACACACGGTGGACAGAGCATGTTGTACCTATACACACGGTGGACAGAGCATGTTGTACCTATACACACGGTGGAGAGAACATGTTGTACCTACACACATGGTGGACAGAGCATGTTGTACCTATACACACGATGGACAGAGCATGTTGTACCTATACACACGGTGGACAGAGCATGTTGTACCTATACACACGGTGGACAGAGCATGTTGTACCTACACACATGGTGGACAGAGCATGTTGTACCTATACATAGGGTGGACAGAGCATGTTGTACCTATACACACGATGGACAGAGCATGTTGTACCTATACACACGGTGGACAGAGCATGTTGTACCTATACACACGGTGGTCAGAGCATGTTGTACCTATACACACGGTGGAGAGAGCATGTTGTACCTATACACACGATGGACAGAGCATGTTGTACCTATACACACGGTGGACAGAGCATGTTGTACCTATACACACGGTGGTCAGAGCATGTTGTACCTATACACACGGTGGACAGAGCATGTTGTACCTATACACACGGCGGACAGAGCATGTTGTACCTATACACACGGTGGAGAGAGCATGCTGTACCTATACACACGGTGGACAGAGCATGTTGTACCTATACACACGGTGGAGAGAGCATGTTGTACCTATACACACGGTGGACAGAGCATGTTGTACCTATACACATGGTGGACAGAGCATATTGTACCTATACACACGGTGGACAGAGCATGTTGTACCTATACACACGGTGGACAGAGCATGTTGTACCTATACACACGGTGGACAGAGCATGTTGTACCTATACACACGGTGGACAGAGCATGTTGTACCTACACACATGGTGGACAGAGCATGTTGTACCTATACACATGGTGGACAGAGCATGTTGTACCTATACACACGGTGGACAGAGCATGTTGTACCTATACACACGGTGGAGAGAGCATGCTGTACCTATACACACAGTAGACAGAGCATGTTGTACCTATACACATGGTGGACAGAGCATGTTGTACCTATACACACGGTGGACAGAGCATGTTGTACCTATACACACGGTGGAGAGAACATGTTGTACCTATACACACGGTGGAGAGAGCATGTTGTACCTATATACAAGGTGGAGAGAACATGTTGTACCTATACACACGGTGGAGAGAACATGTTGTACCTATACACACGGTGGAGAGAGCATGTTGTACCTATACACACGTTGGACAGAGCATGTTGTACCTATACACACGGTGGACAGAGCATGTTGTACCTATACACACGGTGGACAGAGCATGTTGTACCTATACACACGGTCGACAGAGCATGTTGTACCTATACACATGGTGGACAGAGCATGTTGTACCTATACACACGGTGGAGAGAGCATGTTGTACCTATACACATGGTGGAGAGAACATGTTGTACCTATACACATGGTGGACAGAGCATGTTGTACCTATACACACGGTGGACAGAGCATGTTGTACCTATACACACGGTGGAGAGAGCATGTTGTACCTATAAACACGGTGGAGAGAGCATGTTGTACCTATACACACGGTGGACAGAGCATGTTGTACCTATACACACGGTGGAGAGAGCATGTTGTACCTATACACACGGTGGACAGAGCATGTTGTACCTATACACATGGTGGAGAGAACATGTTGTACCTATACACACGGTGGACAGAGCATGTTGTACCTATACACACGGTGGACAGAGCATGTTGTACCTATACACACGGTGGAGAGAGCATGTTGTACCTATAAACAGGGTGGAGAGAGCATGTTGTACCTATACACACGGTGGACAGAGCATGTTGTACCTATACACACGGTGGAGAGAGCATGTTGTACCTATACACACGGTGGACAGAGCATGTTGTACCTATACACACGGTGGAGAGAGCATGTTGTACCTATAAACACGGTGGACAGAGCATGTTGTACCTATACACACGTTGGACAGAGCATGTTGTACCTATAAACACGGTGGACAGAGCATGTTGTACCTATTCACACGGTGGAGAGAGCATGTTGTACCTATAAACACGGTGGACAGAGCATGTTGTACCTATACACACGGTGGAGAGAGCATGTTGTACCTATACACACGGTGGACAGAGCATGTTGTACCTATACACACGGTGGAGAGAGCATGTTGTACCTATACACACGGTGGACAGAGCATGTTGTACCTATACACACGGTGGAGAGAGCATGTTGTACCTATAAACACGGTGGAGAGAGCATGTTGTACCTATACACACGGTGGACAGAGCATGTTGTACCTATACACACGGTGGAGAGAGCATGTTGTACCTATACACACGGTGGACAGAGCATGTTGTACCTATACACACGGTGGAGAGAGCATGTTGTACCTATAAACACGGTGGACAGAGCATGTTGTACCTATACACACGTTGGACAGAGCATGTTGTACCTATAAACACGGTGGACAGAGCATGTTGTACCTATTCACACGGTGGAGAGAGCATGTTGTACCTATACACACGTTGGACAGAGCATGTTGTACCTATACACACGGTGGAGAGAGCATGTTGTACCTATAAACACGGTGGACAATGCATGTTGTACCTATACACACGGTGGAGAGAGCATGTTGTACCTATACACACGGTGGACAGAGCATGTTGTACCTATAAACACGGTGGAGAGAGCATGTTGTACCTATACAAACGGTGGTCAGAGCATGTTGTACCTATACACACGGTGGAGAGAGCATGTTGTACCTATACACACGGTGGAGAGAGCATGTTGTACCTATACACACGGTGGAGAGAGCATGTTGTACCTATACACACGGTGGAGAGAGCATGTTGTACCTATACACACGGTGGAGAGAGCATGTTGTACCTATACACTAGGTGGACAGAGCATGTTGTACCTATACACTAGGTGGACATAGCATGTTGTACCTATACACACGGTGGAGAGAGCATGTTGTACCTATACACTAGGTGGACATAGCATGTTGTACCTATACACACGGTGGACAGAGCATGTTGTACCTATACACTAGGTGGACATAGCATGTTGTACCTATAAACACGGTGGACAGAGCATGTTGTACCTATTCACACGGTGGAGAGAGCATGTTGTACCTATACACACGTTGGACAGAGCATGTTGTACCTATACACACGGTGGAGAGAGCATGTTGTACCTATAAACACGGTGGACAGAGCATGTTGTACCTATACACACGGTGGAGAGAGCATGTTGTACCTATACACACGGTGGACAGAGCATGTTGTACCTATAAACACGGTGGAGAGAGCATGTTGTACCTATACAAACGGTGGTCAGAGCATGTTGTACCTATACACACGGTGGAGAGAGCATGTTGTACCTATACACACGGTGGACAGAGCATGTTGTACCTATAAACACGGTGGAGAGAGCATGTTGTACCTATACACACGGTGGAGAGAGCATGTTGTACCTATACACACGGTGGACAGAGCATGTTGTACCTATAAACACGGTGGAGAGAGCATGTTGTACCTATACAAACGGTGGTCAGAGCATGTTGTACCTATACACACGGTGGAGAGAGCATGTTGTACCTATACACACGGTGGAGAGAGCATGTTGTACCTATACACACGGTGGAGAGAGCATGTTGTACCTATACACACGGTGGAGAGAGCATGTTGTACCTATACACTAGGTGGACAGAGCATGTTGTACCTATACACACGGTGGACAGAGCATGTTGTACCTATACACTAGGTGGACAGAGCATGTTGTACCTATACACTAGGTGGACAGAGCATGTTGTACCTATACACACGGTGGACAGAGCATGTTGTACCTATACACTAGGTGGACAGAGCATGTTGTACCTATACACATGGTGGACAGAGCATGTTGTACCTATACACTAGGTGGACAGAGCATGTTGTACCTATACACATGGTGGACAGAGCATGTTGTACCTATACACACGGTGGACAGAGCATGTTGTACCTATACACATGGTGGACAGAGCATGTTGTACCTATACACATGGTGGACAGAGCATGTTGTACCTATACACACGGTGGACAGAGCATGTTGTACCTATACACACGGTGGACAGAGCATGTTGTACCTATACACTAGGTGGACAGAGCATGTTGTACCTATACACTAGGTGGACAGAGCATGTTGTACCTATACACACGGTGGACAGAGCATGTTGTACCTATACACTAGGTGGACAGAGCATGTTGTACCTATACACATGGTGGACAGAGCATGTTGTACCTATACACACGGTGGACAGAGCATGTTGTACCTATACACACGGTGGACAGAGCATGTTGTACCTATAAACACGGTGGACAGAGCATGTTGTACCTATACATAGGGTGGACAGAGCATGTTGTACCTATAAACACGGTGGACAGAGCATGTTGTACCTACACACATGGTGGACAGAGCATGTTGTACCTATACACTGGGTGGAAAGAGCATGTTGTACCTATATACAAGGTGGAGAGAGCATGTTATACCTATACACACGGTGGACAGAGCATGTTGTACCTATACACTAGGTGGACATAGCTTGTTGTACCTATACACTAGGTGGAAAGAGCATGTTGTACCTATATACAAGGTGGAGAGAGCATGTTATACCTATACACACGGTGGACAGAGCATGTTGTACCTATACACTAGGTGGAAAGAGCATGTTGTACCTATATACAAGGTGGAGAGAGCATGTTATACCTATACACACGGTGGACAGAGCATGTTGTACCTATACACTAGGTGGACAGAGCATGTTGTACCTATACACTAGGTGGACATAGCTTGTTGTACCTATACACTAGGTGGAAAGAGCATGTTGTACCTATATACAAGGTGGACAGAGCATGTTGTACCTATACACACGGTGGACAGAGCATGTTGTACCTATACACATGGTGGACAGAGCATGTTGTACCTATAAACACGGTGGACAGAGCATGTTGTACCTATACACATGGTGAACAGAGCATGTTGTACCCATATACACGGTGGAGAGAGCATGTTGTACCTATACACACGGTGGACAGAGCATGTTGTACCTATACACATGGTGGAGTGAGCATTTTGTACATATATACAAGGTAGACAGAGCATGTTGTACCTATACACACGGTGGAGAGAGCATGTTGTACCTATACATAGGGTGGACAGAGCATGTTGTACCTATACACATGGTGGAGAGAGCATTTTGTACATATATACAAGGTAGACAGAGCATGTTGTACCTATACACACGGTGGACAGAGCATGTTGTACTTATACATACACCAGACACTGCATAGAATTATTTACATTTTTGTAGCGCTTATTCAGTAAATTCGTAACTATTCAATGTTACCCATATTGTCTGTGTTTGTTTTATTGCTTAGACGCTAATATTAAATAGTCTGTGAAGTACATTTACGGCTTTGCAATTAGTCTGAGGGAGTTACGCCCCTTACACCTTACCAACACTCGATGACAGAGCGATTTAGGTTTATCTCCCCTTTGCACAGCATTTAAGTTATATCTTACTGTGTGAGCGTGATGAGTGTCATGGGTACTAGAAGTACCGCTTTGGTGAAACCCACGAGCGGACAGACCAAAATATCCGTGCCAAAGGCTAGAGAATCTTCAGATGCAGGAGAGGCTATGGGAGGCTAGTGAGGCTAGAGATGCTGGAGAGGCTAGTGAGGCTGGAGAGACTGGAGAGGCTGGAAAGGCAAGAGAGGCTGAAGAGGCTATAGAGTGAGTGAGTGAGTGAGTGAGTGAGTTGGGCTTAACGCCGCTTTTAACAGTATTACAGTTATATCACGGCATGTCAGCTTAATGTGGGAGGAAAGCCCTAAGTGATGCAGGTCTCAGACGTTTACCACCCTTGGTGAAACCCACGAGCACAGGTATGGTGCTGACAAACCTAGAAACATAATCGGGGCGAACAGGGATTCGAACCCACAATCATAGGTTTCTGGCATGCCCAAGGGACGCAACTCTACACAGCGAATCGCGGCGCCTTAGACGACTGGGCCACCCGTGCCCTCCGAGGCTATAGAGGCTAGAGAGGCTGGAGAGGCGAGAGAGGCTATTGAGGCTAGAGAATCTTCAGAAGGCTAGTGTGGCTGGAAAGGATGGAGAGGCGAGAGATGCTGGAGAGGCTAGTGAGGCTTGAGAGACTGGAGAGACTAGTGTGGCTAGGGAGGCTAGAGTGGCTAGAGAGGCGGTAGAGGCGGTAGAGGCTAGAGAGGCTGGAAAGGCCAGAGAGGCCAGAGAGGCTGGAGAGGCTGAAGAGGCTAGTTAATCTGTTTGGAACCAACCAGGAACAACTACAGTATCATGGGATAGATACACTTCCACGGATACACGTTTCATTAATTTCGTAGCATTCCACGGAACTGCCACCGACACATTGCAACAACGGTGCGATAATTTTACCGAATTTCTACTGAAATTCTCGAAAGACACGTGAGAAGGAAACTATTAACACATCAATGCTAACTCGAAGATATGGTGACAATCGAAAATGTGTCGAGGAAGTTCGAGACAAACGGAGTGCCGATTCTGCTGAAGTTCTGCTGATTTTAGTTAGTTGTTGCGATGTGCGGATCCGCAGTTTAACATTTAACACCAGAGCAGGATCAAATATTTTGAAGTTGTAACAAAGTGTATCTGTAAGACCTCCTCGACTTCCCCTGCCCTTAGCAAGACCGCGATCCGACGTTCGGGCGTGACCGCTGTACGACGTCTGTGCGTTATTTTCGGACGGCATCCGAGCGTGACCATTGGGCGCCGTTTGGGCGTAACCATCGGACAATCTCTGGGCCTGACCACTGTGCGACGTTTGGGCGTGACCATCGGACAATCTCTGGGCCTGACCACTGTACGACGTTTGGGCGTAACCATCGGACAATCTCTTGGCCTGACCACTGTACGACGTTTGGGCGTAACCATCGGACAATCTCTTGGCCTGACCACTGTGCGACGTTTGGGCGTGACTATCGGACAATCTCTGGGCCTGACCACTGTGTGACGTTTGGGCGTGACCATCGGACGTCATCTGGGCCTGACCAGCAGACGGCGTCTTGACCTGACCTCTGTGCGACGTTTGGGCGTAACCATCGGACAATCTCTGGGCCTGACCACTGTGCGACGTTTGGGCGTGACCATTGGACGGCATCTTGGCGTGACCACTGTGCGATATTTTGGCATGACCATTTGGCGGTATCTGGGCGTGATTAGCGGACGGCGTCTGGGCCTGACCACTGTGTGACATTTGGGCGTGACCATTGGGCGGTGTCTGGGTGTGACCATTGGACGATATCTGGGCGCGACCACGATGCAACTTTTGGACATGACCACTGTGCGCAAACCGAGTGTGTTTCCTGGACGGACTCTGTCCACGCTCACTGTGTGACTTTGTGACACCATTGGAATCTGAAGTGCAGACAATGTAAGGAACGAGAGAATGTTAACATTTCAATCTGAGAAGATCTACAATTTCATTAAAATTGCGAAATCTTTTCTTCACGTTTTATTAATTCACATCCGGAAGACATCTGATTCTTGCCTAATCTGGGATTATCACAGTTGTATATAACAACTGATTGAGTGAGTGAGTTGGGTTTAACGCCTATTTGAACAGGATTCCAGCTATTATATCACGGCGTATCAGGTTAATGTGGGAGGAAATCCCGAAGTGATTCAGATCTTCGACGTTTATCACTTTGGTGAAACCCACGAGCACGGGTATGGTGCTGACAAACCAAGAAACATCATCGGGGCGAACCGGGATTCGAACCCACAATCATAGGATTCTGGCGTGCCAAAGGGACGCAACTCTGCACAGCGAATCGCGGCGCCTTAGACGACTGGGCCACCTGTGCCCCCCACATAAATCAGTAAACTCAATATGACAATAGGAAATATGTTGCAGTAATCTAAATTTACCGAGGGTGGGTGGGTTGTGATGATGTTCAATGGAATAATGACAAGGTACTCACCGTCAACAGAGTGCTTGTCTGGACCACATTTGGTATTTGAAGCACCAATGGCCGACTTCATCTGGGAAACTGGGACATTGTATATCAGAGTGTTACAGGATTTAATATTTAAGCATCCGGTAACATTGAATTTCCTTTACAGACACCAAAGTGCTCCCAAACTTAATATTATAACATCCGGTAACATGTCTTCACTACGTATCAAAGTCCACTAGGACCCAACAACCGGTAACATCCCATTATTGTATAATATCAGAGCACTCCAAAACCTAATATCATAACAACCAATAACATTCCTTCACCGACAGGAATCATATTCTACCAAATGGTAACACCCCTTTCCTGGAAACCACCTTAATAGTTTGTTTTTGAAACTTTATTGATCCAAAATATCTAATTGTTTCAACACGTATACACAGCGGACAGAAAATGACTAAACTAAGAACTAAAGATATAAATGTAGCTGCGGCGAGGTGTACATTAAAACACCGTGGTGTCGCATCTGAACGAAACATCTAATCACAATGAAATGCAAGTAGAAGCTGAAGTGGGGTTGCAATGAGACCAGGGCCCACTTGCACAAAGCGATTTAGTGCTAAGATGATCTTAACTCCCATACTTTAACATAGGATTACAATAGTAATCACAGATGACAGAAAACGATGTTGGCGACGTAGCGGCGAGGTCTATGCCAGGGCAACAATTCTTAATTGTGATCATGGTGAAGACTTCGCAACTTTCTGTATGTTTAGACCTGTGAAGGTCCGGGGTAGAATAGGTCTTCCGCAACCCATGCTTGACGTAAAAGGCGACTATGCTTGTCGTAAGAGTCGAATGACGGGAACGGTTGGTCAGGCTCAATGACTTCGTTGATGCATGTAATCCTATACCAATTGTGTGGATCCATGCTCATGATGTCAATCACTGAATTGTCTGGTCCAGACTCGATTATTTACAAACCGCCGCCATATAGCTGGATTATTGCTGAGTGCGGCGTTAAACAACAAACAAACAAAAATCCTGTATGTGTAATTAACAGAGCGGAATTTATTTTCAAACGCTGCCCACCTTTTAAATTTGAAAGGCCAAATACAGTTCTTGGATACATATGTTCAGATGGTGACGATAACGTCCCTGCTTGTTACTCAAATATGTATAACAGATTTACCGTCTCTGCGGACTCCTTTCATTTCCTCAAGCAGGTGCTCCTGTTGTTTCAGTAATTTGCTCATCACTGTCTCACCTAAACAAAGTATCATACGAGAAATAACATGCAACAATGAGAATTTGCTAGCCTGTCTGTTAAATTCACATACCTGATCTTTGAAATCCTTGTTAACCATATCTCTAAACTATTTTATGTCCAAAACATATCCCATCTCATCCATGCTAAATTTGAACGATATTCTATCATACCCATGCTATATCTGAGTTATTTCCTATCTGATTCATGCGATATCTGAGCATATCCTATCTGATCTGTGATACATCTGAGCCATATCCTATCTGATGCATGCTACATCTGAGCCACATCCCATCTGATGCATGCTACATCTGAGCCATATCCCATCTGATGCATGCTACATCTGAGCCATATCCCATCTGATGCATGCTACATCTGAGCCATATCCCATCTGACGCATGCTACATCTGAGCCATATCCCATCTGATTCAAGCTACATCTGAGCCATATCCTATCTGATTCATGCTACATCTGAGCCATATCCTATCTAATCCATGCTACATCTGAGCCATATCCTATCTGATTCATGCCACAACTGAGCCATATCCTATCTGATCCATGCGATATCTGAGCCATATCCTATCTGACTGATAATTTATCTGAATCATATCCCACGCATGCTTTATGAAACTCTTATGTACATTCTCACTCACGTTACATGAACCACATGTTATCTGATCAATTTATCTGAATCAACATCATGGCATATTTTAATTGTGTCACATATGACTAATTGTCCTGTCTTCTGTGTTGCCAGACGTGGTTCCTCACCATCAGTTGGAGTCTGGACATCGCCTGAACTTTGCAGTTGGTCCTCGTCAGTATCTTTATCTTGCTTGTCAATGGATTCGCCTTCGTTCCATTTTAATCCCCCAGCCTTGGTCCAGGAGTACTTATCCTTCCGCGAGGATCCAGCTTTGTGCAAATATAATATTTACAAAGTTGTCAAGAAATCATCCTTTTTCAAGTCACTATCGTCAATAATGTTCTGTTGGACCAGTGGGGGGCACGGGTGGCCCAGTCGTCTTAGGCGCCGCGATTCGCTGTTCATTCAGAGTTGCGTCCCTTGGGCACGCCAGAAACCTACAATTGTGGGTTCGAATCCCGGTTCGCCCCGATATGTTTCTAGGTTTGTCAGCACCATACCCGTTCTCGTGGGTTTCACCGAAGTGGTAAACGTCTGAGACCTGCATCACTTTGAGCTTTCCTCCCACATTAAGTGACACGCCGCAATATGCCTAGAATACTGTTAAAAGCAGCGTTAAACCCAACTCTCTAACTCACTCACTTCTGTATTGGTTTAGTACTTAGTTTGCTATTCGGGGTTTCTCGGTGTTAGGAAACACACTTCGGTTATCCCCGTGGTCTCGGGGTAGAGCGTCCGCCCGGATAGCTGAAGGTGCGGGGTTTCCCGGCCGCGTCATACCAAAAGACGGTACTTGTTGGTACCCTGTCTGGCGCTCGGAATTAAGGGGGTAAAACAAGGACTGGTCGGCCCTGGGCCAGTATACTGTGTTTGAGTGGGGTATCCATTTTAAACTGCGGTATGGTATCCGAGTGGGCTAACACTATAAAATCGACATCAGTCCGGACTAATACAAGCAGCCACGCGCGCACACATACACGTGCATGCTCGTCGCTATATAAGTGCAATAATCTTGGACTCGAGGTTAAACCCCATTTCACCTCACCACACCCACGGCTGAAAGGACAGGTTGTTCTCTACGACGTCCATGCATACGGGTTATAACCTTTGGCAAAAGCATGTGTCTTCACCTCCAGGTATCGCTAGACCATTAACGTGTCACCTTGCTACTGGTTTGTTCAGGTCGAAACTGATCAAATAGTCAGGTTTCGTTAGTAAGTGGTTATGGTGCAGTTTTCCCTCGGGTACTGAGGGGCGGTATTGAGCTAAAACTTACTGGCTAGGCTTTTATATTTCCCACCCCGTTTTTCTAGTAATCCGTAGATAACCGACTTTCCGTCTAGTATAGGTCAAGTACCTATTTACTATTGGGAGGCAAGTTACACTTTTGGTCAAGTACCCTTTTCAGTGATTGTGACTAAAGTACCTTTTATTTTGGGAAGTTTAGAATTTCTTTGCCCAGTCAAAGTGACTGAGGCTTAAGTCTATAAGACCAGTTTGCTATTCAGGCGTTTTCGTCTATTTTGTTGTCCAAGAGACCTATTTTAGAGACAGACCCACTCTGTTTATTTCCCGTTATTTATTAGAGTGTCTGGTTAATTAAATCTCAAGTGTTAATTGGTTGTAGCCGACTTAGTTTGTTGTCTATGTATCTTTCAATTATCTTGTCAAAGTGTTGATTTATTTACTCTTTTTTTTTACTGTTTTACAATTGCTTAGCTTATCAGCTTTTATATTTGTTCTGGTTTAACTAATCAGTGATCGTTGTCAGGGTAATTGTTTTTAATCCTTTAAATCCTTGACAGTTCGTGTTCACCCCAAGAGGTGAAGTTAGGTGAGGTGAAATGGGGTTTAAAGTCGCGTCCAAGATTATTGCACTTATATAGCGACGTGCATGCACGTGTGTGTGTGTGTGTGTGTGTGTGTGTGTGTGTGTGTGTCTGCTTGTACTAGTCGATTTATAGTGCTAGCACACTGAGATACCATGCCGCAGTTTAACATGAATACCCCACTCAGACACAGTATACTGACTCCGAACCGACCAGTCCTTGCTTTAGCCCCTTAATACCAAGCGCCTGACAGGGTAACAACAAGTACCATATTTTAACGTCTTTTGGTACGACGCGGCCGGGGATCGAACCCCGGACCTTCCGCTCTCCGGACGGACGCTCTACCACTAGATCAAAACATGGTACTGTATATACTCAAGCAGTTTGTTTACACCGTAATACTTCACTCGAACATATGACAGGCATTGAAAGCATATAAGCACGGCAACTTGGTAAGTTAACATGGGGTGGGCAACCCTAAAGAAAACAAAACAAGCTTTGCAAGGCTTTCGCTCTACATCGTGCGTCACAATCATGACGTCATATCGCTCATTGTGACGCAACAGATATGACGTCACAGTCGTATATAGAAAGGCGCCAAAATTCCAAGCTCTCTGTTGCCTCCAAAACGTAAATACATTCCCTTTGTAGATTTCTATCGTGTTTTCTGCATGAAATGTATTGCCACACATCCTTTGAATATTGTAGTAACCGCATCTGTGCATTTTGTAACCTGTAATTGTAGATATAATTATTTATCTATGCCTACCGACAATGACTGAATGACAATAGTACTATTGTATGAATATTAGCTTCCGCGGTGATGCGGTCGTCAAACCAGCTGTTGGGGTTTATTGTGATTTAATATCCTCTGATTGACCAATCAGAATCGAGTAAATTCCAAATTAAATGGTAGAATAATACATAACACCACTCAGTCTGTCAGAAGTGACGTCATCCTATGTACTTCTTACTGCTCAAATAATGTGACCCTACACGAAAAGGTTTCCACCATATCTGTGGATTATAAAGGCGATGACTTTAATGCAAACTAGACAAAAACAAAGAACACGGTTGCCAAGTTAAAAGTTTTCACCTCAAAGAAATTACCAAATATTTACAGCAATGTTTACTTCCGTATGATATCACTTCCGGTAACCGACTTTTACAAAATGGCGTGTTCACTGACAACAGTACGCGGGATTTCCTGAGGAGGATTTTCGATGATTTAGGGATCGCATATACATAATTGTGTCACGTAAGCAATCAGAAACATTCTGACAATCTGCGTACTATCATTTGTTTGTGACGTGATTTAGCGTCAGTCATGGCGTCACACAGGACGGAAACATTTATGGTTTCTGTTGAATTTACCAAATAATTGTAATGTGTATATTTGTAATTCCATAATTAGTGCAAAGCTTAAGATACTCTTCCCATGAATATTCTCAAACGCGTGATCGAGCCAATGTATGCAACAATTAGACGTAAGTACCTCTAAAAAGGCTTTTTGATCACTTCAGCAAGTACAGTTTTCGGAGCACAGTGTTCGTTTCTACAGCTAATTTATTTCGCATGATTTCATCTGGATAATTTGCTTTGGTGACAAAGACCGTTTGTCATTTGTTTCTAATATGTATGAGGAATTCAGGGATGCATGTATAGCGGCTGAGTTGAAATATACCAGATCGAATAGGCGTCTCATAACCGGCATTTTGTGAACACAATCCAATATGGCGGAACGTACACTACAGCGGTTGTGTATCATTAGTGATTTAATACCCGTGGTCACTAATATACTATTTTTCTATTTTAATTATTCGAGTAAATATCCGATATTTAGATTGCTTAACACACAGTAAAAAACGCCGTGAATTGTGATTTGGCGAGATTTACGATGTACCAAATTTTCAGTAATTTTGCTTTGCCTAAAATAACAGTGATTGATAAACAAAAGAGGGAATTCAAAACTGTGAAGTGTATTAGTTTGCGTGATGTATTTTGAATTTTATTCGACTTCGAAGTGAGGGTTGAAGAGGGGGGACATATGTGTCGCTGCGGCATCCAGGGGGTTTACACTCTAAAAAACGATAACGTTGACTTGACGACAGACAATGTAACTGATAATAATAACAAACAAACTCCCAGACGAGGACGAGTTTGTTTATTATTATTATTATTATTATTATCATCATCATTTACACGGTCCTGTACGTGGTTCAACACAGACGTAGGTCAACATTCGACTGAAGCACGAGCAACTGATCAATGACTAAGAATCAGTCCGTCATCATCTGACCTCAGGTCATCACCATGGAGTGGCCAATCACTGGTCTGGAATTCGATCTCACACATATGTTTGATACCAGTTCTCTCAAATGGGTTTCTCACCATTTGGTGTGTAAGAAAATTACAATCTTTTCTATTTTTTGTGCATTGTTTTACATCCATTAATTAGGCCCAGTGGAGTATTAAGGAAATTAATATATTTTGAATAAAATTTCTATCTTCCTCGCGACATTTTGTTGCTATTACCGGGGAAGCCAGAACCAAAAAATAAGAATTGTGTCTCCTAAACAAAAGCGGCAAAACCTGACTATAATCGTAATATGGCCTCAACGCCAGCGAATAACCAGTCTCGATTATCCACCGAAACAGATTCCATCGAGGTTAAAAGGAAACTTTAAGATAGAAGTGAAAGAAATCTATGCTAAAAGCACAGTCCAATGTACGATTCCGACTATATCATAAGCATGTGTTTATGAATCACTACCAAATAGTGATGACACCAGGTGTTCGCGAAAATAAATGAACGACTGACCTCCTTTCGACTCCACCGCCACCGTTAACACCGTCAAGACGACGAACATCACCCGCAACATGCTGTAAACACTAGGAAGCAAAAAAAGGTTAACTGTTACTTGTTTAACAATTATATTATAATAACAGTCACTGTGTTCCGTATACGAGAAGTGAGTGCGTTAATATTAAACGTCGCAACGGCATTATTTTAGCCATGAAGAGGCCGTATCCGAAAAGACTGATAGCGCCAGTTGATAGGGGTTGATGTCGTGCAATGACCAAATCGGTTCATGAAATATAATTATGACCATCCTTCCATGGTCACCTCGTAATAGAAACGCTATAGTACAGGCATTCGGCTATAAATCCTGGACAGAGGACTAAGTACTCACCAATATGCTCCCCTGTGTTTGTGTTGTTGTTTTTTAACGCAGCACTCGGCAATATTCCAGCTGTGGTCCAAGGTGTAGATGTAAAGTACCTATATGTCATTGAGTGCTAGTAACAACATTTTGCATCTTATATATAGAACTTTGACTGCGTGGACGGAGTCATCAGAAATATGCTGACCACAGAAGTACTTGTGACAGAAGTACTTATAAACAATCACAAATTACACTGATTTGGCATGTTCTGTCATTTAAAAATATGACTGAAACGTCGGTTGCAAATGATTTTAAGTAATTACAAGGTTTATGTCTTTGGAAACAATGAAAGTCCAACATTCTCACGGCCTGTGAAGGGTTTTTGTTGTGTTAGATTGCTCGCCTTCAGACTTTAGAACACACAGGCTCAGCGTGCTTTCGATATGAGCATTGGCCATTAAAGAAATATGGTTTTCGTATGCAAGTCGCAATCAATCGTATCAGATATTGAAATATATCCAGGCATTTGGGGATTCTTAATGTACGTCAACACAGATTACTTGTTTTTCGTTTGTAGAATATAGCATAATTAGTGATTTGAATTATTTCTTGGTTCCTTTACTCAGTACTCAGAAATATAACGCTCATTTCTTTAATGGATCCCGAATATGTTTGTTTCACTCAGCAATATTCCAGCTATATGACGGCGGGTTGTAAATAATCGAGTCTGGACCAGACAATCCAGTGATTAACACCATGAGCATCGATCACATAATTGGGATCGATGACATGCATCAACCAAGTCAGCGAGCCTGACCACACGATCCCGTTAGTCACCTCTTACGACAAGCATAGTCGCCTTTTACAGCAAGCATGGGTTGCTGAAGACAAATTCTACTTAAGATACTATGTTTGTGCCAAAGCTGGGCATTAACTGACAGTGTGTTTGAGAGTCTCATTAAATTCATTGCATAATCTACATTTCATATTTACATTTTGATGCAAAATCACACATTGACAGTTTCGAGTGGGAAGTGACTGGTCCTGAGCAGCAAACAGAAAGCCTTCTGTTTTACTTTTCAGCCCAGGCGACTTCATCCAAGCGAAGGACTCTGCAGGGTTGGTGATCTTCTCAACACACTGCACATAAACTCGATGCAGTGGTCGTTCAGAAAGCCTTTCCTTGAAAAACTGAGTCTGGACCGACTTAATATGACACTTCGCTTGGTTGACACTCATTTCTGTATCGTCCAGCAGTACATATCCATCAACAAAATCAACATTAATATTGAGATTATGTCCCACATCCTTAGCTCGTTTTCGAAAACCGTGGAATGTCTTGTTTTCATCATGAGTCTTCACAAGGCGATCATCAGACAAATAAATGTGTGCAAAAGTACACAATACAATTCTAACATGAGGAGCCCCAACGTTAATCAAACCACGCCCTTCCATCATAATTGGTAAATATGAGCGGTTGAAGGGAGAGCGAGGGTTGTGGGATCTATTGTCTGACATGATTCTCCGTGTCAGGGTGTCAATACCCTGATTTCCTGTTTCGTCCAATCAACAACACCAAAAGAATACGAAAGGACGGGTACAGCATATGTATTTGTGGCTTTGACTTTATTGCGAGCGTTCAGTTCTGAACTCCAGATTTTCTTAAGTCTACATTTGTACTCTGCCCGAAGTGTTTACATGAGATATGGGCATTCGGAAGTTTGTCCCTAACCTGCATACCTAAATACGTATAGGCCTGAACTTCCACGAGATGGTCAATAACTCCTCCCCCAAGTAAACTGACTGATCCTCCCTCTTCTACCTTGCCACGTTTAAGATAAAGAATGTTGACTTTGTCGAGTCCAAAGGACATACCGATATCATTAAAAAAGGACTCGACAAGGAGAATCTGTTTTCTTAGTGTTGATCCTCCAAAGGCAGTTTATCCAACACATTGAGAGGTTGCGGTGGTAAGTTTTAGCCTCTTCAAGGATCATTTTCTGAACCAGCAAATGATCCTTATAATTACAACCCCAACATCCCTTTCTGGTTCCTTTCTGCTCCATAAAGATAATGTCATTGGAAGCGCAGTAAATACGACACCCTGTAAATATTTTGTACTGTGTTTAAACAAGTAATAGGGCGGAAGTGTTTAGGGTCAGTCAGATCACCTTTCTTCGGAAGAGTGAGTGAGTAAGTTGGGTTTAACGCCGCTTTTAACAGTATTCCAGTTATATCACGGCGTGTCAGCTTAATGTGGGAGGAAAGCCCGAAGTGATGCAGGTCTCAGACGTTTACCACTTCTGTGAAACCCACGAGCACGGGTCTGGTGCTGACAAACCTAGAAACATAATCGGGGCGAACAGGGATTCGAACCCACAATCATAGGTTTCTTGCGTGCCCAAGGGACGCAAATCTGCACAGCGAATCGCGGCGCCTTAGACGACTGGGCCACCCGTGCCCCCGCTTGGTTCAAGACGTCAGGTAAATAATGAATATGGTATACAGCACCTCGAAACAGTTAACGTCATGCAAAGAACAGTCCGCATCGTTATTTTTTTCAATATTTTTATCATTAAATGTTTGTTTGTTTAACGCCGCACTCAGCAATATTCCAGATATATGACGGCGGTCTGTGATTAATCGAGTCTGGACCAGACAATCCTGTCATTGACACCAATAGTATAAAATTGGGATACGATGACATGTATCAACCAAGTCAGCGAGCCTGACCACCGTACCTGGTGGGTAAATGTTTTCAAAAATGAAATGAAAATTAAATCAATATCAGATACATGTGGATGTGAACTTTATTCGTTTGAAGGAAACAGTTTGTTATCATATATACGACCGACAAAAAGAGAGGGAACTAATAATTTGAATGTAGCTGTCGTTGAGGTGTACATTTACAAAAACGTGGCTTTGCATCTGAACGCTGCATCTGATCACAATGCACGAACAAACGGGTGACGTTGCAATGAGTGAGTGAGTGAGTTGGGTTTAACGCCGCTTTTAACAGTATTCCAGTTATATCACGGCGTGCCAGCTTAATGTGGGAGGAAAGCCCGAAGTGATGCAGGTCTCAGACGTTTACTACTTCGGTGAAACCCACGAGCACGGGAATGGTGCTGACAAACCTAGAAACATAATCGGGGCGAACAGGGATTCGAAACCACAATCATAGGTTTCTGGCGTGCCCAAGGGACGCAACTCTGCAGAGCGAATCGCGGCGCCTTAGACGACTGGGCAACAGTTCTTGACCATGATCAGTGTGGGGGCGGAGGTGTCATGGTGGGGGGTAGTATGAAGAGAACTGATTTAGTTATTTTCATTGAATATTTGACTGGCCAGCGATATGCCAGGGACCTGTCTTTGTTTCATTATCGGCAGAAATTCTGAACTGCAAGATGACGATGCCAGGCCACTACGTTCCCCGGTCGTAACCGATTATCTCCGACAAGAAGGCATACGGACATTGAACTGGTCCGCAAAGTCCCCTGTCGTGTCCCCAAGAGATGGTAAGCCAGTACTAGAGAGACCCAGCACCCGGGAAGCTCTTCCGGCGGAATGGCGGGCAATACCAAGGGCAGCCATAGGCAAGTTAATCAACAGTATGCCATCAAGATGTCGTTCACTATCATTTCATCAGTCCCCGTATTTTTTGTCGGTAATATATGTTGATTTTAACTCTGTGACGTCCATTTTATTTCAGTCGAGTGATGAGGCTTTAAAACTTGTATAGCTGAGGCCACTGTCCAAACCTTGACCACTCGCTGCAGCCGCGGAGTTATGACTGCTTATAATCGTCGCCTGTATCAGGTGACGTCTGTCCAGCTGTACCCTCAGTTTGTGTCTGGACATCGCCTGAACTTGGCAGTTGGTACGCGTCAGTATCTTCATCTTTTTTGTCAACGGGTTCCCCTGTTGTCGATTTTAACCCCCCTTCCAATGTCCAGGTGAAATGATCCTTCCGTGTGGATCCAGCTTTGAGAAAATAAAACTACATCGTTATGTCAAGGAACCATCGACTTTCAAGTCACTATTCACGAGGATTATATTTCTCAGGCTCCCTTATAACCCATTTCATATTAGAGTGAGTGAGTGAGTTGTGTTTAACGCCGCTTTTAACAGTATTCCAGTTATATCACGGCGTGTCAGCTTAATTTGAGAGGAAAGCCCGAAGTGATGCAGGTCTCAGATGTTTACCACTTCGGTGAAACCCACCAGCACGGGTTTGGTGCTGACAAACCTAGAAATATGATCGGGGAGAAGCGGGATTCGAACCAACAATCATAGGTTTCTGGCGTGTTTCAAGGCCACCCGTGACCCCCCCCCCCCCCCCCCCCCCCCGCCCCCCCCCGCCCCCCGCCACACACACACACATACTACATATTGGAGCTTAACCTCGTGATATTATGGGAGGGGGTCAGAATATTGTTTCACTGCCTCAAGTCATACAAATGCAGCCGAACAGTGTTTTTTCCCCAGAGAATAAATATTCGTATAACACATCTAAGGCAAAATTATGTTTTTCGAGTATTTTATCGAGCAAATGATTCTTTTGAAAACGTATCCATACGAAGTAGGCGGATGTGTACGTTTAAAACTATGTCATTGAATAAAAATATGCCATGTAAAAAGAGGTGAGGTGAAATGGGGTTTAACGTCGTGTTGAAGATAATTGCACTTGTTTTGCGACGTGCATGCACACTGATGCATGGATACCCCACTCAGTATGCTCATTCAAGGTCCAGTCCTTGTTATTTGCCGTGCGCCAGACAGGGCAACAACAAGTCCCTTCCCTTAGAGTCTTTTGGTATGACGCTGTTGGGAATGGGAACACCGACCTTCCGCTCTCCGCGCAGCCGCGCTATCCACAAGTCCACGGAGGCGATCGGGAATTAACAACAAAATGGAAGCGACGCATTTAAGGACACATACTCCTTCACGACTGTAAAAGTGATCTACATTAATAAAAGACCCGTGAAGATCCGGGTAAGAATAGGTCTTCAGCAACCCATGCTTGCCGTAAAAGGCGACAATGCTTGTGGTAAGAGGCGACTAACGGGATCGGGTGGTCAGGCTCGCTGACTTGGTGGATGCATGTCGTGGGCGCGTTACACACTAAGCTACCCCACCGACCCTTCTAAGTCGACATTGAAAATGAAGACCCAAGATTGTGATTGAAATAACGATATACCGGATTGGCTGTGACTTTGGCGCATGTTTGTCCCCATTTCATCGTCAGACAAGTCTGAGGATGTGCTTGGTTGGCTGTTATGGCGCATGCTTGCTCCCATTTCATCGTCAGAGAAGTCCGAGGATGTGCTTGGTTGGCTGTTATGGCGCATGCTTGCTCCCATTTCATCGTCAGAGAAGTCCGAGGATGTGCTTGGTTGGCTGTTATGGCGCATGCTTGCTCCCATTTCATCGTCAGAGAGGTCCGAGGATTCGTTTGTCGATCCATCGCTTCGAGGCCTCGAATCTTCGAATCAAATAATTAACAAACATTTACATTTTTATGAAAACTGTATGAGTGACATTTGATACAAGTAGAACAGGACAATTACATTTCCATTCCCTTTTTCATGAACACCTGGTTTCATCACTGATTTTCAGTGATCCATTCACATCATTTACATCACCCTTTTGCCTTTGACGCTCACTGGAATCTGTTTCTGTAGATCTGTGGTGCTGACGTTTTAAACATGTAGAATTAACCAGCTTGCAGAGACACTAGGGCCATTACTACAACTACAATCCCACGTGGTAGAAATGGGTCTCAAATAGCTTATTTTCTGGCGTTGGTGTTTTATATTTAGATAACCGTATCACAATGGGATACACCCCTTGTAAACAATAAAAGTGGTCGTTACTCAACAATCACGGGAAACACACACCTATTGCACCACGCCACCAATATTATTATGATGTGTGTCATTAGCGACGTTGTCACCTAATAACAGTTCGAGGTCTTCAAAGGTCAGATGGTCATGGAATGGGGGCCCGGCTTAATCCGCTTGGGTCACGGGACCATATATTGTCCCTAACAGGGTAACCCTTGGTGCCACGGGACAGAAGGAAACGCCTCTTTTCAAATGTGAATTAGAATTAAGATTTGCACAACTTAATAACATCATCATCCAAAGTGTCTGTGCTTAAACATCGTGTCATTCATGTCTTGTAGTGCTGTGGATTGCGAGAAATTGTCGACCTTTTGCTGCCATATTTGAATTTCAAGCGATTGACGCAAATTTGATTATGCAACCATGTCCCGAACACGTAAATATTTTATCATTGGGCAACCAATTTGAGAGAAGTTTCTGACCACCATGGTCAGCAAGATTTATTTCCCCCCACTGTGCAGGTATCAGCGTGAGACTTTATCTCGTCCTAAACGAGCCGGGTTCTGCCTAGTATTGCCTATTTAAATCGAATGTTTGCAATGGCGATTTAGCACGCGCTGGAGACGAAACGACACTGAGGATTGTCCTTTTGCTTATGAAGATTAACGACAGAAACTATTCAAATGTAAGTTCTGGAAATACAGCTATGAATGTTAATATTAATGTGATTACATTTATAGGCATGATCGACACTCACGGGTAAGCACCATCTTCCCGAGTCAAGGAAGTTAACTGACTATAAAAGTCCAATTTACACCTTTGCTTAACTTGACTTCAATTTCTGGGCTCGATCGTAGCGCCACCAGTAGCTAATAAGAGTGATGTCCCTTCTATGTTCCTCCTGTTGATCAATCAGATTCCACCTCTCATATCCCTTGCATTTGGTTCCAGCAAAATGGCGGCACCCAGTCAAGGTGATCCGACCGATAATCAATGCTCTTGAATTTCACATACATTACATTTTCGAAACGGTCTTATTTCGTCACACAGTGTAAACAAATTGTACTACATTTAATTTAAGATTATTGTCTTTCAAACAGTTTCTACATTCTCAGTTATGAAAAATATATTCCCATAAAGCTGTTAAAGGTTGTCATATTACAGCCTTGGGCTGCCATGAACCTGACCTGCAGCTTGCATGACACCTTGTTGTTTCATGGCTTGTGCAAATAGTTGGCTGAACATGTTAAGACCTGACGTCCCACTAGACTGGCCAGCACTCTGCATCGACATTCCTTTGTTAGGATCTGAAGTGGATGAAGAAATGCTATGTTGAGTGAATGAGTGAATGAGTAGCGTTTTAAAGCGCTTTTAGCAATATTCCAGCAATATTACGGCGGGGAACATCAGAATTGTGCTTTACGCATAGATACCGGGGCTTCGGCGTGACGAGCGAACGCTTAAACCACTGGGCTATCCCATTGTGCCTATCTGTGTTGAAGTGAGGTGAAGTGGGGTTTAACGTCGCGTCCAAGACTATAGCACTTATACAGCGACGTGCATGCACGTGTGAGGCTGCATGTACTAGTCCGGACTGATGCCGATTTATAGTGCTAGCTCACTGAGATACCATGCCGCAGTTTAACATGAATACCCCATTCAGGCACGGTATACTGACTCCGAGCCGACCAGCCCTTGTTTTAGCCCCTTAATGCCGAGCGCCAGACAGGGTAACAACACGTACCAACTTTTAACGTCTTTAGGTATGACGCGGCCTTCCGCTCTCCGGGCGGAGGCTCTACCACTAGATCACGGAGGCGGTCCTATCTAAGTTGAAACCCTTTACACTAACAGGTAGATTTTTGTTTGATGTCAATGATAGATTGATGGATTCATGACGGATGTTTGGAAAGGGTCAGGGGCACGGTAATATTAGTTTCAGGTAGATATTATATAGATAAGGGCTGGGGTCATGATAGAATTGTGAAATAGCTACAAGTTCCGCAAACACGATAGATATTAACTAGAACTTCGTCAAACATGAAATTTGGGTCATGATAGTAGACAGAAGATCGACAAAATAGGATTAGGGTAAGGAAAGTTGATTGAAGTTCTACAAATAAGAACTGCGGTCAGTATTGGTGACAGAAGTTCGACAAACAAGGACTGAAGTCAGTATAGTTGACAGAGAAGTTCGACAAACAAGGACTGAAGTCAGTATAGTTGGCAGAGAAGTTCGACAAACAAGGACTGAAGTCAGAATAGTTGGCAGAGAAGTTCGACAAACAAGGACTGAAGTCAGAATAGTTGACAGAGAAGTTCGACAAACAAGGACTGAAGTCAGTATAGTTGACAGATAAGTTCGACAAACAAGGACTGAAGTCAGTATAGTTGACAGATAAGTTCGACAAACAAGGACTGAAGTCAGTATAGTTGGCAGAAGAGTTCGACAAACAAGGACTGAAGTCAGTATAGTTGACAGATAAGTTCGACAAACAAGGACTGAAGTCAGTATAGTTGACAGATAAGTTCGACAAACAAGGACTTGGGTTAATATAGATGATGGAAGTTCGACAACCAAGGATTGGGGTTCGTATAGTTGATGGAAGTCCGACAAATAAAGACTGAAGTCAGTATAGTTGACAGATAAGTTCGACAAACAAGGACTGAAGTCAGTATAGTTGGCAGAGAAGTTCGACAAACAAGGATTGGAGTTAGTTTAGTTGATGGAAGTTCGACAAATAAGGGTTGGGGTCAGTATAGTTGATAGAGGTTTGACAAACAAGGATTTGGGTTCGTACAGTTGATGGAAGTTTGATAAACAAGGGTTTTGGTCGTGATTGAAAGGTAAATGATAATATGGACATTTGACAAAAAAGGTTTGGTTCTTGACAACGCATTAAAGATGACGAAATTAGAAGGAATGATCAAACAATAAACCTGGTTGTCTGTGACTTGGACGCATGCTTGTTCCCATTTCGTCGTCAGAGATGTCTGTGGACTCATGTGTAGATCCATCGCTGTTTGTTTCTGTTTGCGATTCTGAGAATCAAATAAAACCCACCTGGTTGCAGAGACACTATTGAAGGTACTACTACAGTATCAAACCTAGCGATATCAATATATTTTTATAATAGGAAGCATAGTTTTATGCCGCTATACAAGCAATATCACGGCTAGCGACAAAGATTTGGCATCACACACTGCACCCATGTCGGAACTGAAGCGGTTTCCTTTGCATGCCTTTGTGGCGGGTGCCACTGGTGGGGCATGACATGCAAACCCTTTCGCGGACACCTGGTATCATCACTAGTTAATGGTGATTCATAAAAATATATATTGTTAATGCAAGAGAATAACTAGTGTAGATTATCCGCCGAAACAGATTCCATTTGGCGTGAAGGGCAAAATAATACTGTAAACATGATATGAATGTACCACTGAAAGTCAGTGAAGACACAAGGTGTTCGCGAAAAGGGTAAGCATGTCCTGCCCCACCGGAAGCACTCGGCATTCACACAAAGCAAGTAATTATTGCCTGACGCTGCACAACAGTACTCCTGCCATGCGAAGACTGCCTTTAAACAAACCAGACAATCATGTGATCGATGAACCAGAAAACCCAGTGACATGATAAACACGTGTTTATGAAATACCCGGAATCGTAAAATGGACATTGCTTTTAGCAAAGATTTCTAGCAATTATAGACATGGTTTTGTCAATTTGTTGATGATAAAGCTGTCCAGATCACTACACGTATAAAACAGGCTTTTTAACAATTTAACCACACAGTTGTCTCAGGCGTCTAAGGCGCCGAAATTCGCTGTGCAGTTGCGTCCCTTGGGCACGCCAGAAACCAATGATTGTGGGATCGAATCCCGGTTCGCCCCGATTATGTTTCTAGGTTTGTCAGCACCATACCCGTGCTCGTGGGTTTCACCGAAGTGGTAAACGTCTGAGACCTGCATCACCTCGGGCTTTCCTCCCACATTAAGCAGTCACGCCGTGATATAACTGGAATACTGTAACAGCGGCGTTAAACCCAACTCACTCACTCACTCACTTTTCAAGTTCAAACTTTCATAATACTGACTGAGTTGTCCTGTGTTCACAGCTCCTGCAAGTAGCTGGTTAATCATGTTAATACTGGTTACTGCCTCGTCCGTTTTAGAAGCTAACAAAAGAAAGACTTAGTATTTACTGTCATCATCCATTTAACCCAAATATACAGCGAAAAAAGGTACAGGTCTAGCATTATACGTACACATCCATTTTAACACATCTATTTGAACAGCTAAAGATACAGCTCTGTTTACACAAATTATGTTTAAGCATCTTCAAGGAGTGAAACTTTCGTGGTAAAGGTAGAAACAGGCATCACATGATCAATACAGCGTTGGGAACTGTAGTCATATATCCAAAAGTTACGATACAGTAACACATAGCTACATGTGTCAGCCTTTTCATCAAGGGAAAATTCAATATGTCAGCGTTTACCTGTAGCTGAAGTTAAGTATGTCAGCGTTTACCTGTAGCTAAGGTTAAGCATATCAGCGTTTACATGTAGCTAAAGTTAAGTATGTCAGCGTTTACCTGCAGCTAAAGCTAAGTATGTTAGCGTTTACCTGTAGCTAAAGTTAAGTATGTCAGCGTTTACCTGTAGCTAAAGTCAAATATGTCAGCGTTTAGATGTAGCTCAAGTTAAATATGTCAGCATTTACCTGTAGCAAAAGTTAAGTATGTTAGCGTTTACCTGTAGCTAAAGTCAAATATGTCAGCGTTTAGATGTAGCAAAAGTTCAGTATGTCAGCGTTTACCTGTAGCTAAAGTAAAGTATGTCAACGTTTACATGTAGCTAAAGTTCAGTATGTCATCGTTTACCTGTAGCTAAAGTTAAGTATGTCAACGTTTACATGTAGCTAAAGTTCAGTATGTCATCGTTTACCTGTAGCTAAAGTTAAGTATGTCAACGTTTACATGTAGCTAAAGTCAAATATGTCAGCGTTTAGATGTAGCTAAAGTTAAATATGTCAACGTTTACATGTAGCTAAAGTTAAATATATCAACGTTTACATGTAGCTAAAGTAAGGTAAATTAAAAGCCGTTACTTATGCCAGCGTTTACGCTTAAACATAGTCAGAATCGTACAATGGACCCTGCTTTTAGTAACTATGTTTTGCGATTAAGGTCATGGTGTTGTCACTTGCAACCTACCCGTGTCAACAATACCACGGCTTACCCGAACAATGGAACGCCATACCTTTCTTTAAGAGAGTCTTCATGTCCAACTTCAGTTTTGTTACTGGAATGATATGATGTTTGTACTGCAATGAAAATATCCAAAAATATGTGTGTGTGTGTGTGTGTGTGTGTGTGTGTGTGTGTGTGTGTGTGTGTGTGTGTGTGTGTGTAAAATTTGATATACATGTATGTCGTCAGTCAGAAGAAACTATAGATACACGTTTACTTCTGTCGTTCAATATTTCTTTACAATATAGAATTTGTTATACAATAAATTAGGATATAAACATCACGTATTTCCAGATTTGCTGGTGTTATTCAAAGTTTATAAAGAAACATTTTCAAGAGAATAACAAACGAAAAGAAGAGATATTAAATACATAAAGGCTCATCTGTCTTTAGCTGGCCTTGTCAATGTGGAACTAACGTAAAAAGGAAGTCAATAGTTTGTGTCCAGGCCAGACACTTGCGATAAAAGGAGACAATTTGCAAGGAGGCAGCTCTTGTATGACAATAGTTCCGTCAAAGTGTAATGTTATAACTGCAGTGAAATATCAAGTGTTATGTTCACTGCAATGAAAATATCACTTTTCTCAACTTCAGAAAACTCAGTCTTTCACACTGAAGTACATAATAAAAGTAACTACTGCTGAGAGATCACATCAAACTTGGTAATAACAGATGCTTGTTTTATTTGATTTTATTCGTTATATCCGTATATATTTTAATAAATAGTAATCTTGTCAAATGCGAAACGAACTGTACTATCGCATAAAAAATGTTACACTTGTTAGTTTGTTGTCTGACGCTGTTCACAATCGAGTCTGGGCCAGACAAACCAGAGATTAATATTATGAACACCGTCGAACGCGGTCGGGGCACCATGACACCTGATCGGAGATCTATGGGTACAGGTTGAAGCACATTACCTGCATTGTGAATTGTTTCAATTTCGCCAACCATCTTCTGCTGTTGCTTCTCCAGTCCAGCCAAACCTTAATGTGCGTCGACAACACAGAACACATATGTTTTACACTAGAAAATTGCTAATACAAGGGCTAATGAATCAGAAACGGGGGGATTAGTACGTTTGAGCATGGAGGTTATGTTTTGACGGAAAAAAATGTTTTTCAATACTAATTATTATACATAAGGCCTCGATAATAAATGTCAAATATTTATATACACCCCCAGCGTGTACAAGGCCTTAAAATCGATAAGTGGGACAAGTATGTTCAAAAAGATTGTGGGATGAGCTGGACAGACGTCCACGTCAACCAAGGCCACAGAATCTGCAGCAATTACGCCAGGCTTTTCAGGAAGAACATATTATTGAATCTTGGCTTGACGATTTTCAAATTCTTTTCGTGAACTGAGTGATTTGTAAAAACGGCATGCGTAATAGCTTGCTCAAGAAACCTATGATAAATTCAAAGACTTGCACGTGAAAACTGCTTTTCATTTTTCCAAGAAACCGAATCCTGAGATGTCATCAATATTAAGCATATCAAAGACAATAATATTGTTTTGTGACACTTTATAGTGTGTGAGTGTGTGAGTTTGATTTTACGCCGTTTTTAGCAATATTCCAGCAATATCACGGATGATACTTTATATGTTAAAACAGAACATGTAGACTTTATTTGGTGTTGCAGTTCAACATGGAATGCTTTCCGTCCACGAAATATATATTCGAAATATTGTTACCATCTATTCGTTTCTGTTTTCGGCTTTCATAGGATATAAGTATAATTAAGTTTAAAACTTTCACAGAATTATTCATGTTAATTAGAAAAAGCTAATCGTATGATTATTAATGTTCTTTTATACCTTGGTAAAAGCTTCCATATGGTTATAAGCGTATTTTTCTAAAATAAATAATAATTCTTCCTAAATGTTTTAAGTGTGCTTTAGTAATAGCTTCCGGTTAGGGCGCCGTGGTAGGCCTGAGGTGACGGAGTTCGCTCGTCACGTCGAAGACCCGGGTTCGATTCCCCTAATGCCTTAACAGTGTCTCAAGCCCACTTCTGGTGTCTTTCGTCATGTTATGAATATTTCTAAAAGCGGTGTAAATACTTACGTACAATACTTATTCAATCAAAAATTTAAAGAAATATTCATATGGTTATCAATGTATTTTAGATATAACTTTCAGATGATTTTACGCGTACTTCAGCGACAGTGAATGAGTATGGTTTAACTCCGCTTTTAGAAATGATCACACAGCTTCATCGACAGCTTTGATTTGGTCATGAGCGTACATTTGTTATGGCTTTCGCGGCTTTTAAGTGTTTTTCATGTAATGGAATTAATATGATTATAGTAGCGCTTCAACGCGGACAGGGACAATGGTTTTTCACCACGTTTCGTCTTGTTCATAACAAGGCTTCGTTGTGGTGTTGTGTTGCTCACGGTCACTGGATATTGTTTACTTAAAAAAACATTGACACATAAATGAGAAATGCAAAAGTACACAAATATGAAATATCGGAATGTTCAATATTTTACCCCCGGTAACACATTTCACAGATTATTCGTAAGAGACGCGTCACATTCTATATGCATGAGAAAAGCGTAAGATACTATACGTATGAGACACATGTAACAGACTCTACATATGAGACACACGTCACATACTATACATATGAGAAATACATCCATAGCCTATAGACTGCACAAATGAGACACACGTCACATACTATACATATGAGACATACGTCCACAGGCTATAGGCTGCACAAATGAGACACACGTCACATACTTTTCATATGACACATTCTTCCACAGGCCATACGGCTACACATATGAGACACACGTCACATACTATACATATGAGACATACATCCATAGGCTATAGGCTGCACAAATGTGACACACGTCACATACAATACATATGAGACATACGTCCACAGGCTATACATATGAGACATACGTCCACAGGCTATACGGCTGCACATATGAGACACACGTCACAAACTATACATATGAGACATACATCCATAGCCTATAGGCTGCACAAATGAGACACACGTCACATACAATACATATGAGACATACGTCCACAGGCTATACATATGAGACATACGTCCACAGGCTATACGGCTGCACATATGAGACACACGTCACAAACTATACATATGAGACATACATCCATAGCCTATAGGCTGCACAAATGAGACACACGTCACATACAATACATATGAGACATACGTCCACAGGCTATACATATGAGACATACGTCCACAGGCTATAGGCTGCACAAATGAGACACACGTCACATACTTTTCATATGACACATTCTTCCACAGGCCATACGGCTACACATATGAGACACACGTCACATACTATACATATGAGACATACATCCATAGGCTATAGGCTGCACAAATGAGACACACGTCACATACTATACATATGACACATTCTTCCACAGGCCATACGGCTACACATATGAGACACACGTCACATACTATACATATGAGACATACATCCATAGGCTATAGGCTACACATATGAGACACACGTCACAAACTATACATATGAGACATACGTCCACAGGCTATACATATGAGACATACGTCCACAGGCCATACGGCTGCACAAATGAGACACACGTCACATACAATACATATGAGACATACGTCACATACTATACATATGAGACATACGTATACAGGCTATACGGCTACACATATGAGACACACGTCACAAACCATACATATGAGACAGACGTCAGAGGCAATGTAAACTGCACATGCATAATCGGTTCTTATAGCTCAGAAATGGTTATCTGACGTCTTCTGTTTGACTTACCTGTCTCCTCCATCGCGCCGCCGTTTTTCTTCGCCGAAATGCAGGCGATCAATAGGAACGACACACACGCCAATACCAACAGCCGTGCCATCATGTCCGCCTGCATAGGAAAGCCACCTCATTACTAAAACATCACGTTTGTCAAAATTTGATGCATCAGTGACCGAAATGTGTGTTGATGCAATTTTTTGTTTTGGCTTAAACCATTATGTTCCCGTGTTTTTTCAGTTGAAAAACTGTCTAAAAAGATTGGATTTGCTTTTGGAGGGTGCCACCGTTTGGGCAGGATACGCGAAAACCTGGTATCATCACTATCAGATAGTGATTCACAAACACATGTTTATGACATACTCAGAATCGTACAATGGACTTTGATTTAGGCAAAGATTTCATATTTCCGTCAAATGGAATCTGTTTTGTGGGATAATCGAGACTGGTTCTTCTATGGTGTTGACGTTTTGTATTTATGATTATGGAAAGAAAACACTTTTAGTTTCACTTCCTGTCTGATACTTAACGACGGCGATATTACCATGTTTGTCTATTTCATTCATAACCATCCTTCCATTCATGCCAAAGTCATGCGCTTTAACCACAAGGCTACCCGACCGCCCCTTGTTTTCAAGACCCTTACACAATTATATATGTTCATAATAACCATTCCTTTCATGTAGGTTTTATATTGAAAAACGTGCAACTCAATGACCGTCAATTTTGATGTGAACCTTACAATGCCTCTCCTTAGCCTAACAACCTCTCTCTCTCTCTCTCTCTCTCTCTCTCTCTCTCTCTCTTTCTTTCTCTCTCTCTCTCTCTCTCTCTCTCTCTCTCTCTCTCTACGGGTCTTTGTCCAACTTGGGGTCACGGGTGACCTAGTTGTCTCAGGCGCCGCAATTCGCTGTGCAGAGTTACGCCCCTTGGGCACGCCAGAAACCTATGATTGTGGGCTCGCTCGAATCCCGGTTCGTCCCGATTATGTTTCTAGGTTTGTCAGCCCCATACCCGTGCTCGTGGGTTTCACCGAAGTGGTAAACGTCTGAGACCTGCATCACTTCGGGCTTTCCTCCCACATTAAGCTGACACGCCGTGATAGGACTGGAATACTGTTAAAATCGGCGTTAAACCCAACTCACTCACTCTCTCACTTTGTCCACCTTATCATTCATAAGTAAGCAGGAATACGACACTACTCACCGTTGTAGACTGTGAAGAAGGTGATTCCAATATGCATCAGTAATAATAATATCTTTATTATATACAGATGCATGAGAATATCCGATTTGCGTTAGTTGAAACCCGTGTAATGATCAGGAGACTTCAAAGCTTCTTTGAGCACGATACAAGTTCTGTTGCTTTTGATTCGTGGTATTTGCAAGAGATTAATTTAGATATTCATCTGTATCATGCCATATGTTTCTTTTCTACATCAAACAACATGATCATGGTAGGGATTTGCTCAAGTAAAACTGTGAAATGTATTGCGGTTCTAAGGTTTCGATGTTGTCACGGCATGACTACTTGCCATCTTTTACCAAACATGAAAGTGTAAGTGTACAACCTTCCGACAATTGTCCCACGCCCTTATCATTCACCAATCGTTCCTGCTGTTCAAAGCCGTGCTCGTATCAGTTAATTTTTTGCATCACTTCCATAAAGGCGCGTGTGATCAAGGGGACAAGTAATGAAGCAAAGAACAATGTAATAGTATGATTCATGTCAAGTTGCAGGATATGTCATTTGACTCAAAAGTTGTTTGATCAGGGTTTGATCCAGGCCTCAGAAAGCTGTATGGTAGACAGGTGCAATTCATTTCCAAATCTGACGCCTCAGTGACAAAAATGATGTTAGACGCAACCTACTATTTTGACATGTACCATATGTTCCCATGTTTTTTTCAACGTGAAAAACTGACATGTCTTTGTATGTGTTTGTGACGGGTGTCATCGGACGGGCAGGGAACGCTCACCTTTACGCGAACACCTGGTATCATCACTATTTATTTGTGATTCACAAAACATGCTCATGATATTGTCCCAATCGTACAATGGACTCACATGTCCCCTTTTACGCCAAATGGAATAAGATTGTTTGAGTAAAACACGTCCTATTTTAATTCTAGAAACCCATTTGTCCAGAATCTCTCGACGCTGTCGCCAGTCTCGGACAAATTTATTTACAAAATTCAGCATGTTATTTTCATGGGTATGTACTAAGGAAGAAAAATTAAAAAAACTAATGCTTCGAAAACTCAAAATTAAAAACTATGTCGCCCATGGGAGATCAGTCGAGAGTATTTTCCTTTGCTCAAAACTAATGTTTTTGTTTTGGAAAATACGTAAAGTTGTGTCTACAAGTATCACGACACATATTTCAACTCATTTTAACCTAATTCAACTAATTCATAGCGTTATTAAAACATTCCACCTTTGGGGGAAAATAATTGGTCCATGGGCGAGAATATGATCCTGTGCTCAAAACTCATGTTTTTGCTTTTGTTGTTTTTGGAAAATATATACAGGTATGTCTACAAGTATCATGACACATATTTCAACTCATTTTAATTTAATTCAACTTATTAATAGCTTTATCCCGCCCATTGGCGAAAATATGTTCCTTTGCTCAAAATTCATGTTTTGGTGTGTTTTTGCAAAGACATAAAGGTATGTCTTCAAGCATCCTGACACATTTTAACTTAATTCAACTTATTTTTAACCTTATTTAAACATTTGGCCCATGGTTATGCCAAAACACAAATGTCTAACTTATTATATCCTGACACAATTCAAACATATTTAAAACTTAATTCCTCTTATTTGTAGCATTATTAAAACAAATCGCACATGGTTAAACAGTTTGACTACATTATCACCACACGAAAAACCGCCTCAGTGGTTGAGCGCCAGTCCGGAGAGCGGAAGGTCCGTGGTTTGACCCGGTCGCGTTACACCAAAAAAAAGTTAAAAGATGATACTTGTTGTTACGGTGCCTGGTGCTCGGCATTAAGGGAATAAAACAAGGTCTGTATAGTATACTGTGTCGGAGTGGGGTTAAACTGCCTCATCGTATTTCAGTGGCCAAACACGATAAAACATGTACATTTTGTTTGTTTTCCAAAAGCACAAAGGTGTACAACAAGAATGATGACACATAATTCAACTTAGTTTTAACGTAATTAATTTATTTGCAGCGTTATTTAAACACATGGTCCAAGGGCCAGCGAGTTTTCCTTTCCTCAAAAATCATTTCCTTGTTTTCAACAAATGTGCAACTACTATACTGAACAACAAAAGTTCCCGTGACAATGAATAAGATTTTATGCAAAGTTAAATTTTTTACCAAATCTGAAACAATTTCGGTTTGCAACAGATAAAAGACTCCTGTAAGTGTTTCAATGGTTTAATTTGCCATACTGACTTAAGAAAATGCGTGATTTCATAAAAAAAACCATGAACATGCCAACATGTCAATTTACAAATCAAAAGCGTGTGTGTCCACCTCTGGTTGCGATGCAAGCAACACATCTTCGTCTCATGGAATGGACCAGGCGTCGCACAAAGTCCTGTGGGATATCTGTCCATATCTGCTGGAGCATGTTTCGAAGTTCCTGGAGTGGTTGACGTCGAAGGCGCCGATCCATCTCATCCCACATGTGCTCGATTGGTGAGAGATCAGGGGAGCGAGCCGGCCAGGGGTTGACATTCACGTTGTTTTGTTGTAAGAAGAATCCTGAAAAAGTCGAGCAATATGAGGCCAGGCGTTTTCATCTTGAAAGGTAATGCCTGGGCCATGACGACGCAAAAACGCACGGGTGGCCCAGTCGTCTAAGGCGCCGCATTTCGCTGTGCAGAGTTGCGTCCCTTGGGCACGCCAGAAACCTATGATTGTGGGTTCGAATCCCGATTCACCCTAATTATGTTTCTACGATTGTCAGCACCATACCCGTGCTCGTGGGTTTCACCGAAGTCGTAAACGTCTGCATCACCTTGGGCTTTCCTCCCACATTAAGCTGACATGCCGCGATATAACTGGAATACTGTTAAAAGCGGCGTTAAACCCACCTCACTCACTCACTCACTTATATACCCAATGAAGCGTGGTGATTGGTAACTCAGTATGTAATTAAAGTGAACGGGGGATGGGAGGGTAGGGTGCTCACCTGTTGGTGATAGCTCGACGTCTCGTTTTACTAGGCGATGAAGAGGAGGGGTCGCCGGTTCGCGGACATTGCCACAACATGAGTAAATAAATGAACCTGACTCTGAACATGGGGTGTACTTGACCTGCTCATGCGCCGGTAAACATTGGATGCGCCGCAATCTAAGATGGTTGGTGTTCTCTAACATACACTCTCCTCGTGAATATTGAATGCTATTTGATAAAAGAAGACACAGAAAGAGAATTTCGCGACGGATATCCTGACAATTGATTTCTGTGAATTTGTGATAACTAATATCTCGCAGTGATGCGAGAGAGAGAGAATTCGCCTCGTATCTGTACAAACTAAGGCATCTTTTGATATATATCTTCTAGTGAAAATCTGTCATAATTTAGGTATCTGAATTTGATAAACTGTGTGTAATTGTAAATATGTTATGCCTTTTTATTGTGTTAACTGCGTGTAATTGAATATATTTTCATTGTAATCTTCGGAATGACATCTGGAGGAAATAAAGAATCTCTCTCTCTCTCTCTCTCTCCCTCTCCCATAACATTCTCGAATTAGATTTTTTTTAAATATGTACATCTGGATAAATAACACGGACTATTCTTTTTAAATGAGATGGCATAGTTTTGTATCTCATTTAAATCAGAATTAGTGTTCGCTACGGTTACACAATCACCTGAAGACATCCCATTACAGGTAAATCAGAAAGACATTTTGCGAACTTTGATCGACGGATGAAATGCCAAACAGGAAGTCGACTTTAGCTAATCACAAAGCAGCTTTCTCGAGCATTACGGTACTAGTTTCAAAGCGGCGACTTCCATTTCGGACTAAGCTTTGAAAAATATTTTGACAATGTTCTCGATTCACTAAAAAGTTAAAAATGAACAAAAGAAATGAAATGGCTATTGGTAGCCGACATTGTATGGTAGTACTTTCCATGATGAGTTGGCTCTTCCGTTTTAAATGTCATATCCATGTCAAGCATTCGGAATCAGTCGTACAGCCCGTAACTGTCGCTCAGAATGTACCTTGGTAACCTTTTCTATGCTGCAGGAATCGCGATAGTGAACTAAGATCTGATTTTAATGATATGGCATAGTGTTTCACATATACCTATATGTAATTAATTTCATGTCTCACCTCATACAAAATAAAAAATATATACAGGTCACGTGATAAAATACATGTGATGAGCCATCCCGTATGGGATTATGAGAGACTATAGAACGTAAAATGATACACAGACATAAAATATGGAATAAATATATATACGTTAGTAAAAAGGGTAAATAGCATAAAATATTTATAAAAGTTTAAGATGTATATAAAAGTAATTTTCTAACATCTAAGACATCCATGCAGGTTTTGGAGGTAACTTTAAAAATATATGGGCATGACATAATAAAAGCTAACTGATCAACACCAGAAATTGGCATACAACATTGAACATAAAACTAACATATTTTTAGTTACATTTTTATATAGGGGCAGTGTAAAAGTACATGTGCTTCATTTTCCACAACATCTTTACAATTAAAACATACTCTCTCTTCAAGGGGTGTATTATTATATCGCCCTGTCTCCACATGTAAGGGGGCTACTCCACATTGGAACAACGACAGGGCTCTTCTGTGGCGTCGTGGTATTCTCTCTGTAATGGGGGGCACGGGTGGCCCAGTCGTCTAAGGCGCCGCGATTCGCTGTGCAGAGTTGCGTCCCTTGGGCACGCCAGAAACCTATGATTGTGGGTTCGAATCCCTGTTCGCCCCGATTATGTTTCTAGGTTTGTCAGCACCATACCCGTGCTCGTGGGTTTCACCGAAGTCGTAAACGTCTGCATCACCTTGGGCTTTCCTCCCACATTAAGCTGACATGCCGCGATATAACTGGAATACTGTTAAAAGCGGCGTTAAACCCAACTCACTCACTCACTCACTCACTCTCTCTGTAATGTATGGCTCAGCAGTAAACTCGGTCTTGAAAGTAGAGTAGTGTCTAAGTTTGTTACCGCCCTTGCCAGTCTTACTGTGAGTACAAGCTATAGTTTGCTTCCAGTCCCGCATGTGTTGGTCGTAAACTGCTTCCCTGACCCTGGCGACATTCTGTTTAACGTAGGTGCCGTTTGAAACTTTTCAATCCTGACTGGCTTGGCCTGACATGTCTCCTCTGACTGCATTTGATTTGCATGCAAGACACCATCATCCAAATGCACAAACATCAAAGGTTTTATAAACATAACAGCTGCCATGCGTTAACAGTACATAGTTTTTGTCAAGTAATCTAAGTGGTACTAGCACTAGCACTAATGACATCCTCAGTAAAGTCATAAGCTGAGCATCACGTGAATGACGACACACAAGGATATAGAGTAATACCCCGGAATCTATATAAGAGGAAGTGGGCACTCCGCTAATTTTCGCAAAACCGTTTGAAAACTGTATGGGTGATCGAGTGAGTGAGTGAGTGAGTGAGTGAGTGAGTGAGTTGGGTTTAACGCCGCTTTTAACAGTATTACAGTTATATCGCGGCGTGTTAGCTTAATGTGGGAGGAAAGCCCGAAGTGATGCAGGTCTCAGACGTTTACCACTTCGGTGAAACGGGCATGGTGCTGACAAACCTAGAATCATTATCGGGGCAAACCGGGATTCGAACCGACAATCATAGGTTTCTGGCGTGCGAATCGCGGCGCCTTAGACGACCGGGCCACCCGTGCCCCCCGCGCGCGTCAGATGACAGATAGAGTGACAGGTTATGGAAGGGGGCGCGTGGTGGTGTTACAATTTTATCATTCGGGCCACACTGACCAAGACACTAGTCCAATGCTCTTTTAAAAATCTTATGTGGAAAAAATATACCTCAAAGTAAAGGCCTCCCCTCTACTGCTTTCCAGTTAAATAAATATAAGACCATGCATAATCTTTGGTGAACCCTCTAAATGTGCAGCCCATGATCCTCTAAACTTGGAGCCCATACGTTCATGAAAAATATCGTTGTACAGGTTCATATTCTGAAGACGTCTCTGTGTTAAGAAACACTTTCTGTTTTCACTTCTCTTTCAGACTGAAATTAACATGTTGCTTCCTGGCTTTCCTTGGCACCTAACATGTCGGGTATAGAGGTGTATCAGAAAACAAAAACAAAAAATTTGCAAAGCTAAATTCTGTTAACAAGAACTGACACTTAATACAAGGAGGCTCTAGACCATTGATATGTTATTTCCGATAAAACAGTTGACAGCAATAAACAGATTATCAGGCATGTGCACATCGATTTCTTTTATGGAAGTCGGCTATTTAATCTGGATAATAAATACATTGAATTGTTTGATAGGCATAACTTAGAAGTTGACGCATTCGCCTTGTGAGAAACACCCAAGCCATGGCTACGCTGATCTGTGATAGCTTTTTGCTTGTGCAATTAACCCAGGAAATGGACAAGACACAAGCAGCATGATCAGTATAAAAGACAATTGTACTCCATGCAGATATACAATGAGGAGTTGAATGAAAAGTATGCGTGGGCAATCACTGTATATTCACAAAGCATCTGAAAAGTGGCCAGCATGTCGACGGTTGCGTCCCTTATATACTACTCAAAAGAAGTTAAGGATCACCTGATTCTTTCATATTACTATAGTTAATCTCTCATGTCATGACAGATGAACTTTACCATTATGAAAGAATCGGGTGATCCTTAACTTCTTTTGAGTAGTATATATGTTTACTTCTGTGCTCACGAGGCCGCGGAGAGTCCATTTTAGCTTGTATGAAATCTATAAATTATGAAAGATCCAACGTTCTGGTGTTACTAATCATTTTGAGTGCTTAACATCTGCTTTTAACGCCGCACTCAGCAATATTCCAGCTATATGACGGCGATCTCGAAATAATCGTGTCTGGACAAGACACTCTAGTGATTGACATCATGTGCATCAATCTTCGCAATTGGGATACGATGACAAGCATCAACCAAGTCTGACCACCCGTTCCCGTTAGCAGCCTCTTACGATAAACATGGGATGCAGAAGACCAATTCTAGTCCGGAATCTTCACGGGACCAATGGACAAGACAAAACATAGATATATCCAACTAATGGCAGCGCCATTCGGATTAAGGTTGTAAGTGACTGGGTAGGGCTTCTCGAGGCAAAAGAGTCAACTGACAATACAAGTCCAGTTCCACCCTTGCCGAACAAGGCTGGAATTTCTGGGCTCGACTGTAGCGCCCCCAGTGGCTATTAGGAGTTATGCTCCTTCTCTGTCCCTCCTTTTTGACAATTCCGATTCCAACTCCAATATCACTTGCGATTATTTCCAACAAAATGGCAACGCCTAGTCAAGATTATCTGATCAAGTTAATTGAAGAAAGGTTTCACATTCCCTGCCTCACAGACACCCAATGCATGTGGGTCGTGAGCACATTGATTAAAAATATGAAAGAATGCAAAATATTTCTCCGTTCCCAGTTGATGGCACACAAGCGTTTCAAATCCTGCAATCGACCGGAACCTTCACGACAGCCGCTATGTCGTTTATGAACAGAATGTTGATGTCGTTACGCCATTTTGACTATGAATAGACTTGTCGGTCCAGCCAAAACGTATCCAAGACGAGTCCGCAAAGTCTAAACTGGACCGTTATAGTTAGTTAATTCCCTAGCCCCAGGAAGATAGGCTTAGGTGTTCAAGGCGGTGGGAACCGATATGTGTGATACTATAGGGATGGGGGTGGGAAATGGTCACATCAGTGGGGTTGTATCAACCAGTGACGGAGGGGCGGTTAGTTGTCCATGGTACACCAGTTGTGTAGGGTGGAAAGTGGTACACCAGTGAGGAAAAAATGGTGTGGTTACATCAGTGGGCTGAGAAGGGATAGGGATAGGATGGTTGAACCATTGGCGATACATCCCTTGGATAGGGATAGGATGGTTGAACCATTGGCGATACACCCCTTGGGTAGTGATAGAGTGATTAAATCAGTGGCGATACACCCCTTGGGTAGGGACAGGATGGTTGAACCATTGGCGATACACCCCATGGGTAGGGATAGGATGGTTGAACCATTGGCGATACACCCCTTTGGTTGTGATAGAGTGATTAAACTAGTGGCGATACATCCCGTGGATAGGGATAGGATGGTTGAACCATTGGCGATACACCCCTTGGGTAGGGATAGGATGGTTTGAACCATTGGCGATACACCCCTTTGGTAGGGATAGGATGGTTGAACCATTGGCGATACACCCCTTGGGTAGGGATAGGATGGTTTGAACCATTGGCGATACACCCCTTTGGTAGGGATAGGGTAGTCACATCAGTGAGGTAGGAGTTGGAAGTGGTACATCTTAATGGAAGGCATGGGGTGTTTAAAAAGTGAGGTAGCCGTGTGAACTAGTATACCTTCACCTTACTCGTTGGAGACCTAGGTTATGAAAAGCAAGTGCCAAGGCAAGGATGCACTTCACATCGTACCAACTCGAGCACAATTATCAGTCACCTGAATATTACCGTTCTTTCAACAAATTACACGTTATGTTAATGCGTAGAATAAACCCCAAAATAAAACAAAGATTTTCCCATTAATAAACGGATGAACAATAATCTAGATTTTTTGCGAACATTTAATTTAATTACCAAAGAAAATAGCTTCTATGTCAGTGTGTCAGCACTGTCCCCATTAAATGGGCAATAAGTAAATGTCTGGGTTGAAACGCATGAAAGGTGTTGTAATGGTTTAAGTAAGGTTAAATGAGGACTTGAATGTCAATAACAGTACCTTGGTTTTACCGTGATATGACTGAACTACTTTTCAGAGCGGCGTTAAGCAAACCCATTCACTTTCACAAAGCCCAAAACACTTTCTTAGCACTAAAACAATTGTAACACCCGTACAGGCAAACGTTATCGCCGGTATTAACCTTGAAACCACATTACTCGAAGAGAAAGAATATTGAGCTTCGCCTTATGTATGCATTATTAGAATCGAAACTGGGTCTTCAGCTTATCAAGCTAACTCTCTGTATATGCCATGGGCACAACCCATTGCCCTGTTAGTTTGAACAAAGCCGTTGTTATCATATACTTTCTTTTATTTCATGAAAGATGCATTTTAATTGATCTGTATGTTCAACGCCAGAAAAGACCATCTGCAAAAAATAAAAACAACATTTTTAATACAATTTATTATTTTATTATCATTGTTAATTGGGGAAAACGTGGCCCTGTCGTCTAAGGCGCCGCAATTAGCTGAGCAGAGTCTTGCAGGCGCGCCAGAAACCCGGGATGGGTTAGAATTCAATACTCGCCCTCATTCTGTTTCTAGGTATTATCACTCTCTCTCGCTGGCTCTAACGCCCGCCCCCTACCTCCCTCACTCACTCATTCACTCACTCATTGTGTTGAATAATTACCAATTAAACCTTGGCAGCTAGCCGAAGAAGACCAAACTCCTGACGAGGTCATTTTTATCACTGCTGGTCTTTGCACCTCCCTTTCCGGACTCTTCAATTCCGCTTAAAAAACTGCTAAACATTCCAGACATCCCACCTCCCATTCCGGACATCCCACCTCCCATTTTGGACATCCCACCTCCCGTTCCAGACATCCCACCTCCCATTCCGGACATCCCGCCTCCCATTCCGCTATACATTCTGGAAATTCCAGACTTCCCGCTCGAAATCCTAGACTTTCCGCCACCCATTTTGGACATCCCGCTTCCCATTCCGGACATCCCACCTCCCATTCCGCTATACATTCCGGAAATTCCAGACTTCCCGCTCGAAATGCTAGACTTTCCGCCACCCATTCCGGACATCCCACCTCCCATTCCGGACATCCCAACTCCCATTCCGCTAAACATTCCGGAAATTCCAGACTTCCCGCTCGAAATCCTAGACTTTCCACCACCCATTCCGGACATCATGCCTCCCATTCCGGACATCCCAACTCCCATTCCGGACATCCCAACTCCCATTCCGGACATCCCACCTCCCATTTCGCTAAACATTCCGGAAATTCCAGACTTCCCGCTCGAAATCCTAGACTTTCCGCCACCCATTCCGGACATCATGCCTCCCATTCCGGACATCCCACCTCCCATTCCGGACATCCCACCTCCCATTCCGCTATACATTCCGGAAATTCCAGACATTCCGCTCCCTATTCCGGACATCTCGCCTCCCATTCCTGACATTCCCCCTATTCCCCGTGATCCAGTCTTTCCGACATGTCTTTCAAATATGTCGGCTCCCGGGACGTTCTTGCTTGTGTCCATGCTGGTCATTGACCTGGTCAGGTCGACTCCTTCTGGAAAATGGGAATTGGTGTTACTTCTACAGGTTTATAATATGTATTATTACTTATTTTTGACAAACCAACATTTAAATTGCAATATACTGTAATAGTCATAATAGTCTAAAAGGTGATCTCCTCGAAGCATAAGAATATGGATTAACGAGGTCTACTTTTACGAGGATGCGCATATGATGCAGACATCTTATACCCCGTAATTTGTCAAGAGTTGCGTCCCTTAGCTGTGCCAGGATTTCGATTATGGTTAAACGATTACTATCTGTATTTTTTCAGCACCATGCCCATCCCCGCAGTGATAAACATCGAGATTTTGCGCCAGTGTATTTTTTTCTTTCCTACGCATTAAGCTGATGCGCCACAATATCACTGATGTACTGTTAAAAGTGGCGTAAAATCAACCTCATCAATCACCGTATTTAACCAGGTCCAACATATTTTAGATTTTGTATCCGTTTTTGTATTATGAGAATATCACATACTTTGCATGACGCGAGGTTAACATCGTCTATAGTTCCTTCCTTCCTTTATTATTATTTATTATAATTATTATATACAAATTAACATAAATAAATGCAGCAAATTGGACTGGGCACAGTCAGGCTGATGAGGCTTATCATCAGCTCAGGGCCCTTGTCCCTCTACCCACAGCCCAGGCAGCGAATGGGACTTCACCCAGGAAGTGCTGCCTAGTCAAACCAACCCAGAACTTTTCGGAGAATGTTAAGACTCCCCAACACTGCAGCCTTCTGCATTACACAGATTGACAAAAGGGCTGTATTCCTGGCAGCAAACCCGGGTACACTCTCAATGTCAGTTAGGCACCGAGAACAATGGGGACTCGGATAACTTGAGACTTGGTATGCAGACGTGAGTCTGCATATTTGCTATTATTTCCCTGAATCTTGTCAATCATAAGGATGTCAAAAGGGACAGAGAATTCAATGATATAAATGATTTCTTTGGATTTATCAAAAAGGGCTGAAAGAGGTTTGTTGGCCTGAATGACCTGAGGCCGTCTACGGGCTAATTCCTAAGAATTTTGTATCTGTCATTTTCCCTGACGCCTCTACATATTCTTGGTCGTACCATTGCTGGACCTCTGTGTCAAAACCACAAACATGGCGAAGACGGTAATAAAAGGATCGAGTCACTCCTGCAAGTCGCTTAAGATAGTGTGTTTGTGCCAAAGCTGGGCATCCACTGACAATGTGTTGGAGAGTCTCATTTAATTCACTGCATTGTCTACATTTCATATTTACACTTTGATGCAAAACCACACATTGACGGTTTCGTCCAATCAACAACACCAACAGAATATGAAAGGACGGGCACAGCATAAGTATTTGTGGCTTTAATTTTATTGCGAGAGTTCAGCTCTGAACTCCAGATTTTCTTAAGTCTACATTTGTACTCTGCACGAAGTTTTTCCTTGATATGGGCATTCTGGATCTGCATCCCTAAGTACGTATAGGCCTGAACTTCCACGAGATGGTCAATAACTCCTCCCACGTTTCAGATGAAGAATGTTGCATTTGTCAAGACCAAAGGAAAGAAAAGAACTCGACAATGCATGATAATCTGTTTCTTAGTGTGGCTCTACCATTGACAGTTCAAGGCCATCTATGTAAAGGGGTGAGTGAGGGGTGTTGAGGAGGTCCAGGATTATTATATCTATTTTCCTATTAATACATTATCTTTACATTAGCCTTTAATATTTCAGCTGCAATACTGTTGCAAGATTGAATAAATAGTATACTTTACAAGCTAAACGAGTGTATGTTTTTTACGGTACAGTCAACAATATTCAAACTATATCTCGACGGCCACTAAAGAATCGAATCTGTGCCAGAGATTAAGAGCATCAGCAACGCCGGACGATCTCGGATGACGATGACACGCATTTTGATCGCGTGATAAGGACAAGGAAATATATTTGATTGTTAATGAATCAAGAATCATTGTTTGTAAGATTTTAGATCATTTCCCTACATTCATCGTTGCGACCCAAAGAGTATAGATATTCATCCTTCCACATGACAACGATTTTAAGATTATAAACAATTATCCTTCATTCATAGTAAGGATTTTAATATATGGTAATTCTTCTTATTTCATTGGAATACGAGTGAGTGAGTGAGTTTGGTTTTACGCCGCTTTTAGCAATATTCCAGCAATATCACGGCGGGGGACACCAGAAATGGGCTTCACACATTGTACCCATGTCGGGGTTGGAACCCGGGTCTTCGGCGTGACGAGCGAACGCTTTAACCACTAGGCTACCCGACCGCCCCCATGGGAATACGATTGTAGGCAATTATCTTCATGAAGAGGAATGGAAACGTACTGCTTTTCAACTGAGCCATTATTTTCTTATACTCGGGGCTGTCTCTGGGAATTGTCGATCCGTCGGGTCTCTCCAAACTGAACTCTGAGGAAAAAACCAAACAGTCTTAGGTTCAGTAGTGAGAAAAACAGATCAATAGAAAAAAAATAAAATTAAAATACAACCAAATATATGTAACTGGCATCATATATTAATCAAACTTTGATACTGATATGACATATATCATATTTTAAAAATGCAGTCGGTCTTGTATACACTGGAATCAATCGCCATGAATTCAGACCTTTATGCGGCGTAAAATGGGATCTCAGATATTTGTGTAGCGGTATTGAGCACTAAGATCGGATTTTAATTTTAACAATCGAATGAAACAAATCTTATCAAATGTTGAGTAGTATGAATTATAAACAGAAGATACGCCTTTCTAACACAATGCAATTCGTTAACCCTCGACAACTACAATCATTCCAAAACTTCCAACCTGTCCTCATTTTGAATTAACCTATTCACAATACAAAGTACCATATAATACACATTTTAGTATTAAGCAGCAGAAGGCATTCTGCCCCGGAATCTTCACGGGTCGCGGGTGTTATTGAGTATGCCAGGAAGCGTAAACACGTGAAACACGTTGTGGTAATCCGAGTCAAAAAACGATTCATGAAAAGGGCCCTCTTTGGTGAGATTGCCAATTTTGGGGGAAACTATATTTTTAATCATCTTACACTTGCAAGTTTTCGACTTAAGATATGTTAAGTATCTAAGTATGTATGCATTGTTAAACTGCTTACACAAGACTGAAATTTGGAACTTCAAGACATCGTCTGATTGCAGTGTCCTGTGGTCGTAGTAGGAAGGAGACAGCTTCACTGCGTCAAATGAGCAAGCTGGTTGCCAATATTGTGAAACATTTGGAGATTTGCCCATTGCATGCAATGAGCAGATAATTGTTTGCACATTGCGTCCATTGGGCAAGATGTATTACCCTTGCATGCATTGGGCAAACGGCCTGCCCAATGCACGCAATGGGCAGTTGCACAGATTGGGTGTAACATATGCATTCAATTTGTTAAACTGCGTACACAAGACCGATATTTGAAACTTCAAGAAACATCGTCCTGGATATCAAATACTAAGTGACAACTACAAAAATCAAAATAATCGTGTTATTTATGTCTAAATGGAACCTCAGCAGGATGTCCTCTCACCTGCTCCAGAAAGTAACGTGTTGAAGTCAAAAGCAATCCCTTGTGAACCGAGCGTCCCTTCAGTCGGTTGTCGGGGCCGTGGTGCACGCATGCTGGTCCCCATCTCAGCATCAGAATCAGAATCAGAATCAGACTCGGACTCTGCAGAACACGATGCTTGGTTCAAAAGTGAGTGAGTGAGTGAGTTTGGTTTAACGCCGCCTTCAACAGTATTCCAGTCATATCGCGGCGTGTCAGCTTAATGTGGGAGGAAAGCCCGAAGTGATCAGGTCTCAGACGTTAACCACTTCGGTGAAACCCACTAGCACGGTGCTGACAAACCTAGAAACATAATCGGGGCGAACCGGGATTCGAACCCACAATCATAGGTTTCTGGCGTGCCCAAGGGACGCAACTCTGCACAGCGAATCGCGGCGCCTTAGACGACTGGGCCACCCGTGCCCCCGCTTGGTTCAAGACGTCAGGTAAATAATGAATATGGTATACAGCACCTCGAAACAGGTAATGGGCAAAACCGATATAACATAATATGTTATCAAAGGAATCGTGGAAGGGACAGTTAAACTGTTCAAGTTCCATGCCAAATATTCAGGATAATACCTAAAATAGTTCTGGGGAGACGGATCGTTTAAACATTACATCTGTTGTGAGTTTATTATCCGGGGGAATTATATCATACCGGTGTCATCATGTTTGTCAGCTTGTCTCTACATGATAAACTGTGTGTTAGTACAGCATGTCCCATCATGATGCAACGTGTCAGCGCAAGCCACTTTACGATACGAAGTGTCACCGCACCTCACTTAACGATACAACGTGTCACCGCACCTCACTTTACGATACGACGTGTTACCGCACCTCACTTCACGATACGACGTGTCAGCGCACGCCACTTTACGATACGAAGTGTCACCGCACCTCACTTAACGATACAACGTGTCAGTGCACCTCACTTTACGATACAACGTATCACCGCACCTCACTTTACGATACGACGTGTCACCGCACCTCACTTTACGATACAACGTGTCAGCGCACGTAACTTTACGATACGAAGTGTCACCGCACCTCACTTCACGATACAACGTGTCAGCGCACCTCACTTCACGATACAATGTGTCAGCGCACGTAACTTTACGATACGATGGGTCAGCGCACGCAACTCTACGATACGATTGGTCAGCGCACGCCACTTTACGATACAACGTGCCACCGCAAGTCACTTTACGATACAACGTGTCACCGTACGTCACTTCACGATACAACGTGTCAGCACACGTAACTTTACGATACGAAGTGTCACCGCACCTCACTTCACGATACAACGTGTCAGCGCACGTCACATCACGATACAAAGTGTCAGCGCACGTCACTTCACGATACAACGTGTCAGCGCACGTACCTTTACGATACGACGGGTCAGTGTCACCGCACGTCACAACACGAAACAAGGGGTCAGTGCACGCCACTTAGCTTAGCAAACAAGAAATATATATATATGGATGTGAGTTAGCCAATCAGCGTGAAGCAATCACACAGCTATTCCTCAACGACACCGCCACCATGTGCATACTATTGTTTCAATTGTCTACCTGCTTCGTGAATGTCCGTCAAATCTTTCATCATGCTGCCTTGTCTCTTGACCAGGTCATCGATGAGTCCTGCACCACAAAAAAACCCATTCCCATCATGACATTGCAACCTTGTAGATGGCAACCCCAAACTACACCAAGAAACATTCACAATATGACACTGCAACCTTGTAGAGGGCAACCCCTAAACTGCACCAAGAAACATTCACAATATGACACTGCAGCCTTGTAGAGGGCAACCCCAAACTACACCAAGAAACATTCAAAATATGACACTGCAACCTTGCAGAGGGCAACTCCAAACTACACCAAGAAACATTCACAATATGAAACTGCAACCTTGTAGATGGCAACCCCAAACTGCAGCAAGAAACATTCACAGTATGACACTGCAACCTTGTAGAGGACAATCCCAAACTGAACAAAGTAACATTCACAATATGGCACTGCAGCCTTGTAGAGGGCAACCCCAAACTACACCAAGAAACATTCACAACATGACACTGCAACCTTGAAGAGGACAACCCCAAACTACACCAAGAAACATTCACAACATGACACTGCAACCTTGTAGAGGACAACCCCAAACTGCATCAAGAAACATTCACAATATGACACTGCAACCTTGTAGAGGACAACCCCAAACTGAACAAAAGAAACATTCACAACATGACACTGCAACCTTGTAGACGGCAACCCCAAACTACACCAAGAAACATTCACAACATGACACTGCAACCTTGTAGATGGCAACCTCAAACTGAACAAAGAAACATTCACAATATGACACTGCAACCTTGTAGAGGACAACCCCAAACTGAACAAAGAAACATTCTTAATATGACACAGCAACCTTGTAGAGGACAACCTCAAACTGAACAAAGAAACATTCACAACATGACTATTGCTGTCGTTCATTGTAATCTCATAAAGACAATCCAAATCCTTAACCTCAGAAGTAACTGTAACCGCCACGTGCCCGGATGTGCTTTGGGCCACTGCACAAAATAAAACATATTGATATGTATGGGTTATACACCTTTTTCGACATTTTTCGTGGGGTTTTCTGTCTAAAATGTATTGCCACAATTGGTTATAACATTGTTATAATCATAACTCGGTATCTTCGCAACAGTAGGTAAAATTGCCATCCGGACGGGTTTGTGAAAGAATTGCTTTCAAATAAATATTTATAACGCATAGCGTATTATACCGTAAATCTTAACTGGAGCTTATTAAACCGAACGTCTCAAAGAAGAGATACTTAAACCATACATCTCGGCATATAGCTTATTATGCGGTACATCTTGACTTACAGCTTATTTTACCGAAAATCTTAACTAGTACCGGGTCCGTGATTTACCCGAGTCTACAGTTGAATGAATTGGTGTTTGTCTACATTTCGACACTCCAAAACCTCAGTTTATCTATAAACCTGTCCAATACCATAACAGCAACAGCAAGAATCGGAACCACAACATTCACAGAAGAGAGATCGACCCTTGGGTCCTCGATGTGATTAAGTTGGTTAACCAGGGGGTTGATACGTACCGGACTTTCCAGGCGCTTTTCCGCTCACAGATCCAAGCAAGAGCATTGCAACACTCAGCAGTAACATGGTGACCTAGATGGGATTATTTCATGTTAATGTACAGGAGAGACTAGTACCACAACTGAAGTCTGGCATCGGGGAGTTAATGATGTTCTACTCTGCAATAAATGTATAACCAATATCGGTTGCTGGAACCATCGGAACCAATATTCAAACCCGGTATGCCCACGGGGGTCTTATGATAATTGCATTTACAAAATGGTTTGATAAGGTTTGCTTAATGATTACGAATTCCCTCTTACTGATGACCCTGTCAAGGCCTAGTGCTGCTTATGAAAGATGACAAGAGAGCACTACATATTGCACATGGTAGAAAATGATAAATAGAAGTTTTCGGTGAGACTAACCTTCAACATCTTGGATTGCTCACAGTGTCAGGTCTCGATACATGGGTCGAAGTATGCCTTGTGTGTGTTGTTTATGTATAACGATTGTGATTGATGTCAAAGATGAAAGCCATGTTTCTCACGCATTTACAAACGCTGATTTCTTTGATTGTATGGTCAACATATTCAAACCTAACCAAATCAAACATATATTCCAAGATCATACCCCTGATATGTCGAATAGATTAAACCATTTGATCAGAAAGTCACTACTTTGAAACCCGTATGTATTATTGCACGTGTTTGTTTTCTATCAACAAGAATCAAAGGAAAACACCAAAATGTGATTGATTATCTGATTTTAAACTTTCAAGGGTTCTGTATCCACATTCCTTCTGAGAAGCGGGTGTTAAAGGTAGGGACATGTTGACCCGAACACCTGGTGTCATCACTCATTTATCCTGATCCATTCAGGGGCGGTCGGGTAGCCCATTGGTTAAAGCGTTCGCTGGCCACGCCGAAGACCCGGGTTCGATTCCCGACATGGGTACAATGTGTGAAGCCATTTCTGGTGTCCCCCGCCGTGATATTGCTGGAATATTCAAATCAACAGCGTGTGTGTTCACCTCTGGTTGCGATGCAAGCAACACATCTTCGTCTCATGGAATGGACCAGGCGTCGCACAAAGTCCTGTGGGATATCTGTCCATATCTGTTGGAGCATGTTTCAAAGTTCCTGGAGTGTCTTTGGAACACGTGGTTGACGTCGAAGGCGCCGATCCATCTCAGCCCACATGTGCTCGATTGGTGAGAGATCAGGGGAGCGAGCCGGCCAGGGGATGACATTCACGTTGATGTGTTGAAGAGATTCCTGAACAAGTCGAGCAATATGAGGCCGGGCGTTGTCATGTTGAAAGGTAATGCCTGGGCCATGACGACGCCAAAACGGTAGAAGAACAGGGCCGATGATCTCGTCGCGGAAGCGCTGTCCATTGAGATTTCCCTCTACCACTATCAAACGGGTCCTCTGTCTTACTGTAATCCCATCCCATACCATAACGCTGCCGCCCCCGAACCGATCTTCTTCATTGACACAATGGTGCAATACAGATAATGCAATGGGTAGATACACAATCAAATTGTGCGGACAGACAGGTGTAGAGAGAGACAATACGGATTATGGAGGGACAATGCAGATTATGAAGGGACAATACAGATTATGAAGGGACAATACAGATGAGGGACAGACAATACAGATGGCAGATACACAATGTAGATGGCAGATACACAATGTAGATGGTAGATACACAATGTAGATGGCAGATACACAATGTAGATGGTGGATACACAATGTAGATGGTAGATGCACAATGTAGATGGCAGATACACAATGTAGATGGTGGATACACAATGTAGATGGTAGATGCACAATGTAGATGGCAGATGCACAATGTAGATGGTAGATACACAATGTAGATGGCGGATACACAATGTAGATGGTAGATGCACAATGTAGATGGTAGATGCACAATGTAGATGGCAGATACACAATGTAGATGGCGGATACACAATGTAGATGGTAGATGCACAATGTAGATGGCAGATACACAATGTAGATGGTGGATACACAAGGTAGATGGTAGATACACAATGTAGATGGTAGATGCACAATGTAGATGGTAGATGCACAATGTAGATGGTAGATACACAATGTAGATGGCGGATACACAATGTAGATGGTAGATGCACAATGTAGATGGTGGATACACAATGTAGATGGTAGATGCACAATGTAGATGGTAGATGCACAATGTAGATGGTAGATACACAATGTAGATGGCGGATACACAATGTAGATGGTAGATGCACAATGTAGATGGTAGATGCACAATGTAGATGGCAGATACACAATGTAGATGGTAGATGCACAATGTAGATGGTAGATGCACAATGTAGATGGCAGATACACAATGTAGATGGCGGATACACAATGTAGATGGTAGATGCACAATGTAGATGGCAGATACACAATGTAGATGGTGGATACACAAGGTAGATGGTAGATACACAATGTAGATGGCGGATACACAATGTAGATGGTAGATGCACAATGTAGATGGTAGATGCACAATGTAGATGGTGGATACACAAGGTAGATGGTGGATACACAATGTAGATGTAGATACACAATGGAGATGGTAGATACACAATGTAGATGGTAGATACACAATGTAGATTGTAGATGCACAATGTAGATGGTAGATGCACAATGTAGATGGTAGATGCACAATGTAGATGGTAGACACCCAATGGAGATGGCAGATACACAATGTAGATGTAGTTACACAATGGAGATGGTAGATACACAATGTAGATGGTAGATACACAATGTAGATTGTAGATGCACAATGTAGATCGTAGATGCACAATGTAGATGGTAAATGCACAATGTAGATGGTAGACCCCAAATGGAGATGGTAGATACACAATGCAGACAGTAGATACACAATGTAGATTGTAGATACACAATGTAGATGGTAGATGTACAATGGAGATGGTGGATTCACAATGTAGATGGTAGATACACAATGTAGATGGTAGATGCACAATGTAGATGGTGGATACACAATGTAGATGGTAGATACACAATGTAGATGGTAGATACACAATGTAGATGGTAGATGCACAATGTAGATGGTAGATGTACAATGTAGATGGTAGATACACAATGTAGATGGTAGATGCACAATGTAGATGGTAGATGCACAATGTAGATGGTAGATGCACAATGTAGATGGTAGATACACAATGTAGATGGTAGATACACAATGTAGATTGTAGATGCACAATGTAGATGGTAGATGCACAATATAGATTGTAGATACACAATGTAGATGGTAGATGCACAATGTAGATAATAGATGCACAATGTAGATGGTAGATGCACAACTGAGATGGTGGATGCACAATGGAGATGGTGGATACACAATGTAGATGGTAGATTCACAATGAAGATGGTAGATACACAATGTAGATGGTAGATGCACAATCCAGATGGTAGATGCACAATGTAGATGGTAGATACACAATGTAGATGGTAGATACACAATGTAGATTGTAGATGCACAATGTAGATGGTAGATGCACAATGTAGATTGTAGATACACAATGTAGATGGTAGATGCACAATGTAGATAATAGATGCACAATGTAGATGGTAGATGCACAACTGAGATGGTAGACACCCAATGGAGATGGCAGATACACAATGTAGATGTAGATACACAATGGAGATGGTAGATACACAATGTAGATGGTCGATACACAATGTAGATTGTAGATGCACAATGTAGATGGTAGATGCACAATGTAGATGGTAGATGCACAATGTAGATGGTAGACCCCAAATGGAGATGGTAGATACACAATGCAGACAGTAGATACACAATGTAGATTGTAGATACACAATGTAGATGGTAGATGCACAATGTAGATGGTAGATGCACAATGTAGATGGTAGATGAACAATGTAGATGGTAGATACACAATGTAGATGGTAGATACACAATGTAGATTGTAGATGCACAATGTAGATGGTAGATGCACAATGTAGATTGTAGATACACAATGTAGATGGTAGATGCACAATGTAGATAATAGATGCACAATGTAGATGGTAGATGCACAATGGAGATGGTGGATACACAATGTAGATGGTAGATTCACAATAAAGATGGTAGATACACAATGTAGATGGTAGATGCACAATGTAGATGGTAGCCAGATACACAATGTAGATGGTAGATGCACAATGGAGATGGTGGATACACAATGTAGATGGTAGATTCACAATGTAGATGGTAGATACACAATGTAGATGGTAGATACATAATGCAGACAGTAGATACGCAATGTAGATGATAGATACACAATGAAGATGGTAGATACACAATGTAGATGGTAGATACACAATGGATTCCCCACATGGGTGATATTGCCTGAATATTGCTTAAAGCGGCGTAAAACCATACTCACTCAGTCCTAGCACAGAGGGTCAATAACCTTGTCCAAGGTTACAACATAGTGACTTGCATAATATGGCCTCTTGAAATTAAAGATTTGAAATGATTATCGACAAATAGGGGTTACAGACATATTGTCTCTCAGTCAAGGATTATGGTATTGCTCACGAAATACTCTGTAAAGACGAGGATGGCAATATTGCGGTCGAGACTTTATTGAGGCTGAGTTATTTTCTTTCAAGCAGATGTAGGCAGACCATTTGTGTGTGTGTGTGTGTGTGTGTGTGTGTGTGTGTGTGTGTGTGTGTGTGTGTGTCCGTGTGTGTGTGTGTGTGTGTGTGTGTGTGTGTGTGTGTGTGTGTGTGTGTCTTATCCTTAGTATTAAAAAGACAATTCTTTTGTTGTTTAACGCCGCACTCAGCAATATTCCAGCTATGTGTGTTTTAAAACTCTGTGTTTGATGTGTCGCCTCAGAGTTCAGTTTGGAGAGCCCCGACGGATCGACAGTTCCCAGAGACAGCCTCGAGTACAAGAAAATAATAGCTGAGTCTAAAAGCAGTACGTTTCCATTCCTCTTCATAAAGATAATTGGCTGACACTGGGTTACAGAACGACATGAAGAAAATAATCTCACAACTCCGCAGCCCATTCAGCCTTATAGATGACAATGGAAGGATCAAATAAACCCAATCTGCGCTGACAAAGATCACTGATAAATTAACTCAGCGCAAATACACAAGTGGCTTAGCTAAGCAACTTATTACACCAATGAAATGAGAGTAGCTATAACAACACTTTGACAAGTCACCGACCACTCTTGTTGGAAGAGTTCATTTTACTTAAGGGATAAGGGTACAAGTGTGATGTGCACTCATCCATATATTTGTTTTGATAGTAGTACGTAGGCAATATGAGGTGTAGGCCAGATGGGGACAGGCCGACCAGATACGTAGACACCAAATTAAGTCGACTGCGACCACTTAACACCTGAGTCAATTAACTCAACACTCTAATGAGTCATTAACCTCGTCTGGGTTAAATAACGGGAAATAAACACAGAGGGCCCATACCAAAAGTAAGTTACTTGGTCTTTAAAATAGACGAGAATGTCTGAATATCAAACTAGTCTAACCGACAAAAGATTCAACCACTTTGCCTGAGTGAGTGATTGGGGTTTTACGCCGCTTTAAGCAATAATCCAGCAATATCACGGCGGGGGACACCAGAAATGGGCTTCACACATTGTACCCATGTCGGGAATCGAACCCGGGTCTTCGGCGTGACGAGCGAACGCTTTAACCACTAGGCTACCCGACCGCCCCACTTTGCCTGAGCAAGGAAAAACTGGAAACCCTAGTTACTATGTAGCTAGACAATCTCAGGAAGGTTGGTAATCCACGGATTACTAGAAAAACCTGAGTATTGGAAACGCTAGTTACTAAGTTTAGCTAGATACCACCCGAGGAAACAGTACTAGTTCAAAAGTGCCTTGTAATCACTTACTAACTAAACCTGAGTTTCACGTGACCACCCAGTAGTGAGACAATCGTAAACGATTTATATATTAACGAAGCCTTGGGGTAAAGACACAAGATCTTACCCCCAGACGATCATACTTTCCCAAGATGGGCAACCCTTCAAAAGGTAGGCTGGCAAGGCGAGGTGATCTATTAATAAACAGCTTGTTCCAATCAAAGTATCTATTTCATCGAATAAACGTTAGTCTTGCACTTCATAGACGTATATTCTTTTGATAAAACCTAGAAACATAATGAGGGCGAGTATTGAATTCGAACCCATCATAGGTTTCTGAGCGCCTACGAGACTCAACTGTGCACAGCTAATTGCCGCGCCTTAGACGACAGGACCACGTGTTCCCTATTTACAACTACAGCGTATCCTTCATCCTTGATCATAAATACCTCCCAGTCATCGAAATGTATTATAAAGTTTGTTTGATTTTTTTGCAGATGACCTATTTATCCCTTAAAATGCATCGATCATGAAATAAAACAAACAAAATGACAAAACGGCTTTGTTTTAACTAAAAGGTCAATTATTGTGCCCATGGCTGATACAGAGATACTGGAGACTAATAATGCATACATTTGGCGAAGCTCAATGTTCTTTAGCCGCGATGTGGTTTCAAGGTTGCTGATACTGGCGATAACGTTTGCTTGTATGTGTGTTCAATAGTTTTAATGCCAAGGTGAGGTGAAATTGGGTTTAACGTCGCGTCCAAGATTATTGCACCTATATAGCGACGTGCATGTACGTGTGTGTGTTTGTGTGGCTGCTTGTACTAGTCCGGACTGATGCCGATTTATAGTGCTAGCTCACTGAGATACCATGCCGCAGTTTAACATGAATACCCCACTCAGACACAGTATACTGACTCCGAGGTGACCAGTCCTTGTTTTAGCCCCTTAATGCCAAGCGCCAGACAGGGTAACAACAAGTACCATCTTTTAACGTCTTTTGGTATGACGCGGCCGGGTATCGAACCCCGTTTAATGCCAAGAAAGTGCTTTAGTGTTGGTTAACGGCTCCCTGAAAAGTATTTCAGTTATATCACGTTAAAACCAATAATGTTATTGACATTCAAGTCCTCATTTAACCTTACTTAAACCTGGGTCCATAATTACAGCACCTTTCATGCGTTTTAACCTAGACATGTACCTATTGTCCATTTAATGGGAACAAAGCTGACACACTGACATAGAAGCTATTTTCATTGGAAATGCCAACAAAATGTTCGAATTTTTTTAGAATATAGTTCATCCGCTTTTTAATGGGAATTTTGTGTTTAATCAGTGGGTTATTGTATGCATTGGAATTCCGAAATTACATGTGATTTGTTGAAAGAAGCGAATAGACAAAGAAAATGTAATCTGTCTTATCAGGTCTGTGTTGAATCATAAACATTGCGGTCCATCAACATGGACGGGTATTATTTATATGTACTCGAGTTGGTACTATGTGAAGTGCATCCTTGCAATTTCCTTCAAAGCTTGGCACTTGCTTTTCATAACCTAGGTCTCCAACGAGTAAGGTGAAGGTATACTAGCTCACACGGCTACCTCACTTTTTAACCACCCCATGCCTTCCATTAAGATGTACCACTTCCCAGTCCTACCCCAGTAATAATAATCAGCCCCAGATATAATACATATAAGGGTGGGAATTTTTCTGTGTAATTTTCTCACATTACAAAAGCCGTTTGGCATGTTTGTAGCTAGCGACATGTATGGGTCATTGTTCCATTTCTGAAGAAAAACATTAATGTCATGAGATTGACACACGTGAGAAAGGTTAGGTAAGAAATAAATGTATTGTCTATTATTGCAATGTAATCATTCTTGGAAAAGAGCTACCTACTGAAAATGCCATTATATTTGGCCTTTGTGGGATGGAGTACATGGGTCACGAGACGCCGAGAGTTTGCATATAAAATGTATTCATTGAAAGTAACCACTTCATTCTACAGTCTGAAGTTTTGATCGTCTTTTCGAGGATTTGACAAATTCAAGGTAAGCTGTTGACACTTACGTTTTAAGGAACGGACGCTATGCTTTTTAATTGAACTGAATGAACTTTATTAACTGCTTTATTCGCGCTCTCACCACAACGGGCATACGATCATAGTTTAACTTACGTTCTTGGCACACCGATAGACGCAACCCGACAAAGCAACTTGCCCCGCCTTAGACTACTGGGCCACCCGTGTCCCCGCAATAGTGTTGACTTGGGACGTCAGGAGGCATTCACTTCATGTGTACAGAAACATTCAATTGTATGATATTCAAAGGCCACAATCAAACATTAACATGATATGCTTTCTATCTGCAGGTTGTTGACTTGGGACGTTGGGAATCACGTCAACCATTCACTTCACGTGTAGAGAAAAATTCAATTCTATGATAGTAGTATTCGAAGACTACAATCAAACATTAACATGATATGCTTTCTATCTTCAGGTTGAAATGATGAGGATTGTGTACCTGACGCTGCTGCTGCTGGGCGTGGTGATAGCGTCGTATACGGAGGACTCAGGTACGTTGATGATGTAGCTGTGATTACTGAGGCAAATTGACATAGGACACAAACACATCATACATGTCAGCAAACGAACGACGGCATCCGTCACAAACACATGCAAAGGCAAGTATTCATCCGAACAAACACGGGAACGTGTGGTACAAGTCTTAATAGGCAATTGCATCAGACGCAGATGCGCCAAATGTGGAAATGTCCTACTCCTGTCTACAATCAAACACTTTCAAAGCTTTACTACCGACCTGAATACTGTAACCTTGATCAAATAACATTTGAGCAAGCGTCGTATGGCGCGCTTTGAAAATCTTCGAAGAAAACTTTGATCGAGTTTATCTGAAAAGCTTAACTGGCGAAATCCCCAAATGTAGGAGCCGCTGGAATACCGCTCGACATTAAAGGGAGGGCAGTCGATTATTCAAAATAACTTATTAATATATTGTTGTAGGAGCGAACATGCTGGCCAAGATCTATCAGCGGCAGGAGAAGATGCTGAAGCAGGTGGATATCCTGCAAAAAACAGGTAAACTCATTTACACGTTATCGTTGAATGACTTTGTAGAACGCTGGTTTGCCTACTTGAAATGTGTGTGTGTATGGTTTTACGCCGCTGTAGCAATATTCCAGCAATATCACGGCGGGGGACACCAGAAATGGGCTTCACACATTGTACCCATGTCGGGAATCGAATCCGGGTCTTCGGCGTGACGAGCGAACGCTTTAACCACTAGGCTACCCGACTTGGCTACTTGAAATGACTAGATGTCACAGTTCCACCCGAACTGTCAAATGGCAAACAAAGTTTTGACACTTAGATGAATATAAACGACAAAACCTTTCCATAATCATAGGAAATCTACAAACAGTCCATTGTACGATTCCGACGACATCATAAGCATATCACCTTTTCGCGAACATCTGGTACATCAGTAGTTGATAGTGATTCATAAACACACGTTCATAATAGAGTTGGAATCGTCCAAACAACTCAGCTTCCAGCACAGATTTCTTATGAATATAGAAAGTGTTTGTCGCTTTTATTTGTGAATCACTATCAAATAGGGATGATATCACTTGTTCGCACAAAGCTGCTCGTATCCTGTCCCACCGTTGGCACACGTCACAAACACATGCAAAGGCAAAGTTAGTGTTCACCTTAAGAAAGGCGGGAACATATTGTTCAATTCAATATAGGGAATTGAATCGAAAATCATTTGGTCATTGATTTGTAATTTCCCTCTTCATGTTATCTAAGATATGGGCGTGTGACAATATTTAATCGAACAGGTTTTTTGAAAAAGTTAGTTGTGCCTCAAACATGGAATGCAGAGGCTACACATTATTCTAAAAGTATATCGTATCCCATATGTAAAACTGAACTCGTCCTTCAAAAGTAGTTATTATTTATCCCTACTTCTTTGGCTGTAAAATTCCTATTGTTTAGAGCCTCATGCTCATTTACCTGTTGAAATTGGTAGGTGGCACCAAATTCCTGTCATTGAACGAACGTGTAAACTCTGCGATATGAGTTATGTTGCTGATGAATTCCATTTTACTTTTCTTTGTGATTTTTTAAACGGAAAATATATGTTCCAAATTCATATGCTAAATACCAAAATATGTTTAAATTTGAAGAAATGTTTAAATGTTTTAAAGAGTGTTATAAAAAAACCTCTGTACCTTCTGTAATGTCATTATGAAAACTGTAAAGTCCTCCATGTAAACCCCGGGGTAGAATAAGTCTTCAGCAACCCATGGTTGCCGTAACAGGTGACTGTGCTTGTCGAGTTGTCAGGCTCGCTGACATGGCTGATGCATGTCATCGATCCCAATTGCGTGGATGATATAAATCACTGGATTATCTGGTCCAGACTCGATTATTTACAGACGGCCGTCATATAGCCGGAATATTGCTGAGTGCGGCGTAAAACAACAAACCAACCAACCATGTACACCATCCCGCCATCTTGTGTTTATACTGTAAATGTGTACCCCATAAGCCTAGTATCCCGGCCTTAATGTAAAAAAGTTCTGTTCTGTTCCTAATTGGAATAAAGAAGTTGTTAATCCATATGTCGTATCCGTACATGGCACTCCAATTCTACATGCTCTCAAAGAAGTATCAAAGATTACTTTGGGGGTCAATCTGGGATGTGAACCCACCACCCTGCGTTCCAGTCAGCTAAAGGAGTCCAATCAAGTCTCTCCATATTTTCATGGATACTCCAGTACATGACGAAATTGTCAAAGTGCCCGTATCCTGGGTCGGTAATTCCATTGAACTACAAACGGTTCCTGAAATCGTCCTTAATATTTCGGGCACTCACAAAGAAGCGAACAAAATACTATCAACACAATAATATAACTTGCATCACCATCTCGTAGACAGGGAGTGCCTTAGGAGTGGCTGAGTTGGGGTTAACGCCGTTTTGAAAAGTATTACAGTTATATCTCCACCTGACAGCTTACTGTGGGGGGAAAGCCCCACGTGATGTGGATCTCGGATGTTTGCAATTTTAGTGAAACCCGCAAGCACGGGCATGGTGCTGACAAATCTAGAAACATAATCGGGGCGAACCTTGATTCGAACCCACGATCATAGGTTTCTGGAGTGCCCAAGGAACTTGCCACAGAAGTGCAAATGTTCCATGAATATCAGTAATGACAGCAAGGTTGCAAAATAAATGCAGTTTTGAAAATAACGTTGTGCTTTATGATACTTCACAGTGTCAAAGGTATCGAAAGTCAACGCGAAGGTGAGTGAGGCGAAGAAGCGGAAGAGGCACGAAGGACGGAGGCACGAAGGACGGAGGAGTGAGAAAAAGATGGAATCACACGACTACGACTATCCCGATATGTTTCAACATAGACAGAGAAGAAAAGGCAGCGGTGGGTTTCTCATACTTTACTTTTGGACAGACGGATTGATTATCATCTTGATTGGAAGGGGTGGGGGTGGGGTATGTTAGATACATCTAACAGGTAATTAATGATTACATTTATAGCCCTAAAACGCAATTTTAAATAGGATACGTCGAGAGAGTCAGTCGAAATGTACAGCAGTCCGTGGAGAAAGGTACCTCTTTAAACCCTCACATTTGAGGCTTCAACATAGGCATTTGAAATCCGTACCAATGTTATTTTTTATACAAATATAATAAAGAGTTCAAGCAGCAGATCTAACAACCTGTAATATTATAAAAAGCAGTGTCATTCGCTTTCTGCATGACAATACTATAAATACAAGCGACCTAATTAATTAAGAAATCTCTACCTCAGCAGAATCCAATGTACAGTTCCGACACATTCATGTGTTTATGAATCCCTATCAAATAACGATGATACCAGATGTTCGCCGAAAAAAGGTAAGCATATCCTTCCCCACCGGTGGCACCCGTCACAAACACACGCAAAGGAAAGTTAAATGTTCACCTGAAAAAAACATGGGGACGTATGGTACAGGTCGAAATAGGGAATGGCATCGGACGTAATATTCATGTTTTGTAAAATATTACCCTCATTGTATATGCAATATGAGTCAGATTAGGCATTGCAAACAATTTGGAGTGAGTGAGTGAGTATGGTTTTACGCCGCTTTTAGCAATATTCCAGCAATATCACGGCGGGGACACCAGAAATGGGCTTCACACATTGTACCAATGTCGGGAATCGAACCGGGGTCTTCGGCGTGGCGAGCGAACGCTTTAACCACTAGGCTACCCGACCGCCCCAAAACAGTTTGGAAAGCTAAGGGGACTGACAATGAGTTGCTAAGCGTTGCTGCTGTCATGATTCACGGACGTTTCACTTTGTGAGTTTGTTTGTTTGTAAACTTTGTCTGTTTGTTTGATTGTTTGTTTTACGCCGCACTCAGCAATATTCAATCTATGTGACGGCGGTCTGTAATACGATGACATGCATCAACCATGTCAGCGAGCCTGACCACCCGATCCCATAAGACGCCTCTTACGACAAGCATAGGTTGCTGAAGACCAATTCTAACACGGATATTTACGGATAGGCGTTTCAGATGCTAATTGCTTATCCAGTTAAAAGGAATTGAGGTATTTACCATACAGGGCAATAGAAAATGTACGCTTGAAAATTGGATCTGAAAAAATCTGACTTGGCTGATGCATTGTGAGATACTTGTGATCATTGATATAAGCATGCATTATCGCCTCTGCTTCAAATGCATCACCATCAAATAACCACTTCTTGTTTGTTTGTTTGTTTGTTTCATTTTTATCCACCATCAAACATGGGTGTTATTTTTATCCGGCAGATATCCGAGCATGTGCACAATTCATGTTGTTATTTTGCAGACACCGCATCCAGTGGCCCTCCCCAGCGTTCGTATAATTCCTTTCATTCTTTCTTAGTGTCTTGTGTATCAGATCGTGAGGACACAGAATAGAATCGCCAGTTTGCGTGTCGGCAATAATATTGTATAAGCTTTGAATGAGTGATGTGGTGTGTATTAGTGGGCAAACTGCACCTGTTTCAAGCGCTCGTTATATGTCAAACAGTGTGAGTTGTCACGCCGTTCGTAAAAGTATTTCAGACGAATGTTAAAAGAATGTTCAAAGTTGCCGTAGAAAAGATTAAATTAAAGATGTGGGAGGAAAGCCCGAAGCTTTGCAGATCTCAGACGTTTACCACTTTGGTGAAACACAAGAGCACGGGTATGGTGCTGACAAACCCACGATCATTCTTTCTGGCGTGCCCAGGGGAAATCATCTGTGCCAAAGATGAATGGGTCACCCGTGACCCCGGGTGTCTCGGAACCCATACCATCATGTCAGAAACTTATACATATTGTACTTACACTTATACCACCCATTCGACATAAGAAGGTTCCTTAGAGAGTTTCTTGTTCACTTTTTAGGAGCCTTCAGGATATCTTTCGGATAGGGTGAGCATGGAAAACTTAATAAAGAGTTTCGCTTTTGACATATGTCGTTCCTTTCTTCTTTCCGTCTATTTACCATCTACATTGTGTATCTACCATCTGTGTTGTGTATCTACCATCTGTATTGTCTGTCCACCATCTACATTGAGTATCTACCATCTACATTGTGTATCTACCATCTACATTGTGTATCTACCATCTGTATTGTCTGTCGACCATCTCCATTGTGTATCCACCATCTACATTGTGTATCTACCATCTACATTGTGTATCGAACAATATGTATTGTCTGTCCACCATCTACATTGTGCATCTACCATCTACATTGTGTATCTACCATCTACATTGTGTATCTACCATCTGTATTGTCTGTCGACCATCTCCATTGTGTATCCACCATCTACATTGTGTATCTACCATCTACATTGTGTGTCTACCATCTACATTGTGTATCTACCATCTGTATTGTCTGTCCACCATCTCCATTGTGTATCTACCATCTGTATTGTGTCTACCATCTACAATGTACATCTACCATCTGTATTGTGTCTACCATCTACAATGTACATCTACCATCTACATTGTATGTCTACCATCTACATTGTGTATCTACCATCTGTATTGTGTCTACCATCTACAATGTACATCTACCATCTACATTGTGTATCTACCATATGTATTGTCTGTCCACCATCTACATTGTGCATCTACCATCTGTATTGTGTCTACCATCTACAATGTACATCTACCATCTACATTGTGTGTCTACCATCTACATTGTGTATCTACCATCTGTATTGTGTCTACCATCTACAATGTACATCTACCATCTACATTGTGTATCTACCATATGTATTGTCTGTCCACCATCTACATTGTGCATCTACCATCTGTATTGTGTCTACCATCTACAATGTACATCTACCATCTACATTGTGTATCTACCATATGTATTGTCTGTCCACCATCTACATTGTGCATCTACCATCTGTATTGTGTCTACCATCTACAATGTACATCTACCATCTACATTGTGTATCTACCATATGTATTGTCTGTCCACCATCTACATTGTGCATCTACCATCTGTATTGTGTCTACCATCTACAATGTACATCTACCATCTACATTGTGTATCTACCATATGTATTGTCTGTCCACCATCTACATTGTGTATCTACCATCTACATTGTGTATCTACCATCTACATTGTGTATCTACCATCTACATTGTGTATCTACCATCTACATTGTGTATCTACCATCTACATTGTGTATCTACCATCTGTATTGTCTGTCCACCATCTCCATTGTGTATCCACCATCTACATTGTGTATCTACCATCTACATTGTGTATCTACCATATGTATTGTCTGTCCACCATCTACATTGTGCATCTACCATCTGTATTGTGTCTACCATCTACAATGTACATCTACCATCTACATTGTGTATCTACCATATGTATTGTCTGTCCACCATCTACATTGTGCATCTACCATCTGTATTGTGTCTACCATCTACAATGTACATCTACCATCTACATTGTGTGTCTACCATCTACATTGTGTATCTACCATCTGTATTGTGTCTACCATCTACAATGTACATCTACCATCTACATTGTGTATCTACCATATGTATTGTCTGTCCACCATCTACATTGTGCATCTACCATCTGTATTGTGTCTACCATCTACAATGTACATCTACCATCTACATTGTGTATCTACCATATGTATTGTCTGTCCACCATCTACATTGTGTATCTACCATCTACATTGTGTATCTACCATCTGTATTGTCTGTCCACCATCTCCATTGTGTATCCACCATCTACATTGTGTATCTACCATCTACATTGTGTATCTACCATATGTATTGTCTGTCCACCATCTACATTGTGCATCTACCATCTACATTGTGTATCTACCATCTACATTGTGTATCTACCATCTACATTGTGTATCTACCATCTGTATTGTGTCTACCATCTACAATGTACATCTACCATCTACATTGTGTATCTACCATATGTATTGTCTGTCCACCATCTACATTGTGCATCTACCATCTGTATTGTGTCTACCATCTACAATGTACATCTACCATCTACATTGTGTATCTACCATATGTATTGTCTGTCCACCATCTACATTGTGTATCTACCATCTACATTGTGTATCTACCATCTACATTGTGTATCTACCATCTGTATTGTCTGTCCACCATCTCCATTGTGTATCCACCATCTACATTGTGTATCTACCATCTACATTGTGTATCTACCATATGTATTGTCTGTCCACCATCTACATTGTGCATCTACCATCTACATTGTGTATCTACCATCTACATTGTGTATCTACCATCTACATTGTGTATCTACCATCTACATTGTGTATCTACCATCTACATTGTGTATCTACCATCTGTATTGTCTGTCCACCATCTCCATTGTGTATCCACCATCTACATTGTGTATCTACCATCTACATTGTGTATCTACCATATGTATTGTCTGTCCACCATCTACATTGTGCATCTACCATCTACATTGTGTATCTACCATCTACATTGTGTATCTACCATATGTATTGTCTGTCCACCACCTGCATTGTGTATCTACCATCTGTATTGTGTCTACCATCTACAATGTACATCTACCATCTACATTGTGTATCTACCATATGTATTGTCTGTCCACCATCTACATTGTGTATCTACCATCTGTATTGTGTCTACCATCTACAATGTACATCTACCATCTACATTGTGTGTCTACCATCTACATTGTGTATCTACCATCTGTATTGTGTCTACCATCTACAATGTACATCTACCATCTACATTGTGTATCTACCATATGTATTGTCTGTCCACCATCTACATTGTGCATCTACCATCTGTATTGTGTCTACCATCTACAATGTACATCTACCATCTACATTGTGTGTCTACCATCTACATTGTGTATCTACCATCTACATTGTGTATCTACCATATGTATTGTCTGTCCACCATCTACATTGTGTATCTACCATCTACATTGTGTATCTACCATCTACATTGTGTCTACCATCTACATTGTACATCTACCATCTACATTGTGTGTCTACCATCTACATTGTGTATCTGCCATCCGTATTGTCCCTCCATAATCTGTATTGTCCCTTCATAATCTGCATTGTCTATCTCTCCACCTGTATTGTCTGTCCGCACACTTTGATTGTGTATCTACCCGTTGCATTATCTGTAGTCCACCTCTATATCTTTATTACTGAAAAAAATAGTTGTTTCTTCTTATATAGTTAGGTTTTATATCCACTTTTCGTTGCTTTATATCCGAAGGCCTTGAAGCTTTTACATTAGATATTAAAATGTCTTGCTGCGATATCCTTCTTATATGAAATATCTAGGATGCACTTGTTTTATATTTACAATTTACACGTGAATCTTTAACAGCAGATAAGCATTACTACAATAACAATTAACACTTGTCTTACAGGACCGTGACGTCTCCCCGACTGGCGCGCGACCTGTCTGTGAAATTATGACCAGAGTGAAAATACAGATGCCAATGACAGCACTTAATTTCTCAAAATAAAGATCTGTTCGCAAATATTCAAATTGTTATATATTTATGTTCTGATCTGGAAAAAACTATGTTGTAGCCTCCCTGTTAGCTTTAGTAGAACACCAGAATTGGGAAAATGTCTCAATTCTTGTGGTTAGAGCATCACATTTGGCCAACATATGGTGAGGTGAGGTGAAATTGGGTTTAACGTGTGTATGTGGCTGCATGTACCCGTCCGGTTTTATAGTGCTAGCCCACTGAGATTCATTGCTGCAGTTTAACAAGGACACCCCACTCTCACATACTATACTGACTCCGAGCCAACCAGTCCTAGTTTTAGCCCCTTATTGCCGAGCGCCAGGCAGGGCAATAACAAGTACCATCTTTAACGTCTGTTGGTATGCCCCCGACCTGGGAGCGAACCCCGGACCTTTCGCGCTCCGGGCGGACGCTCTACCACATGACCACTTTGGTGTCGATGGCGGTGGTGTGTGTGTGGTTTATTTTATCCTTTGTTTTATACTCGTTTCAATGAAAATAGTACATGTTAGTGCATATTATTGGTTGCAAAACTGCAGTGGTTTATTCTGTAATACGGTATCAAATAGTAGGGTATTGGTTTTAAAAAGACAATAACAAATATAACAGGTTAAATAAATAATTTGTACACTCACTCAGCAATATTCCAGCTCTTAGGTCTGGACCAGATAATCAAGTGATTGACATCATGAGCATCGATCAACGTATTTGGCAATAGAATCAGGAAAAAAAAGAAACAATAGAAAGTTAAAATGAAGGATCGAGATTATATATGCAAAATTAATATGCAAACTACAAAATGCCAAAAGTAAATACAGTGATGTGTTTACCCCTGGGCTGATAAATGAAAACTGTCACTGTTCCTCCAACGAAAGTGTATGTTGAGTTCAGCGGACTTTTGACCCCAGGTTCATGTCTCACTACTGGGGCCATGGCGGAACAACAGGGTAGCTGAAGACTGAAGAGTTCCCTCATTACATTGTTTAATTCCCCACACTGGTCCGCTGTTGCTGACGTTGGCTGGTTGGTGTGTTGTGTAACGCCGCACTCAGCAATATTCCAGCTTTATGACGGCGGTCTGAAAATAATCGAGTCTGGGCCAGAAAATGCAGTGATTGACATCATGATCATCGATCCACGTAATTGGGATCGATGACATTCATCAACCAAGTCAGCGAGCCTGACCACCGAAAAACTCAAGTCACCACCTTACTTATAATTCATAAGCGTCTAATTTATTTTTGAATTCCATCTGGCCCAACTGAATATTTAAAATCAGATAATAAACATTTTAGTGTTTTCCTTTGATTCTTGTTTAAAGTTGAAAGAAAATAGGTTCGGGTTTCAAAGTGGTGACATTCTGATCAAATGGTTTGTTCTATTCGATATATCAGGAGTATTGGTCTAGGAATATATGTTTGAGTTGGCTAGGTTTAAAAATGTTGACCATACAATCAACGCAATCAGCGTCTGTAAATGCGTGAGAAACATGGCTTTCATCTTTGACATCAATCACAATCGTTTTTCATAAAAAACACACACAAGGCATACTTCGACCCATGTATCGAGACCTGACACTGTTGTCAATCCAAGATGTTGAAGGTTAGTCTCACCGAAAACTTTTATTTATCATCTTCTACCATGTTCAATATGTAGTGCTCACATGTCATCTTTCATAAGCATCACGCAGTTCTTAGGCGAGCCAAACAGGTTCCAAATTCAAAGACCTTTGACTGTCGCTTCTTTGTGAAAGGCACTCCCTCTCACATTGAAATCATCGCCAACACTACATTCCTTATAGTCTGGGTTATAAAATGTATCTCTTCCAGGGCGATTCTCATTGACGCAGCTGTTCTGGTCGATAAGCGCGTCTTGAGCCAACTGCGATGACCAGTCCTGTCGGTTGTGTGCGCTTTGAGCATGCCTCTGTCTGGGAATGTAGCGTGATATAGATAGCTTTATTGTCATTATTTAAAGAATAAAGTCTTGTTTTCTGTGACATTTGTCAACACTGACTTGGTAGGGAGGAGGGATATAATTTTATTTTGACTCACAACGTCACACATTTATAAAGAATTTGACCTCGTTTGGCAACGATCTGCGCGTGGTAGAATCTTGCGCAGAAACGAAATTTAAGTTTAAAAGGTCGTTTCTTAACAATCCCGTCATTGTTTAATGCGGGTGCGGGTGCAGGTGCGGGTGCGGGTGCGGGTGCAGGTGCAGGTGCGGGTGCTACCGTAAGGGCAGGAAGTACTTACCTATTTCGCCAACTCCTACTGTCATCACCGATGTTCAGTGATCCATTCATATAGTTTGCACAGCTTTTTAAACCCTTTACGCCAGATGTTATCTGTTTCGACGGATAATCAAGACTGGTTATTCCCTTGCATTGACGAGTTATATTTAAAATGACAGAAATAAGGGGCGGGGTTAAATTTAGGGCGGGTCACCAGTGTCACGGAGCTGTGCTCCAGAGACCTGGATGTCATTAAATAAGAATAAAGTAATACTAGAATAATACACGTGCTAAAAGTTCAGTTTTATTATCAGCTTATTGTAACTAAAGTGAGGCAATCTAAAGGATCAAAACTCCAATTGACACTGACAATGATCACTGATTATTAACCAGAACAAATATACAAGCAGATAAGCTTAGCAAAAGCTATTACAAAATATAGCTAAATCAACACAGCCTTGGGACCAACAATGTTTACAAGTCTTTACAGTGTTGCCACAACCCCAAGTGTACAGTCCATTACTCAGTGCACTCAAAAGAAAGTAATTTTAGTAATATTCTAGCAATATCACGCTGCGGTCACTAGACCATGACAGGGACATCAGAAAGAGAGAATTGGTAATAATTTAGCAAAACTTATCAGTCCATTTTGAAAATATAATTATCCCTCGTGGGCATTCCGGGTTTGAATATTGGTCTCCAGCAACATAGCTGGTCGTAAGAGGCGACCGAATGGTTCGGGTACTCGGGTGACTTCGTTGATAGCGTGTCCCTGGTCCCCGATGGCGTGGATCGTTGCTCAAAATATCGATCACTGGAGTAATCGCCGATTTTCATTGATCCATTCAAATATTTTCACAACTATGTTGCCTTTTACACCCAATGGAAACTATTTCGGCCGATAATCGATACTGGTTATTCTCTGACGTTGACGTTTTAGATTATGAGCACCAAAGAGGTCCGAATGTCGTCAGAGGCGACTAAAACGGATCTGGTGACAAGTCTTTGTGAATAAATGCGATTAATCACGCCCGGTTTTCGTTATACATCTGTAATATTACGTCCTGTAGTGCAAATCCACATTCACTCACTCACTCTTTATGCCAACTTGTACTTGTTAACCATACACATTCTGACTGAAAAAATATTAGACTTTCAATGTGATTGACACCTCAAATGTTGTTCGAGGGTAAGAACTTTTCAGTGTAATATTCTCACATTACAAACGTCTTTTGACAGGTCTGTAGCTTGCGTTATGTAACGGTCATTGTTTCTTTTCTGAAGGAAAACATTAATGTCATAAGCTTGACACACGTGAGAAGGGTTAGGTGAGAAATACATTTATTGTGTATTATTGCAATTTAATCATTTTTGAAAAAGAGCTACCTCCTGAAAATGTCATTATATTTTACATTTGAGGTATTGAGTACATGGGTCACGAGACGCGTGTGGTTACTGTTTTTGCAATAAATTTCGCCTTTTTTAAGATATCAGCTTATGTTCCTAAAACATAATCAGAACTAATGATAGATTGTTCTTAATATTGAATACAAGTATATATTTCTGAAAAAAATATATTATCAAAAAGAATGTTGGTGACAGTAAATCTTAATAGAAAGTAGGATGTGATTTTCAATTAAAAAAAATTAAATAACGTTTAAACTGAGATATTTAAGTGCCTAAATAAAAGTAGATATCACCCACTCTTCTTTCGCTCCTTTTACGTATCCTCGAATCAAATTGGATCTATTTATTTAATCGTCATTCCAAACAGTAAATGAATAAAAATATGAATATTTCCAAACAGATCTTTATTATGATTAAATGAGTGCAGTCTTACAGTAATTTCTGTATTGTCTAATTGTCTTCCTTATCCTTGCCACGGAGACGTCACGGGCCTGAAAAATGACAAGCGTCAATTGTTACTGTAAGCTCAACTGAACATTGTTCAAATATTATTTGTAAACCAGAACAGTTTTAAGTGAATAGTAGATACCAAAGTATGTCACAATATATACCACATTCAGTTCGTGTAAAGCCATACAACAGGTGGGTAGATGGACAACACAAATAGACAGTTGGACAGATACACTATGCAGGTGTGACGATGGGCAACACAAACTTGGGGATAAGTATATGTTGATGTGAGTGTTAAGGAAAGTACAGGTAGATGCGAGTGTTGAAGGTAAGTACACGAAGATGTATGTGTTGGAAGTCAGTACATGTGGATGCGTGTGTTGAAGGTAAGTACACGAAGATGTGTGTGTTGACGGTCAGTACATGTAAATGTGTGTGTTGAAGGTAAGTACATGTAGATGTGTGTGTTGAAGGTAAGTACATGTAGATGTGTGTGTTGAATGCAAGTACATGTAGATGCGAGTGTTCAAGGTAAATACATGTTATGTGTGTGTTGAAGGTAAGTACATGCAGATGTGTGTGTTGAAGGTAAGTACACGAAGATGTGTGTGTTGAAGGTAAGTACATGTAGATGTGTGTGTTGAAGGTAAGTACATGTAGATGTGTGTGTTCAGATAAGTACATGTAGATGTGTGTGTTGAAGGTAATTACGTGTAGTTGTGTGTGTTGAAGGTAAGAGTAGGTAAGTGGGTTTTTAAGTATATGTTGGTACGATTGTTCTTTATTTCTTCCCGCGGACTCATGGAACATACCTGTTCTTCTATCGTCTGTCTGAAGGTAAGTACATGTAGATGTGTGTGTTGAAGGTAAGTACTATGGATGCGAGTGTTGAAGTAGGTACATGTAGATGTGTCTGTTGAGGGTAAGTACATGTAGATGTGAGTGTTGACGATAAGTACATGTAGATGTGTGTGTTGAAGGTTAGTACAGGTAGATGTGTGTGTTGAAGGTTAGTACATGTAGATGTGTGTGTTGAAGGTAAGTACATGTAGATGTGTCTGTTGAAGGTAAGTACACGTAGATGTGTGTGTTGAAGGTAAGTACATGTAGATGTGTGTGTTGAAGGTTAGTACAGGTAGATGTGTCTGTTGACGGTAAGTACATGTAGATGTGTGTGTTGAAGGTTCGTACATGTAGATGTGTGTGTTGAAGGTAAGTACATGTAGATGTGTCTGTTGAGGGTAAGTACATGTAGATGTGAGTGTTGAGGGTAAGTACATGTAGATGTGTGTGTTGAAGGTAAGTACATGTAGATGTGTGTGTTGAAGGTAAGTACACGTAGATGTGTGTGTTGAAGGTAAGTACATGTAGATGTGTGTGTTGAAGGTAAGTACACGTAGATGTGAGTGTTGACGATAAGTACATGTAGATGTGTGTGTTGAAGGTAAGTACATGTAGATGTGTGTGTTGAAGGTAAGTACAGGTAGATGTGTGTGTTGAAGGTAAGTACACGTAGATGTGTGTGTTGAAGGTAAGTACACGTAGATGTGTGTGTTGAAGGTAAGTACATGTAGATGTGTGTGTTGAAGGTAAGTACACGTAGATGTGTGTGTTGAAGGTAAGTACATGTAGATGTGTGTGTTGAAGTAAATATAAGTACATGTAGATGTGTCTGTTGAGGGTAAGTACATGTAGATGTGAGTGTTGAGGGTAAGTACATGTAGATGTGTGTGTTGAAGGTAAGTACATGTAGATGTGTGTGTTGAAGGTAAGTACACGTAGATGTGTGTGTTGAAGGTAAGTACATGTAGATGTGTGTGTTGAAGGTAAGTACAGGTAGATGTGTGTGTTGAAGGTAAGTACATGTAGATGTGTGTGTTGAAGGTAAGTACAGGTAGATGCGAGTGTTGAAGGTAAGTACACGTAGATGTGTGTGTTGAAGGTAAGTACATGTAGATGCGAGTGTTGAAGGTAAGTACATGTAGATGTGTGTGTTGAAGGTAAGTACATGTAGATGTGTGTGTTGAAGGTACGTACATGTAGATGTGTGTGTTGAAGGTACGTACATGTAGATGCGAGTGTTGAAGGTAAGTACAGGTAGATGTGTGTGTTGAAGGTAAGTACAGGTAGATGTGTGTGTTGAAGGTAAGTACATGTAGATGTGTGTGTTGAAGGTAAGTACACGTAGATGTGTGTGTTGAAGGTAAGTACATGTAGATGTGTGTGTTGAAGGTTAGTACAGGTAGATGTGTGTGTTGAAGGTTAGTACATGTAGATGTGTGTGTTGAAGGTAAGTACATGTAGATGTGTCTGTTGAGGGTAAGTACATGTAGATGTGAGTGTTGAGGGTAAGTACATGTAGATGTGTGTGTTGAAGGTAAGTACATGTAGATGTGTGTGTTGAAGGTAAGTACACGTAGATGTGTGTGTTGAAGGTAAGTACATGTAGATGTGTGTGTTGAAGGTAAGTACAGGTAGATGTGTGTGTTGAAGGTAAGTACATGTAGATGTGTGTGTTGAAGGTAAGTACAGGTAGATGCGAGTGTTGAAGGTAAGTACACGTAGATGTGTGTGTTGAAGGTAAGTACATGTAGATGCGAGTGTTGAAGGTAAGTACATGTAGATGTGTGTGTTGAAGGTAAGTACATGTAGATGTGTGTGTTGAAGGTACGTACATGTAGATGTGTGTGTTGAAGGTACGTACATGTAGATGCGAGTGTTGAAGGTAAGTACAGGTAGATGTGTGTGTTGAAGGTAAGTACAGGTAGATGTGTGTGTTGAAGGTAAGTACATGTAGATGTGTGTGTTGAAGGTAAGTACACGTAGATGTGTGTGTTGAAGGTTAGTACACGTAGATGTGTGTGTTGAAGGTAAGTACCTGTAGATGTGTGTGTTCAAGGTAAGTGCAGGTAGATGTGTGTGTTGAAGGTAAGTACATGTAGATGTGTGTGTTGAAGGTTAGTACAGGTAGATGTGTGTGTTGAAGGTAAGTACACGTAGATGTGTGTGTTGAAGGTAAGTACATGTAGATGTGTGTGTTGAAGGTAAGTACATGTAGATGTGTGTGTTGAAGGTAAGTACATGTAGATGTGTGTGTTGAAGGTTAGTACATGTAGATGTGTGTGTTGAAGGTTAGTACAGGTAGATGTGTGTGTTGAAGGTTAGTACACGTAGATGTGTGTGTTGAAGGTAAGTACATGTAGATGGGTGTGTTGAAGGTAAGTACACGTAGATGTGTGTGTTGAAGGTAAGTACACGAAGATGTGTGTGTTGACGGTCAGTACATGTAGATGCGAGTGTTGAAGGTAAGTACATGTAGATGTGTGTGTTGAAGGTAAGTACATGTAGATGTGTGTGTTGAAGGTAAGTACATGTAGATGTGTGTGTTGAAGGTAAGTACACGTAAATGTGTGTGTTGAAGGTAAGTACACGTAGATGTGTGTGTTGAAGGTAAGTACATGTAGATGTGTGTGTTGAAGGTAAGTACACGTAGATGTGTGTGTTGAAGGTAAGTACACGTAGATGTGTGTGTTGAAGTAGGTACATGTAGATGTGTCTGTTGAGGGTAAGTACATGTAGATGTGAGTGTTGACGATAAGTACAGGTAGATGTGTGTGTTGAAGTAGGTACATGTAGATGTGTCTGTTGAAGGTAAGTACAGGTAGATGTGTGTGTTGAAGGTAAGTACATGTAGATGTGTGTGTTGAAGGTTATTACGTGTAGTTGTGTGTGTTGAAGGTAAGAGTAGGTAAGTGGGTTTTTAAGTATATGTTGGTACGATTGTTCTTTATTTCTTCCCGCGGACTCATGGAACATACCTGTTCTTCTATCGTCTGTCTCCTTACTCAACCCAAAAGTTCGCCAAGAAGGGAATTAACTGGAACAAAAAAAATATTGTATCAACACTCATAAGAATCTTAGTTATAACGGTTAATGTGAATATATTTTCTGGCATATCGTTAATGGGTTTCAAAACTACAAAAGAAAATCCGGAGACCAATCTTATCGCTACACATCTTTTGACATATTTGGGTCTGTATAATATTTTAAGTGTTAACTTTGGTGGGTTTCGTCATAAGATATGTGTCTAAAATGTCCTAAAAGTCGTTTGTACATTATGGTCGTAAACAGCTGCGTGCATCATGTATTATATTGAGTACTATTGCTGGTACTAGTCCGGACTGATGCCGATTGATAGTGCTCGAGATACCATGCCGCAGTTTAACATGAACACCCCACTCAGACACAGTATACTGACTCTGAGCCGACCAGTCCTTGTTTTAGCCCCTTAATGCCGAGGGACAGACAGGGTAACAACAAGTACCATCTTTTAACGTCTTTTGATATGACGCGGTAAAATCTACAAGAACAAATAGACCAAGGATCGTGACTTGGACATTGGATACTTACGTGAACCACGCTGTCCTTTTGACCTCCACTGTTTATCATCCATCCATGGGTCCACTGTATGTGGAATGAGAACAACATGGATAAACACATGGTTATAAACGGTAACTCGTATAACTCAAAAGAAAAGAAATTATACCGAGTTTGTTTTTTCATGTAATGGATTTTTTTCAACCAACTGTTGTTAACTTTGATTATGTTTATTCCACCACCATTCATTCCTGCAACAGATTGTAAAATCTGTGGCTTGTTTATTGTGTTCAGATATTGGTTGAAAGGAGATTGGGGTAAGAAACGAATACGCGATTTGATTGGACTATGCACAGACTCGTTAGTCCAGGCAAAATACAAACTCCGAAATTCCAGCCTAGTTTGGCAAGGGAGGAAACTGGACACTTTGTAGTCAGTTAACTCCCTTGCCTCGGGAAAATCATTCCTGTTAAGGTTAACCTGAAATCCCCACGAGGCCACGAGTTTCGACACAAAAGGGAAACTTACCGTCTTCGGGGTTATCCTCCTCCATCTGATGTTGCCATTTTACCGCTGTCGATTCGATATGATTATGCATTAATAAATTTATAAATTGGTTCAATGAAGACAGTGGTAAGAAATGCACTTGCAGCCACATGCACCCTATCATGTTTGAAATGTTAATGTGTGCTGAAAAAGGGAAATGAATTGATTTCAACGATAACATGTCTAATATACCCATAAGCAGTTGTGCGATTTCTTTTGGTCAATCAAAGTTTTAAATCAAATTATATTTTTATTAATAAAAACATGTAGATGTATCCTTTGGGTGCTAACCAAGCGCAAGTACAGTTCATTTTATGGATATAATATCGCTAGCTTTCAATTGAAAATCAAACAGAGATATAAATCAACTGAGAGGTAGAGGTTCTTTAGCCCCACAGTATATAAGCGTAAGCATTTCAATTTTATACACATAATTCTATATAAAGAATTGAAGATGAAGAAGGATAGGCATATTTGGGGTCTCTACGATTGACAGACTGATATGTTAGGATTCTTTGAAAAAAAATGTCATAAAATGTATCTTAAATAAGCGTTCAGATGACTTACAATAATTTTGTATATTTACTATTACGAACTTTTAAATTTTATTCCAGCCCTAACATTAAATGGAGATCCATGACTAAAGTGACTAATGTGAAAAAAGTGACCAGGATGAGAAAGTCCTTGACATGAGAGAGTGTTTCTCAATTGACTTCACTTCCATGTATATGTAGTTGTATCCTCAACGTTTTGGTTAAAATTAATAAATATAAATTGCAAATCCTCTTTAACTGGTCTTTTTACACATATGACAATACCACCCGGAGCCATGATAAGACATTCAAAATTATAACATAGAAAAGAAGGAAGGTTTTAGGTGACAGTGATGTAAAGCTTTTATATTTTTCGAACTACCTCCAAATTGGAATTGGACAATTCTTGTGGGTCTTTATCGAATCTGATATTTTCTAAGAGACCGAGTTTCTTTTGTTTGTTGTTTGACGCCACACTCAACAATATTCCGCTGAATGAGAGCGACCTGTAAAAAATCGAATGTGGAACAGACAATCCAGTGATTGATATTATGAGCAAAGGCCCATTCTGTCGGGGTAGGATGATAATCAGGCCGAAGTTGTATAAAGCCAATCAATCCATCAAGTCTAGTCTCCATAGCACCAAAGGAGGTACATCGGTATGTACATATATACAGTTATACATTATACTTATCCATCTTGTTCTTATTTGTTGTTTAACGCCGCACTCAGCTATATTACAGCTATATGACGGCGATCTGTAAATAAACAAGTCTAGATCAGACAATCCAGTGATTAATATCATGAGCATCGATCCACGCAATTGGGATACGATTACATGTATAAACCATATCAGCGAGTCTGACAAGCCGATCCCGTTAGTCGCCTCTTACGACAAGCATTCAAATCAAGATGGCGGATGTATGCGATTTTTTTTCAATTTACTTGACAGTTGAAAAATAAAACCATAACATGAACACGAGTTTACCGTCTTTGTTTAGCTTAGTAAACTTCTCCAACGCCACCTCTTGCCGCTCGTATATCTTGGTCATCATGCTGGCTGCTACAAAATAAAAGTGACAAACCCCTTTCCAGATTCATACAAAAAAATCTGTAATAAGGTCGATTGTACGATTCCACCTATATCCTGAGAATGTGTTTATGAATCACCATCAAATAGTGATGATAGCAGGTGATCGCTTAAAGGCACCGCCATAAAACCACGCAAAGGCAAGTCAATTGTTCACCTAGATAAAACACGAGAACATATGGTACAAGTCAAATCAGCAATACGTTTTTGTTTGTTTTTTTACGTTTATTTACGGTTCAGATCAAGAATAGAATAACAAACTCCTAGGTTTGTTACTAAAGGTTCGTTCTCCACTAAGTGTACAAATTAAACACATTTCCTACCCAAGCATCTGCGAATACAGTTAATTACAATAGAGTCACATAACATAAGAGTGTGGTAACATCAGGGCTTCACTTTCCAAACTGAATGTCTTTATATATGTTAAAAATAAACAAAATATACCTGTAACAAGTCTATCAGTACTTCTAATATGTAGATATCTACATCTTTAGTTGACTCCCAAATGTTGATTGGATCACTAAGAAACATTACTGACACCTTTTCGGTTTTCATGTCTTCAAGAACAAAGGTACTTGCCTCTAATCTGAGGCACAGATATGGATATCTTCTTTATCATGAGGCACATAACGTTTAGGGGTATATGCTTACTCCTTCATCAAGTGATGACGTTGTGTTCCTCATAGTTAAGAAGTTGACATCCATAAATTCTCTCCTTATATGGATGTTTACCACTTCTAAATGCCTTTCAAAGACTAGATACTATACCGTTGACTTTAACGAACCACAAGAGAAAGTTTTACATTTATCATAACACAATAATCACATTTTGAACATGCATGTTTAAGTTAATACTATCTTACATTCAGTCATAACGCAACATACAAGTTAAATAGAGTTAGCCGACTGAAGCCTCCATTTTGGTTGGGTACCAAGCTTCTTCAGCAGATACCTTACCATACAGACCCCTGAAGATCCGAAGTAGAATAGGTCTTCAGCAACCCAGGCTTGCCGTAAAAGGCGACTATGCTTGTAGTAAGAGACGACTAACGGGATCGGGTGGTCAGACTCGCTGACTTGGTTGATGCATGTCATCGATCCCAATTGCGTGGAATGATGCTCATGATGTCAATCAGTGGATTGTCTGGTCCTGACTTGATAATTTACAGAGCGCCGTCATATAGCTGACTCCGGCGTTAAAAAAACAAGCAAACAAAACCTTACCATACACGGCACACATAACAGACAAAGGTGACCGCCATGTCCACTTCACTGTACTTATTTACCTAAAGTAGACATTACTTACAGACGCCTGATATGGGTATCTCACACCCTTGGCTGATGTGCACGTAACTGGCTCATTATTATTTGTGTCAAAAGATACGTTACCGCAAGATACGTTACCAAAGTTGAATATCAAATTATGTATATTTACCATAAATAGTGAACGTGTTGGGGGATAGTTTCGAAATGCATTGCGATAATTGTAAAAGAAACGATTGCCTATAAAAAAAATATGCTTTATTATCAAATTGGGTGGAAACGTATCTCTTATACATGGTGACATATCTCTTTTAATTCTCTACCATAATCATTCAATACAAGAAACATTTCTTTCATGTATACACATTATAATTTTTTTCAATGGTTATTATTTTGACATACATACGTTCATGTCACATTTTGACATACATACGTTCATGTCACATTTTGACATACATACGTTCATGTCACAAATGACCACATCACACACGTTTATGTTACAAATGACCATATCACACACGTTCATGTTACAAAAGACCATATCACACACGTTTATGTTACAAATGACCATATCACACACGTTTATGTCACAAATGACCATATCACACACGTTTATGTCACACATGACCATATCACACACGTTCATGTTACAAAAGACCATATCACACACGTTTATGTCACAAATGACCATATCACACACGTTCATGTTACAAAAGACCATATCACACACGTTTATGTTACAAATGACTATATCACACTCGTTCATGTCATAAATGACCATATCACACACGTTTACGTTACAAATGACCATATCACAGACGTTTATGTCACACATGACCATATCACACACGTTCATGTTACAAATGACCTTATCACACACGCTTCTGCCACAGACGGACGACCATATCACACACGCATCTGTCACACTTATCACATCACACACGTTCATGTCATAAATGACCAAAATCAAAACCTCAATCAGTACCACATGCGCATTTTTTTCTATATTACATTCACCGTCACTCTACCTGTTGTGCCAGCTTTGCCCGCAAACACCACGCCCAACAGCAGCAGCAGCGTCAGACCCACAATATTCATCGTTTCAACCTGCGTCTGTCCGTACAGAAACGAGACGTTCATTATTAGATGCTAATATCCTAATTTCTATGTTAAACATTTTTTAAATGAAGTCAATCATTATGATGATTTTTTTTATCACACTATATTTTTTCATGTAATCATTTCCTGAGGAGACACAATAATTTCGTAAACAATATAACAAACACATAATTGCATTACAGAAACCGAAATCGATTATGAAATGCTCGTTTATTGTGGAAAGAGCGGGTGAGTTTGGTGTAACGCCGCTTTTAGCAATATTCCCGCAATATCACGGTGGGTGACACCAAAAATGGGCTTCACACATTGTAACCATATGGGGAATTGAACCTGGGTCTTCGCCGTGACGAGCGAACGCTCTAACCAAGGCTACCCCGTTGCCCCTACGAAAGATAAATGGAAGACCGAAAGATAAATTTAAGTCCGAAATATAGTAAAATATAATAAAAAATAAAACAACTTTTTCCATTGTGATGTATGTGCGTAACCTACCATACATGGAGATAAGGGATGATATTTAATGTTCCTGTGGCAGGTTCACGGACGGTAAGAGAAGATGCGGAAGGCAAAGTTCATGCAATTAACATCCTAATATCCGTAGGCCTAAGCCTTAAAAAAGGTAGGGATATGTGCTCACCTTGGAAGTGCCAAACGATCGCAACATCGGACGGTGATATGAAATAATTGCTTTCCGTGACCTCAATTTATAGACAGCGTCACGTCACATGACCTGTGCACTCCGTTGCACCAAACACTAAAGACATTTTCAAAAGGTTTCGTGAGTATGAGAAACTGTAATACGAAAACAATCGTTTTGTTCTCACACATGTCAGTAATAGAAGGGCAATGTTTCCTTGAGGAAAGGTACATTTTGTAAGAACACAAAAGTTATAGGCGACTTTTTGTGTGTCGTAATTACAATGAATAATCTAATTTTTTTCTCGCCCTTGGAAAATGCTTAATGTGCATTTTATGCCACAACTAATTTCTAGAATACAATCAGTGAAGTGCTTTCTGACACGATCGCTATGGCTCTGTTAAAAGTTCAGACTACAAACATACACAGTGAGTGAGTGAGTGAGTATGGTTTTACGCCGCTTTTAGCAATATTCCAGCAATATCACGGCTGGGGTCACCAGAAATGGGCTTCACACATTGTACCCATGTCGGGAATCGAACCCGGGTCTTCGGCGTGACGAGCTAACGCTTTAACCACTAGGCTACCCGACCGCCCCATACACAGTGAGTAAGTGAGTGATGTTTTACAAACGGCACCAAGATATTGCACTTTTATAAATGTTAGCTGTAAATAGTCGAGTGTGAGACAGTCAAGTCAGTGCTTCACAGCATAAGCAACGGTGATACGCAATTGAGCAAGTCACAGAAAAACTTGTCACCACCCCATCCGGATTTAAATTGGTTCTTGAGACAGATCATCTGTACAGAGTGAGTGAGATGAGAGTTAGGTTCTGGCAAACTCAGAAACATTCAGAGCGGACCTTGGATCCCCTGCCCCTTAATACGTCAACACTTTCTTGTCGCTTACCGTTCAGAACTCACCCCCACCACGTACAGAGAGAGTGAGATTGAGAGTTAGGTACTGGCAAACTCAGAACCTTGGATCCCCTATCCCTTAATACGTCAACACTTTCTTATCGCTTACCGTTCAGAACTCACCCCCACCCCGTACAGAGAGAGTGAGATTGAGAGTAAGGTTCTGGCAAACTAAGAAACATTCAGAGCGGGCCTTGGATTCCCCACCCGTCAATAGTTCAACATTTTCTTGCCGCTTACCGTTCTGGACTCACCCCCACCCCGTACAGAGAGAGTGAGATTGAGGGTTAGGTACTGGCAAACTCAGAACCTTGGATCTCCTATCCCTTAATACGTCAACACTTTCTTGCCGCTTACCGTTCAGAACTCCCCCACTCACCCCTACCACCACCCACCACTCCATCCCACTCCCTGTCAGATATGCACTTGCACCACAATGTACGAAAATGATTTTAAAGGTTTTCTACCAATAACGTTCATCAACTGTCTGAGTACAATCACATGGCATACTTTTAAACACCCTCGTTTTAATACCTGTCATATTCTATCCCAAAATATGCATTACAAAACGAGTTGCATGAGGACGTTGCAATCATTTCTCTGGCACCTTCTTTTAACCTGACTGCCGCCGCCATCAGTCACCTCCCACCCGCCCCCACGTTGTCGTGCCAGGATTATAAATATACCTTTCCTGTCTCACGCGCTAAAACATACCAATATTTCACGGAATAGAACCAATTTCAAGACCCTGGTTAGCTTCCTTACACTTTCAAGCAAACCAGGGCGGATATTGAAAAGCCCACATATGGCTTCTTCTGGCAACAAGCTTGGTGTAAGGAGTGTATAAAGCCATCGCCTTTACACAGAAGCCGCCACTGCAAGGTGACTGACTGTTAATTAGGAAGCTCTCAGCACTGTCAGGTAAGCCAATTGTTTGACGTTCGCTTATATAACTGGGTAAAAGTAACGCACAGGCCTCGAAACAAGCTCAATTTTATTTAATTTTATGTTGGTTATTCTTAATGTTTATGAGTGTTTTGGATCAGTTAAAGGTTAAAATGTTTAGACTAAATTAAAACGAGTTTGTGTTAACGGTCGTCGCGCATCAAGTCCGCCAAGGATTCGATTGTTGATGCTGCTTGGTCTGTTTCATTTACACATGCAAAAAACAGACCTATGCGTCCAAGTTATTTAGTTTAAAAAAAAACATCTCGCAACAATATATATTTTTTGTGGCTGACAATTATTTATTTTTCTAACTGCCTGAAGCATAGTATTTATTTTTTAAGCAACTTCGGGCAACTTATCTTTTTGCGTCTGGGATAATGTACACCCCATCTGGGATAACATGCATTTAATCTTGTGTAAATTACAGTCTATAATGAATGAGGAAATTACTCGATTTTGATTTTGTCAATCAGAGATATCAAACCCCAATAACCACCTCTAATTAAAACAGCCTATTTGACGGACACATCACCGCGGAGGCAAATGTTCATAGACTTCTTTCTCAAGCCATTGTCGGTTGGTAAATTTATATAATTATATGTAGATTTATAGGTAACAAAGTTTCAAGTTATGTGTGGCAAAACATAGTGTGCAGAAAACACGACATAAATTCACAAATAGAATGTATTTCAAGTTGAGGTGACTGCAGGCGCTTTTCTCAAACCGACTGTGACGTCCTACACTTTGCATTTCACCGAGCGCTGTGATGAGTATGAGGGGGTTATGAGGGGGACGGGGAGAGGGAGGGTCTGGGGGGTGATTTCATCGAAAGAACGAACTTGTCCCAGGAAATGCATGAAATAGGGGATTATCTGCCGCAAAAAGAACATTGTTGCAAGAGGCGTTTTCTTTTTTAAAAAAAGAGAGATAAAATTTAGTTGTAATTAAAAACATATCTTGTCTCCACAAAAAATTCTAGTCATTTCCATAAATAAGATTGACAATCCATTCATGACATTGGACTCAACTCATGCTGTTTCACTCATTTTATGTACAAACACCAAGGAGTTTGCGTTTATATCGTTGGGGCAGAATGAGTGAGTGAGTATGGTTTTACGCCGCTTTTAGCAATATTCCAGCAATATCACGGCGGGGGACACCAGAAATGGGCTTCACACATTGTATCCATGTCGGGAATCGAACCCGGGTCTTCGGCGTGACGAGCGAGGGCTTTAACCACCAGGCTACCCGACCGCCCCTGGGGCAGAATGAAGACAAACACGCAGTGTGTTCAACGCGGAGCGAGGTTACCTAGGTTATATTTGACCAAGATGGATTGTGTCTGGGAAAATGTTTTTGTTTATTTACCCTTTTTGCAACCCTTTCGTAGCATCACCACCTCAAATCTTTGCCAGCATTTGCCCATGGGCCCCACTTGGAATTAATGTGGGCTACGAAATGGGGTGAAGATTCCGGGGTAGAATAGATCTTCAGCAACCCATGCTTGCCGTAAAAGGTGACTATGCTTGTCGTAAAAGGCGACTAACGGGATCGGGTGGTCAGGCTCGCTGACTTGGTTGATGCATGTCATCAATCCCAATTGCGTGGATCGATGCTCATGATATTAATCACTGGATTTTCTGGTCCAGACTCGATTATTTACAGACCGCCGTCATATAGCTGGAATATTGCTGAGTGCGGCGTTAAACCCTGTCCTCCGCCTCCTAACGGCTGCTCTTATGATTGTTGCCGAATAACATAAACATGTTTAGTGTAATAATTCACGGTGAGGAATATTTTAAGTATATTTTCATAATCATTTATATATTTCGTGTGTTCGCATATCATTATAAGCATGTGAGACAAGGATAAAGTTTATTTTTAAAGTTTCGTTACATCTTTCCAACTATTACTCATCCCGTTGTAATTTCATCAAACCCCAAACAAATATGGCAAATAAGAGCAAATAAGTGCAGGTGTCCCGTTAACTCCATTCATATTTTGCTTTGTATCACTGTGCCGGTGTGTGGGATATCTAACTAAATTTCGTTACGAAATAACAATACAAAAACCTTCGGGACGAGTGACCAGCTAAGGGCCTTCTTAGACTGGAGTAGCTTCCCTTTGATAAAGGGCAATAACTCCAGCCGGTGGTCCGATTGATTACCGCTGGAGGTGATTATTGACACTATGTGCAGGCAATTGTCTTTTTACCTACCGACCTTTTCACGCGGTCGCGGTCGGGTAGCCTAGTGGTTAAAGCGTTCGCTCGTCACGCCGAAGACCCGGGTTCGATTCCCGACATGGGTACAATGTGTGAAGCCCATTTCTGGTGTCCCCCGCCGTGATATTGCTGGAATATTGCTAAAAGCGGCGTAAAACCATACTCACTCACTCACTCACGCAATATACTAATCGCACATTCCAGGAAAACTTGCAATGTTTAGGAACTGCTTGTGACGACAGAATTCAATCAAAACAAATTATACCATAGAGAGATCATAACGCTTGTGTGTTTTGGGATGCTAAATATCATGTATTAGAGATAAACACAATATATGTATTTAGCTCATCAAAGCTCGCTTAATACAGTGCCAATTGTAGCCTCAATGCCTGGACAAGTGCTGAAACTGTGTGCCATCATATTATAGAAGGTAAAGCCCTTGAAGTCTTGTCATCTCCAGTGCCCTTTCCACAGACACAGGCACGGGTGGTCTAGTCGTTTAATAATACGCGCAAATTTATTGTGCAGAGTTTAGTCCCTTAGGGGACCCGTATTCGCTGTCCGCACGTACAAATTCCAGAATTGTTTTGATAATGTTCTTGGTTCGTCAGTATCATACCTGTGCTAAGCTCGTGTGTTTCACCAAAGTAATAACGTCCTGGAACCATTTTCTTGTCCACAACATTTAGCTGCCACGATGTGATATAACTAGAATAGTGGACAAGCGACGTTAAGCTCAGTCCACTCAATCATACAAAGTTGTCCCCAAACTACAAGAATCCAAAGCGTGAGTTCGAATCTGCTTCGCTCGGATTAGGATGGAATGGAATATTGTGACCGTATTCTGTCCCGGAATCCCCACGGATCCCACATTGCTCAACCGAATCACGGTTTCCGGCGGTACTGGAGAACACTTCCCGTTACGATCCGGGTTACCATAGGTCTTCAGCAACCCATGCTTGCAGTAAGAGGCGACTTGCGGGATCGGGTGGTCAGGCTCGATGACTAGGTTGATGCATGTCATCGTATTCCAATTGCTTCGATTGATGCTCATGATGTCAATCACTGGATATTGCTGACAACAAACAAACAAACAAACGAGCAAAACCGGTGAACGTTTTAACCTCCAGGTTACAAACAGCCCAGGACAAAAGGACGGAGTAATCGGGTTTGGAAATCAAAATTTAAATCACGTCATAGTCGCCAACATACTTTCTAATTTATGTAAGGCGGTGAGGCAGTTATGTATAACGAGAAAGATCACGATTCATATGTGTCATTGTGCGACCTTCGCGAAAGCGTTCTAGACAATTAATCAGCTACCACGTTGTTATGGGGTTCTTGACGAGCTGGAAACCGTACAAGACCAGGGCTGATGTATTAACATTGCACACTGGTCGTGTTTTATGATCTTTTGTGTTCTAAGCACTCAAAATCTAGGTTTGCAGGCTAGTAATGCTTCAGGACACGTCTGGTTCCGTGTGAGTTATTTACTCTCAGCCATGAGAGGACTAGTGTTTCACGAGGTAATGAACGCCATTGTGAAAACCTAGGCTGGCTGGCTGTACGTTGATGGCAGGCGTTTCCAATTCTTGTAAAACTGGGTTTCTAAACTTGATGCGCATTTAGTTATACAGCTATTGATAATATGTTCACTGAAATTGCCGATTCCTTTAAAGAAAGACCTGACGGGCTGGACCAGTCGTCTAAGGAGCCGGGATTCGCTATGCAGAGTTGCGCCCCTTAAGCGTGCCAGAAACCTATGATCGCAGGCTCGAATTTCAGATTCGCCAGATTATGTTTCCTTGTTTGCTAGCACTAATACCCGTGCTTGTAGCTTCACCAAAGTGGTTATCGTCTAAAGACCTTCCTCACTTTGGGCTTTCCTCCCAAATCAAGCCAACATGCCATGATATAACCACTCACCAAGTTTTGAGTGAATATCGTTTAACACCGCCTTTTACAAATATTCCAGCAATATCACGGCGGGGGATACCTGGAATAGGCTTCCAACGTTGTACCAATCTGGAGAATCGAATCCGACCTTCGGTGTGACGAGCCAACACTTTAACAACAAGGCTACGCCACTGTCCCCAATTTTAAGAAGCAACTATATCAATCCTAAATACCTATTCATAGGTATTATTGTCCTCAAGTCACTCAGTTACAACTAGACGCATACATCGAATTGAAGTCATTATTAAAATAAGTTCATAAAAAACAGAATTTGCAATTTAAAACAAAATGAATCAACTGAAAACCTTAAATTAAGAATGCTTAATACTGATCATGTTCATGAAGCTATTTGGATCAGCGTTGATTTTCAAACTAAATGGCAATTAAGGCCGTCCACCTTCTGCCTCTACCCTCAATCTTCCAACACGTGATAGAAATATAGCAATGCTCTGACTTGTATTTTTGGGGCTATGAAAGCGCCGAAATATACAGTGAAGAGATGCTTCCATTAGTAGTGTACCAGGTCAGGTGTTCGTCGGATCAAATATGCCCTGCTTATAATCCATTTTAAGTTAAGAAAGCGCCGAAATGTACATGAAGAGATGCTTCCATTAGTAGTGTACCAGGATCAGGTGTTCGTCGAATCGAATGTGCCCTGCTTATAATCCATTTTAAGTTAAGAAAGCGCCGAAATTTACATGAAGCGATGCTTCCAATTGTAGTACCAGGATCCGATGTTCGTCGAATCGAATGTGCCCTGATCATAATCCATGAACCGTGATTGCCATAGCCATTCGTGGGTTTTACCAAAGTTGTAAAAATCTGAGCCTTTACCACGGACTTCACACTCACATTAAAGGGTGGCTTTGCACCTTTTTCTTGTAGCAATTTCCAGTATAGCTGTCACAAAAAATGCAATGAGGAGAATTGAGATTTAGAATCTGTGTAATTCAGAAAAGGAACTAGTCAATTGGTCTTAGGATTGAATCATATTTTGCCCACCCCACCCCCATTTTAAGTAATATTTTTTCATACCTCTACACCCACATCCACACCCACACCCACACCTACATCCTATATACTATTTGACCATCCCATTAATAATGTTCAAAAATATATTTCAAAACAACGAAATGTGTCATTTCTCATGACCCCCATCCCCAGCGCTTAGTGGTTAAATTTTAGCCCCTAACCTGTAAATATTTCATGACCCCCTCCTCCCCCTAATCTTACCGTCCCCACCTCCCCTATAATATAAATGACCAGTCCCTATCATATATTTGACTGCTCACAAGTAAGAACTGTCAAACTGGTGTTTTGACGACTTGAACCCACCTTGTTACGACTGCTGAATTGTCTGGTCTAGACTCGATTTTAAGCGTACACGCCGAGATGTAACAGAAAATATTTTTTTGATTTGAAGTTTGCACGATGTACGGCTTTTTCCCCATTGGACGAGAGGTCGGTCACATGATGTTCATAAGTGTAGGTTACCGCCACAGGTTCATTAAATCTACGGAAATGTCTCCCGTCACGTATATCGTGTCGGCCATTTTGACGTCTTGTACTTGATGTATGACGACGCGCTGTCATTGTGACTGACAAACTGAGGTCGTTCTTAACAGACCTTTCTCATCTAACGGTGATACTATTTGAACACACGTTTTGTGTAAGATGTTTCTGAAGAGTAAGTTGTGCATTTGCACGCTCATGTCACCTCTCTTTTTGAGAAACTTTTTTATTCCTAGATACAGCTTGTTGTTGTTTTGCTGTCAGTGTAAACATAAAGTCACAAGTACTAAATAAAACCATGTATAGATCTAGACCTACATCCTTTGAGGTAAACAATTGTGATAAAGTGAAAGTCAGTTTTTATATTTTTTTATGTGCAAGCTCCGACATTGATACAGTTTGACCCTCACTCCATGAAGGTTCATAATCCAAATTGAATGTAAGTCAATTCTAAATAATATTCGGGCGGTCGGGTAGCCTAGTGGTTAAATCGTTCGCTCGTCACGCCTACGATCCGGGTTCGATTGCCGACATGGGTACAATGTGTGAAACCCATTTCTGGTGTTCCCCGCCGTGATATCACTGGCGCCGTAAAAACTCACTCACTCACTTTATAATTTTCAAAGCGGCGTTAAAGCCAACTCACCCACTGACTATTTATATTTAATCTCGTTTCAGCTATGGACATCGCTATCGCCGTGTCCTTAGCGCTGGTCCTCTGTCTTGTGTGTGGGGTATGCCCAGTCAATGCTTACTATGAACACACCTGCTACCTTGATGACCGGAAGCCTTCTGTGGGCGGTTTATGTGGCCGGCGGGCATCCATGATGGTGGACATGGTCTGTCGGGGCTCGTTCGGGAAGAGGAATGTACGCTTCATGGGTAGGTGGTATTGCCAGTGTTGAGTTCAGAGTCATCCTAGTGCGAAATCGGCACCTCCAGAAGCGTCGTTAAATCTCCAACATCATCATCATCATTATTAGAATCAGCTATGGTTACCCTATCCTCTCATACTTTCATCCGTGAAGATCCGGGGTAGAAAAGGTCTTGAGTAACACATGCTTGCTGTAAGAGGCGACTATGACGGCGGTCTGTAAATAATCAAGCCAGGACCAGACAATCCTGTGATTGACATCATGAGCATCGATTTACGCATTTGGGATACGATGCCATGCATCAACCAAATCAGCGAGCCTAACAACCCGATCCCGTTAGTCTCCTCTTACGACAAGCATGGGTTGCTGAAGATCTATTCTCCCCCGGATCTTCACGGGATGTTTTCATTGTACATCATTCATATGTTTGTAATCTATTTTATTAATTTTATTCAAAATTTAAGTCACTATTGTTTACAGTAATAGTTTGACTCGTTAAAAGTTATATTTGTTGTACAGTGCCATGCAAAGGAAAGCATACACTTAAACTTGGATTTGACCAACACATTACAGACGTTATCAAAACGTTATTAGCCTGAAAACAGACGCCTAAATACAGCAGACTTAAAGTCCCAAACACAACTGTGATATTCGGATGAAATACAAAGCCATCGAATCACCATTTACTTACCACCATCAAACATGGGTGTATACAGTTTTACGCCAGGGAGTTTAGTATGGTTGGCTTCAAACCATTTCACTCACTCATGCATTCCCTTCTCCAGCCAACTTGTTGTGTACGCATTGTTTTCCTGTATATCCACGCGTGCTATCCATTTATTCAGACGATGATCCATCCCTGGAACCGGTTAAGTTCGCCGCCCCGAAGAGAGAAGCTCTTTCTTACCTCGGCAAGCGGACGAGTGAACAAGGCTTTGTCTGCGAGTGCTGCTACCACAGATGTTCAATCGGCGAACTGCGAGAATATTGTCACGACTAGATTGGCACAGACACTATGACAGCAAACAGTACGAGATGGATAGACAGTTACAATGTTAGCGCTTACAGAATGTAGTGGCGATAGTCTGATATTTTGGAATATATGTTCACGTACCACAGCATTTCTTGGAGTGCTCCAGATTCAAGGATGTCAAAACATCACAAGTTTGCTCTCGTTGAATCTATTGGACGTTAAGTTCATATATCGTTTCCGATAACCTGTTCGCACAATATATATAGTGAATTTTTGTAGGGGTCATTCTTATACTGGTAAGTTCATATTCCCGATGAAAACCTTGTCACCATGGAAACACTGTGGTATATCTGCTATAATTACTTAACCCTTATCGTCACTTCCGCTATCAATGACGTCATGAATCCATTGCATCAAAGTGGCAGTGTCTGACTATGTCTGAAGCTTGACCAGTGCCTTCGAACAACATGAGGCCTTGCACAACTTTTTACATAATGTGATGACACAATACTTGGTTATTAAAAGAATAATAAAAAACATGAAACACAACCTCTGCGTCAGCAGTTTTTCGTTTTTACTTGGGGGCTCCTGGCGATTACACAAAACCAAAAGTTTTCCCATGGACTTCTATGGTAATGTAAAATTGTTTAGAGAACTAAGCATTAAACGGGTGTTCACAGTTTGGACTTCGAGTAGCAATAAAAAAGGACCAGCTGAGCAAGCTCCTTTTCCGAGTACAGGAATCTTAACACACCACCCCCAGTTGAGCACAAAATGTCACTTGCTTGAAAATATCTGTGGTCACATTCAGTCATGCTGGTGCTGGTGAAAAGGCCAGCACTAAATCTAGAGAAACATGGTCAATTTAAATTACTGGGTGGATGTACATATCGAAATCATAAAGATCTTACACAAAATCATCCAATTACAGCTGCCAGATGATTCAATCTGCACTGAAGGCTGCATACGAAAACTGATTTGGTGTCCAGGAACCTGGACAAGGCATCGCATCTCGTTGCGCAGAGCTGCTTCCCTTATCCTTAACGGGATTAATCACCGGCCCATTCCTAGCTCTCCACGGTAGAGTGTATGTAGTGAGCTCCGCGAACGGTCAATCGCTGTGAGGAGCTTGTGCTCATGAGTTTATCAAAATGATACAGCACGACTGCGGTCTGCCTCACTTTGCAGAGGATTGATTGATTGTGTCTGTAAGTGTGTCTGTGTGTGTATGCGTGCGTGTGACTGTGTGCGCGTGCGTGTCTGTGCGTCTGGGCGTGTGTGCATACGTGTCTGCGTGCGTGTGTGTACGTGTCTGTGCGTGCGTATGTGTGTGTGTGCGTGCGTGTCTGCAAGGGCGCGCGTGTGTTTGTGTGTGTACGTGCGTGTGTGCCTGTGTGTGCTTCAGGTGTGTATGTCCGTGCGTGCGTGTGTGTCATGGCGAGGCGTACGGTTGAATTACACCAATGCCGGACCCTCCAAGTACTAATCTGGACTTTCTCCCCAACATTGGTGGGTGAGATTGATCACACCGGCAGTATTTCAATCCTTCAGTTTAAATAGTGTGACATAAATCCGGTACGCGCTTATTCGCTTCAAACCTAGTAACGTCCAGACACGTGACATTAATAGTTTTGAAGTATCACTGTGAACCACTGTCAACAAAACCAATTCTCACTGTAATCTGACATTTCGAATTATCGGTTTTTACGAACACATTCCGAGTCCCAGAATCCTTTTTCTGTTGTTGTGCTTCTAATATCACATCGGCACTAAATTACCGTACCGCACGACATGTTATATAAATGTCATCCCGTCCTGGAAACAAAGAAGAACTTTCTGCGCTTTATTTAGTCGAAATGATACGTGAGTGAGTTGGGTTTAACGCCGCGTTTAACATTATTCCAGTTATATCACGGCGTATCATCTTAATGTGGGAGGAAAGCCCGAAGTTATGCAGGTCTCAGACGTTTACCACTTCGGTGAAACCCACGAGCACGGGTATGGTGCTGACAAACCTAGAAACAAAATCAGGGCGAACCGGGATTCGAACCCACAATCATAACCTCCTGGCGTAGCCAAGGGAGGCAACTCTGCACCGCGAATCACGGCGCCTTCGACGACGGGGCCCCAAATGATACGTGAAGAATGAGGATACTTCCGGAAGCTATTAAGCTCTCTACATCATTACAGGAACCGTTCCTTTGAATTCTTTAAAAACTTGCACGTCATAAACAAAGAAAATCTCATTCTCAACCCAAGGTTTATCTTAATTTTTCATTTTAAAAAATGAAATCTTTACTTCAATGGGGACCGGAAGACTCAAATTCAAAAGACTCAAAAGTGGGAGGGAAACATGCAACGCCCGATGACACAAACGCCGCCCTATTCCTTCTACAACAGTACGATGCCCACGAGATCTGCAACTTTGATTGTGTGATTGTTTCAGTTCTGACACTAGTATTGGATGTAGAGGTTGCTTTCGGACAGCAGAAACAATTAAGAGTGAAAGTTTTTAAAACAGGGGTAATGAAGAACCATCCCCGGTACCTATGTGGTATCAGCGAGTGAGTGAGATGGGTTTAACACTGCCTTGAACAGTATTCCAGTTATATCACGGCGCATCAGCTTAATGAGGGAGGAAAGCCCGAAGTGAAGCAGGTCTCAGACGTTTACCACTTCGGTGAAACCCACCAGCACCAGTTCTGACAAACCTAGAAACATAATCGGAGCGAACCGGGATTCGAACCCACAATAAAATACTTCGTTTCTACCACCCGTTCTGGCTTTAGCGACGTCAGCGTGCATTGACATTATACTATGTAAAACTGTAAGGGACATTCTCGCGATCTCGACCTTTGGAAACGAGCTAAATATGCCCAAAGTGCGAGAATGCGAGATCGCGAGAATGTCTCTTACAGTTTTCTATATAATACGATTTCAAAGTTCTCAACAAGAAAATATCATAAATATGACGTGAGTAGAAAAGGGGTTTAACCTCGCGTTCAAGATTATTGCACTAAGATAGCGATGTGCATGCTCGCGCTGTACAAGTTCGTTCTTATGTTACTTTTGTAGTGTTAGCCTACTGAAATACTATGGACCCGTGAAGATCCGGGGTAGAATATGTCTTCAGCAACCCATGATTGCCGTAAGAGGCGACTAATGGGATCGGGTGGTCAGGCTCGCTGACTTGGTAGACACATGGCATCGTATCCCAATTGGGCGGATCCATGTTCTTGATATCAATTACTGGATTGTCTGGTCCAGACTCGATTTTTTACAGACCGCCGTCATACAGCTGAAATATTGCTGAGTGCGGCGTTAAACAACAAACAAAACAAACAAGAAATACTATGCTGCAGCTCAACATGGATACCCTACGCCTGACCACCCGATCCCGTTAGTCATCTCTTATGACAAGCCTGGGTAGCTGCAGACAAGTTCTAACCCGGATTTGTACGGGGGACAAGTGACTACCAGTCAGGGCATAAGTAAGAAAAACACCACCACTTGACACTTAAAATACCAATTAATGGGTTTTGGGGATTAAACAGCGTTTGGAATGCGTAATTAATAACTGTCTTTAACGTGTTTACGTCAAAAGAAACAAAAACAATCGAACTGACCGACATGTGCTGATACTGTTAGACAAGGCCCCAAAGCAGTTCATACTCCGCATATCATTTGGATATAACGACTATTCGATAAAAATGGCGGCCATTTTGAAATTCTATATGGCCGCCAACATGGTGGAGAAAATCATTGGGCCCATGGAATTTGTTCACCTGTTGGTATGAAGGAGTGATTTAAAACAAAACAAAAGACTTGAGTAAACAAGTGCAAAAGTGAGCGTGGCTCACTAATACCCCCGACCCACCTAGTGTGTCAGTAGTCACAAATTAAATAGCTAGGATAGGGTTAGGCAGGGTTCCCCCTAGACTCCAATTTTTTTAGAGTCAAATGTTTTATTGTATGATTAATGAAATTTAAAGTGTTCATTGTTAATGTTACACTTAAAGTTAAGTATCTTTTAAATATTATATGTCTTTAGTTTAAGTTAACAAGTGCTAATTAATGTTCTCAGCTGATTGTACTACAGAGAAATAAAGGATAAATGAATGAAAAACAAAGTTTGTTGGTTTTATTTTTTCACAATCTTTAATTACTCACAGCTCATGAAACAATTTACAGTGACACTAATACAGGATGAATAAATAACATCAGTCTCAACTGTGAGACATAATTTAATTTTTAGTCATGGATGGATATTAAAATACATTTCATGTCAGATTATAATTTAATACCACTAACTCATTTACATCTTTAACTAGTTATCTTGTATTATATATCAACAGTGAAGTTGAACTGAAGAATTGTGAATACTCGTAATATTTTCTGGTTGAATACAGTTTGGTTAACAACAACACACACAACCAAAGCTTAACATTTCGTATATACCATATTTATTCGTGTATAATACACACTCGTGTATAATACGCACCCCTAATTATGTGCAATTAAATCCTGAAAAAAATATCTCTTGTGTATAATACGCACAGACTTTTCTTCAGTCTCATTTCAGGCTGTCATGATCTGTCATCGGAAATAGCATAACAAATCCGAATTGAATTACGCAAGTTAATCCTGTTGTTACACTATCTGGTAATAAAAATGTGTTCTCTGTATATCTGACCTTATGTTTGTCATCTATTTTATCAATTTTATTTAAAATTTCATTCAATAATGTTTACCTAAATTTCGGCAAAAACATGTGTCCCTCCGATACTTACAACTTCCGTTTACCCCGTTCCATAGGTTCCGCTTAACCACATACCGTGACCGCGCCAAATCACATTATTCACCGCAACAGTGATAATATTTTCTTTTGTTTCATTTTTTACGAGTCTACACATCTTGATAAACATATGTCATGGTTAACTTTTAGTGAGAAAATTTTAAGACGTTTGCATATATTGTCTTCGGAAAATGTTTATAAATTAAGTTCAGGTGAGTAGTTGTAATATTTTCATTCCAAAGCTGGTAAACAACAACATAGATATTTTGAAATTGCGTCAGTCATGCGCAGTCATTTATTTCTGGACGTATTTTTCCTTAATAGAGAGTCATAGAATTCTGCATCAGGGGAAACCCTGGTTAGGGTTTGAAAAATTCATTAAAAAATGGAAAATTAATAAAAACAATTTATTTCTTTTGACTGCACCCCTCCATATGACACAGATTATATTTTCTAAGTTTGAGATGAATCCCCTGAATAGTTTAAGAGAAATCGCGCGGACAAAGTTTTCGGACAGACGTTAGGGTTTGAAAAATTCATAAAAAAATGGAAAATTAATAAAAACAATTTTTTTACTTTTGACTGCACCCCTCCATATGACACAGATTATATGTACTAAGTTTGAGATGAATCCCCTGAATAGTTTAAGAGAAATCGCGCGGACAAAGCTTTCGGACGGACGGACGGATGGACGGAATCTTGGTATAACTATGTATACCCCCCAACAAATCCACAGTTCGCCCTGTACTGCAAG